CATGGGTGCAGCGAGTAGAGCGTGTGGAGAACTGTGAGCTCCTTTTGGCAATCCAAGGCTTGGACGTCATGTGGCTGGATTTCGACATCTTCTTGGTCCAGCACCCAACCAAAGCCATTGAAAAAGCGGCCGTGGGCTCGGATCTGCTCATGGGCTACGATCTCGAGTCAGACTGCCTGTGCAACGGCTTCTTTTTCATCCGCACCCTGGCTAGTCCTGGGGTTAAAAGTGTGGCATTGGGTAGACTAAACTGGAACTGAGCCAGGAAATATCATTAAGATTCCCCCGACTCTCAATACCCGCTTTGGAAAGGATAAACAGTTGACAAAGCAGTTTTTTCGTGCTAAGTATTTCCTGTTGTCAGGTTGCTGACACTGCAGCTTAGACATATCGAGAACAGGTTGAAGGGGTGGGTTGCTAGTTGAGTACAGCATGCGTGTGCTTAAAGATAAGACTATTTCTGGAAGCTTTCCTTTGCTGTTGTCCCGACTTCCCAAGTCCCCCTTGCCTGCATTTGCACGGCGTCCCAGGATCCAGTGAGAAGACGCACCGCTGGCTTTTCGAAATGGTACGATGGCTCTATGACCACCCCTACGCCGCTTGCCGCGACCAGAGACAGACGTTTGGGCGCAGGCACAGCACCGAGTGTGCAACCCAAGCTCGGGAAGCTAACGAGCCCTGGAACATGGCAACATGCCAGGCTTGCCAAAAGGATACATTTGCCAGCTTAGTGAAACTTCTTTCTTGGGGTGGGCGACGCGCCAAGTTTCCCCTGTTTCGTTGCGCACCTGGCACCTTTCTGCGCGCGAGGGCCGGCACCTCATCTCAGGAGCACGATCAGCGTGCCATCGGGGCCTTCCTGAACTACACCGAGCGGATTTCCATCAGCGAGGAGGAGATTTGGTGATTATGGCTGTGGAAAAACAACGAGGATAGAACCCAGTCTGTCATACTAAGGGAATCGAAGTGATAGCGTAATCATGGGGATGGTCACTGCCACAATCATGTTGGTGATTTCTTGTGTAGTGCGCTTGGCTGCTCAGATTGCTCTGACCAAAGTCAACGTGTTCAGCCTGTGAAACAGAGATGCGTACAAGGAAAAATGTGCCGCTCTTTGGTTTGTCCACTTGCCAACGAAAAGTGAAGAAGCTTAAATTGAGACGAAAAAGAGAATGTTATTTCTATGATTGTTTGTACTTGTGTCTATCATTCTATTTCCAGCATGTCTCTGAGTCTCTTTTCTTACTCTTCATCATATCGCACCAAATATGCTGCCATGGGGAAGATCTCGTGAGAACGGGTGAATAGAGATGAAGAGATGAGAGATAAGGAGATGTGATGAGACAGGGAATTTGATTACCTGGATAAGTGCATCCGACAGGTGTCGAATGAACCTCTGGTCAAAGGAACCGGCACTGATCGTCTTTATTTCTCGGGGGCAGGAGTGTTGGTTGTGAAGTTCATCTTCCTCATGTGTCCAACGCGAATCCATCCTTCTAGTTTTTGGTGTTCTCACTATTTTGCCATGGCAACTCGGAAGGTTTTGTAGTGGCCATGTTGGTGATCGTTGCTACGAAACATTTATGCTGGTTATGGTCACGTTGGTAAGATGGTTAATGTCCACCTAGGATTAGTAAAGGCTCACCCCCCGGCCCCCCCCCCCCTCCCCCAGGGTCGCCAAAGGGGGCCCCCTAGAATAATATCTTGAGATCCGGTTCAATTGAGTTTCCATTCTCATTGCTTTTTCGTTTCCAGATGCTTTGGTGAGTGTTGGCCAGGAGCTTCCACCCATCCCCCGATGGCACGTCTTCGATGAGGAGCGCCTCGGCGGCAGTAAAAGCGCGTGATGGGTTGGGCGGTTGCTTCCAAAATCGGAAGGTGTAACTCGAGCACTGCAAGTGCCTAAAGAACTAGATTTCACTTGTGGGTACTCAAACACAATCTGCAGCCATGATCAGAAGATAAGAATATGTTCAGTTGTTTATGACCTCCATATGAATCAAAGGACATCAGACAGCTTTTCAGGCTCATCTCATGCCGCCAAACATGGAATCCACTAGAGTCCCTTGTAGAGAAGATCGTCTTTCTGGACCCCGCCGCCAGTTGCTGTTGGGTCCGTGGTCGTTGGAAGGTGCAGCTGGCCTTTGATAGCCTGAATGCATTTTACAAGCTACGTTTGGGTGAGAATGAGAAAGCAAATGTTGTTTGCGGGTTCTCAGAAAATGAGGTTTACAACAGGCCATGTTGGTTTGCTTGTGTTTTTTCTTCTTTTTTCGGGGGGAGGAGGGGCAGACGCATTGTGGTTGCGGTTCCAAGCAGGGTCTCAAGCGAGCTGAAGAGCCGGGTGCCCTCGCAGTTGGGTCGGGTGCACGGCCAACCCCGCATCCAGAAAGAGTAAGAAGATGTTTGCAGTTGGTTGCCCTGGCCAAGCTGATCCTCTTTGAGTTTTGTTAGGCAATTGTACAAGATGCGAAGATGGCATACGTAAACGCATGCACGGGGACTCAGGCACCTAGACATTTGCATTGGATGGCGTTACAGGCATGGCACTGGGTGATGCGGCGCAGGCGCAGGCGATGCAGGTGATGCCGACGATGCTGGTTGCAGCTGTGTGCTTGATATTCGTTGATGCTGGTGATGCTGGCGATGCGCGGTCTTCTGATGCTGGTGTTGCGGCTGCATTTGCAGCCGAATCGACGGCCGGCTCCCGAATCGAGCGGCGGCCTTTGTTCGCGAATCGACGGGTTTGGGGCCCCGAATTGCTCGCGGCGGGTCTTTGTCCGCATGAACTTTGTTTGGACAAAGCGCGCACAAACCACAGAACAGGTGTGTGGAGGAGCCTCGTGCTCTTTCAAACCCTCAAAATGCAGGAATCAAGCGTGATCGCCAGAGAAAAAAGGGGAATTAAAGGAGGAGGGTAGCCGGCGGAATTCTATTGATAGATAGTAATGTGTGTTTCCCCTGCTTGGGGAAGCAACACTACAGAAAGGGAATGTTTTGGCCCAATCCCCGCCCCCTTCCGCCTCAAATTCGGCCGGCCGGAGCCGAGGAACAGCTTCATCAACTACGGCTCTTGGCTGGGGGACTTCGATCAGCTGGTCCTGGCGCCTTGGCGAACATTTGAGCTTTCGGGGACCCGCCCGAAGCGCAGGGCAGTGGTGCCAGTCAACCAAACTGTGGGGAAAACACACAGAGGTTCACACACGGCAACCCGCCAGTCAGAGAGCACGAGGTCCCTGTTCAGTGCCCTTGTTTGGGGGTTGCGACAAGTCCATAGAAACTGAGGTAAGCCACTCTGCGGCCAGTTTCCCCCAAGGAGAGCAACCTTTGTGAAGCGTAATCTCCTGAAGATTCGCAGAAGGAAGTCTCATACAACCATGGTGCAACTAAACCTCGAGACTGACAATCCCCTGAAACATCGTGGCAGCAAGGTACTTGGGTGAGGCTTGGTGCAATGTGTTGTTTAGCAAGCGGATTCCAAGAGGGTTTCACTCAGGGTAGATTGACTGCTTAAGTAGCCCTGATAAATTTGCGTTGCCCTATGTACGTGCAATCAATTCTTGCGGGTCGGGAAGCCGAGCACATGGCAAACCCTATCTCCTGGTTCGCATGGGCCATTGCTTCCGCTGACTGTTGGCCCAACAAGGCTGCATTGTCTTGGACATGTCTTGGAGGGGGGAACGGGATCAACCAACCGAGAAGAGAAGAACTGCTTTGTCCCAAAGCCACTGTAGGCAGCTGTCATTTATTCCAATGACCACTGGAGGCCTGTTGAAGTTGCCTGCGCTGAATCGCCCGTGGCCCAGAGGTGCACTTTGTAGACGGCAGCGCCTTCTCCCTCTACGGCCGGCCCTCCTGGGATCCCTCCATCCCCTTGGCCAAGAAGCAGCAGGCGAGGTACCTGGTGAGCGACCCAGTCGTTTGTTTCCCAGCTCTCGCTAGATGGACGTGGTGACATGGCCATGTGACTGGACACAAAGACATCTTGGATGAAAGGGGAAACCCTGAGGTTGTGGTTGCCGGTTGGCTGAAAGTACCGATTTGCAACTCCCTTGAGTATCACATCCATGGTTTGGCCAATAGCTGCTTCAACCGAAGGAGCTTCCATCATGTCGATACTGAGAATGTCACGTCGTAGCCAGACACAGTGACCCACTTGTAAATTGCCCTGTGTCCACACACCGCATGCAATCCGCGTGCTTTGGGGAGTGCGACGGTAGAATAAGCCCAGGAACACCTAAAAATCAAAACAACGATCAACCCACCGGAGGATAAGAGCAAGAAGCAGTGCAGACCTAACGAACCCCAACCAAACTCCAACGCGATACACCCTAAAAAAAGATACAAGAATCCTCAAAATCATACCAGAGACACTCTTCACACTGACGCTTTTTGCAAAATCTGCATCAGAAAACACATCCACCACGTCTTCATTCCCTGCCCGCGGGCTCCGTGAAGCGTCGCTTGCATTCGGTGAACAAAACCCGCGAGAGCTCATGATCAGCTCACTCTGTCGTACCATGCCTAAGTGTGTTTGCGTCAACCCAACATCAGATAATCAAGGCTCTTCGCTTTGATTGATGAAGTTGATGAGACTTTGAGCAAAAGGTGTATCGAAGACGTTGATGTGGACGTATAGTGTGAAGGGATGATTCGTATAGACAAGATCAAGATACAAAGATTAGTCGCTGTGAAAGCCTTGCTTTTTCCGTTTCTCACTTTCAGAGTCCTAGCGGGCACATCTTCTGGTAGTAACTTTGCCATGTCACAGCGCCCGAAATTGATTTCAAGTGGCCGGGTGGTTGAACTGCCAGGTTTATGCAGCTGGCATCATGATTGGGTCCTTAAAATAAAGCGTTGAGCCAAAAATCCCAGAGCCGTGCTTCCCCCATGGTGGATCGTGCGCATCGGCCAGGTGGAGGCATCCGAGAGCGGCGCGGAGAGCGGCCCTGCGGCGCGCCAAGAAGCGGGTTCGCACGTGGGACAGCGTGGAAAGCTCTTCAAGCTCGATGTGAAGCAAAGCACACGATAGGACCCCGTTATTTAACAGTTAGCAGTGCCGAGACTCTCCCGGAAGGGGGGATTACATTTTTGGGACTAATTATATTTTGTAGCACCACACCCTTGACAAATGATTGCAAAGATCGGTGAAGTGTTCGGAACTGCGGGGGGCGTCATCTAGGGGTAGAGAAGGATCGCCTGGGCCTTCTTCACTCTTCCAACTCGCGCATGTATTTCGGACTGTGCGAGGCGTTGCCCCTTTCGAAGCGAAGTGGGAAACGGGGAAGTGGCTGGCCGGACACTCGCAGTTCTTATCCCTTGGACTCAGGCCACTTCCACCATGGACGAGTTCTACGACCTTGAGGCGGGGGTGAAACACCCGAAAAGACTAGAGAAAAAGATCCGCCATTGCTTGGGTTGTAAGCTATTCGAATACGAACATTGGGCGAATATTAGGGGAACCTTCACTTGGGGGGGGGAGGGGGGAAGGCCCCAAACATCCACCGAAGTAAGCAATCCAATTGGGGGTCTGGTTTGGATACCCTTTACAGTTGGTGTCTTCGGCTGCGGCAGCTCCCCTGATTGAGATCTAAAAAGCATTTGCTTCCAAAAATTCCTTCCACCTGTCCTGACCATTTGGAACACTTGTGGTAGATCCACGGATCCAAAGGCGCCACAAGCAACCGATCAGCCTTCGCTGCAGGCGGCGGCGCAGCCGCAGCTAGACGGACGGCTGAGGGCCCTGCTGCAGAGCAAGGTGCGCGCCAAGCCGGAGCGCCTCGGAGCCGTGCTGCATCTGTCCAACCAGCAACATTACATGAATGTGGTTCCTGCATATTCCAGACTGTGGGGAAACCCGAGCAATTACAACTTCGGCTCTTAAGGTGGTATCCCCAACAGCCCCGGAATCCCCCTGAAAGCTACCACGAACCCCAGAGCCTGGGAGACCCCATAGTTTCCAGGGGAGCAACCGCTGGCCCAGGAAGAAGCAGAAGTGCGGCATTCTGCCCATGGTGGTCTCGGCGCACCCGGGCTACGGCTGGCTTGCGGAGCATGGGTCCAGGGCGCAGGTTCCTGAGTGGCTTGAGGAAAAAGCAGCGAAGGAGTGGCTCCAGGGCTCAAAGGTTGCGGTCGCACCCGGTCAGATTGCTGGCGTTGACCCCGGATGCAGAGGCAAGGATTCACAGGGGGGTTCCCCAGCGTGCACGGCGTGCGCAAGATTATGTCTGAGGGTCCGGATTTGTCTTAGGCCCCGTTCCTGTTGAGTCTTCTTGGCTCCCCTGCTATCCAAAACTCGGCTTGAGGGGGTGTCAATGGCTAAGGGTGTCTACGTCTAGTGGCCCCTTATCAGCTGCGCACCCTTTGTTTTTTATCCCATTATTTCCCATCGACCCCATGTACCTCTCAGCTGCTCAAGAGCATGCTGACCTGTTTGCTTGCCGAACGTCTTAGCAGCTCAAGAGTGTAGTTAGTGGCAGCTTGCGCGTTCCTCATGTCGGTGGAGCTGCTGTGGGTCGAAGCCTTCTTGCCACCCAGACTCCGGGAAAGCCCGCTCCGTTGGGCAACCCAGCTCCCAAGTCGCAACTGTGGCGGAATGGTGCGAGACGAAGGAGCGAGTTGCCCCGGTGAGTGGCAAGAAGGCGGCAGCGCGAGCTGAATGTCTTGTGGCAGAGCTCGCAAGCCTTGGACTGGCTGTGTTCGCCCTGCTCCTGAGTCACAGCGTCCCGCTCAAGACTGGGGGGAGGACGTCTATTTTGGCCACCCTGTTCGGGTTGGGACCCAGAAGCTTTCCGCCCTCGAGCAGGGGCTGGTCAATCCAACCAATAGTCATGCTGACCCCAGCAGAAATTGAATTTGGATGAGTAATCCCAGTAAAATTTGCAGAGTGTACCCCATGACGTCGTATGCATGAGCCGCTTGCAACCGAAAAGTGCAGCTGGAGAGCAGCGGCTTGGGCCTTTTTCAGAGGGTCGGATGGGGCGCCAAGGATCTACACCGTCTACGGCTACAACCGCCACATCGCTGCATCGGACTCTGGGCCTGGGCAGCCTCATGGACGCTCGCCAGATGGGCCCAGCGGGAGGGGAATCCCTCCGTTCACCCGATCGACCGGAAACCTGCTCAACGGTGTTTAATTCTGCTCTTAATGCACAGGGTGTTTCCTCATTCCTCCCCCCAAATCACTCCCCAAGCTGGACAAGGGAAGCAGTATGATCCCTGGAATGTGGTGGAAGCCGTTCAATTGACTTTATGAACAAAAACACGTTCAAAGCCGGTCCGAAGATTTGGGCGGAGCAGGGCCAACCTGGCCCCTCTGCGGGAAATGGGTGGCTCCTCACATGACTTCCACTTGCGCGTTGGGTTCGTCACTTTCTGACTCATTTTACGCTGACTTTTCTGTACCTCAAGAAAGTCAACCATGAGCATCCCCGCTCCTTCGAGGCCTGCGCCCTACCCACCACCAGCAGCTCTCTTGTTGTACTTTGGTGCCGCGTGCGCACGTGCTCAGGCATATGTCAACACCATTTTCAGGTATAGGTTTTGGAGGTGTGGAGGTTTATATACCGTGGCAAAAATGGCAGGCTTGCCCAAAAGATTACATGTTGGCCATCTTGAAAACTAGAGTTGCCAGCTTTGGAGCATCCCATAGTTGCATCTCCATCTTTAGGGGAGCACTGTATGAGCCAAGTTTCCCTTTGTTGGTGGCTCCTCACCCAAACTGCGAGCGCCCTCCTTGGGCTGCGCAACCTCGGCACCGCCGCCAGCTCAGGAGAGTGATCCGCGTGCCGGGCCTTCCTGAACTCCCGCGGCCATTTGGCGGTAGAAGCGGCTATTGGCTGAGACCCACGGTCATTTCCCGCGGCCATCCATTCGGTAAAGCCATCCTCCGGTCATTCACGGTAGACGGCTATTGACCGAGAGAAACCCAACAAACTGCGAGAGCTTGGCGATGGGATCGGACGCCATCGAGGCCCAGAGAAGCTTCTTTGGCGTTGATCGTGGGAAACCCACTCAACAACAAGCAAAAAAGCATGGAATCCACTGAATGAATCAGCCGCATCCCCCTACCCTTTTTAGGGGATGTGCGGTATTTGTACCCACATGTGCCCTCCAAACAAGTATTAGCATATTATACCTGCATGGGCTGTGTGGGATTCTGAGAGACAATGCGCCTCGTGAAACTCACTTTTGACACTGAATTGCACGGATCTGTCCAACAAACCTTGTACAACTTTATAGCCCTTGGCATGGTAACAAACCATTGCAGACCCCACGAAGACACAAACAGAACCAGAAAACCAACAAAACTGAAACACTTGCCGACAACAGCGATGATAAGTCCAGATACTTGGGAAGTGCGCTGCTCTTGGGGTGATCACCCAGCGCCCCGTGCTCCCCAGTCTTGGACAAAACCTGGTGCCATCGTCAAACTCGTGTGGCACATGGCTATGGTTCTCTTCCTCCCTTTCAGCTTTTGAATTGGGGGTTTGGATTGGCGGCTTAGGATGTGAACCCCGGCCGGACACCTCTGGTTGTTGCATCTGTCCTGTTTTTCGCCGGACCCCGGTCTTTGTTGATTTCAGCGACATGTTTCAGGTCTTGCTTGCACTTTCCCGGTCTTTCAGCGAAGCCTTTCGGCTCTTGTTTGCGTTCCCCGATCTCTTTCACCAAAACCAGTCTGTTGCTTGTGCCTCTTAGTCTTTCACAAAAAGCTCTCCAGCTCTGGTTTTTTCCCTTTCCGGGCAGAGCCCAGAAACTGTTCGCCGTGGCCATGGCCAGAGGTGCACTTTGTTCAACGACAGCGTTTTCTCGCTCATCCCAATAAGCTGCAGGCGAGGTGGGAAAGGAGTCGGTCAGACCCTTTTTCCCCTTTGTTCCGGCTGCTTACTTTCAAAAGACCCCTTGTAACACCTGTGAGTTTCCCTGTTTGGTGCAAGTTTAGTCACCCCCAAGAGTCAATCAGCTTTCCAGGTTTGGTCTGTCACTTTTGCGCCCAACATATTTTGCGTAAGGGGGTCAGATCGGCCATCATGTTGCTCAAAGTATGGCTGAGGCATCTTGAATTCGGTGGTTTGCGCAAAAAAGGCGCAGGTGGAAATGTATGAAAACTAGGAGTCAAAGCCCTCAGATGGTCTCGTCCTCCAAAACTACCCCAAGTTTGACACAGCCACAAAATGGGCGCCATCAAGACGACAAAGCTGTTTTCTGCCTGGCCGGCAGTCCAAGCTTGCCGCATGAGGGGAATATGGTTAATTTCTGATCACGCTTGATGATACTCCTTTCCCAGGCGCGGCCCTTGTTCAGAGCAACTCTTTAGATTCACACATGTGACTGCACAAACTTGGGACAGATTGCATGAAGGGCTTCCCCAAGGGATGGTCTCAACTGTGGCTCTTCCGAATCCAACTTTCCAGTTGTTTGCTATAGGAGTGAATCCAAAACCCTTGGGCCACACATCCCGAAGCTCTGCGGCGCATCGGCCAGTTCGCATGGAGGACAGCGTGGAAATCTCTTCAAGCTGCCCCTTATTCAACAACGGGGAATTCTCCCAATGGGGAGGCTCGCATTTCAGGGCAATTCGTTGTACCATCCAGACTTGCAAAATGGTTGCAAGAGATAGGTGAGACATTTTAAGCCATCCGCAAAGATGGCAGCCTTTCGTGTGTTTGCTTTTGGTTGCAACTAGAGTGTTGCAACAGTGTTGATCGTCGCAGAACTTCAAGAGGAGATAATTTTAGCTGAATTGGTTCCACCTGTTCTGGCAACCACGCTTTATGTTGATTCTTTGAAAGACTGCGAACCGGGTATAACAATTGTTCCGCCCTAAAATTCAAAGGCAGCGGCAATGACAAGAAGATGTGTTCTATTTGAGTTTTTCACACACACACACACCCTCAAGCACGCACAAGGGTTGCTTTCCGATTTAGTTTCCAGATCCCTTCCCCACGAAGAAGCAGACCCGCGATTTGTGTTTTGCACTCTTGAAGGCTTCCCCCCCTCTAGAGGAAAAACTCTGATTCCAGCCCAGGAAGCACGAGTGCGGATGGTGGTCTCGCTGGCTGGCGGAGCACCGGTCCCTGAGTGGCTTGAGGGAAAAATTGCTGTGGGCTGTGCGGATGGAGTGGTGACGCCAACATGGTTGCTTTGAGACATCAGACCCCTCCATGTCGCTTAAGAGTACACCCCTAAATCTGGTGCAACTGAGAAGGTCCAAACAATGAAGGGCTGATTGGAGCTAGTTGCTCAAACCGCCCCCCAACAGATATGCCCCAGGGAGGCTCCCAAACCCATAGCCGCTTTCTTACTGGGCAGTCCCATGATCAGGGGCGAAGCCCGGAATCGGTATTTCAGGCAACTTCTTTCCCGATAGCATGGCACCTGACTTCAAGAGGAGAGTAGTCGTCGGGCCCATCCACATGTGCTATGTCGATGGGAGGCAGTGCCATCAAATTGACAGGTGCCGTACTTGGCGCGCCACGCTGGTACATACCGTTACTGTGTGTGTGTGTGTGTCATCATTCTGTATTGAGCCCCCTCTTCCTCCTAGGGGTACCTAGGGGTACGTGGTTGGACCTTACATAGCTCGGGTTCAAGCTTGCCAAGACCTGATGCAGCCGTGTCTTGCCATGAAGCGCCTTTGGCTCACAGCCAGAATTGCAGATGGCAGTTCCGGGTGACGAAGAGCCTGAAAAAGGAGCATCTCTGGCCGACAGCATCCGATTAAAACCAAACCCCCAGCAGAGAATGTGCCCTTTATGTAACGTCTGTGCGGAATCGCCGCCCTTGCCCCCATTCGGAAGTAACAGTGAAGCATTATGGCAAAGGTTCATTAATTTGCCTTGGCAACCAGCTTAAAAACGCGAGGTGAGGCAAGCAGCGCAAACTGCCTAACTATCGAAGAAAGCTAGTTTGTCGGCTGTTCAAGGCAACAACCATAGCAAATGCAACCTCGCCCATCCAGCAGAGCTCCGCCAAAGCATCTCTGCCACCTGCCGCCATAGGAACCACGTCCCCAGACCAGCCAGCAGTGGACAAGTATTCATGTCCGCGCCTGGATCGAGAGATGGCGTCCCTTGTCGTGGAGGGGTCAGAGGCTGCACTGCCGAACTACAAGTTGGGGTTGGCGAGAGTTGGATTGCGGTGCTCGCTTTTCTGATGAACAGAAGCTGAGTGACACCCTCAAAGGCTCCTCCATCAAATGTAGGTCCGGGAGTCCGGCCATGTTCCACAGTCTGGCCGGAGTCTGTGGAATCCAATGTCGAGGTGGAAGCTTGCGGCATCACGGAGACGTAGGGAAATCTCGGATTGGCCATGTTACTTGGGTAGAGCTAGGAAAACTGCTTGCAGTTTGCTATTGACCGAGTGCTGCAAAGGTGAACTTGCTTTTTTCTGCTATGGCCTGACTCCAAACATGGCTAGCTCGTTTGAAGCGTTCCTTTACCCTCCATGGAGGTTTGAGCGCGACCAGCTCAGGTCCGGGTATCCTGACCCAGTGCAGGCGAGGGCAAAAGAGGGGTGTGGGGGCAGACGGGGTCGGTTCAGGAACAAACCAGTAGCTGGCTGCGGTCCCTGACAGTGAACACAACATGTCAAAACTCTTTCAATAAGGGGCGCTCGCCTCTTCCAGTGCTCAAAGGACGACGGTGGCTCCTGACTATGAGCAACGTAGCTCTGAACGACTGGAAATCAAAACCTCCTTAAACAAGATCGTGGCCATCCCCAGATGTGAAGGTTGACAGCGTCTTACACAATGCCTCGTGTTACAGGAGTGTTCCCTCAAACAGTGAATCCCTCCTAAAAGGGGACACCCCTATTAATGAACTAGGGAGTTGGTGCATCCGGGGTTTCCATTAATGCAGTCAAGGTGATGTGTTGTTGCTGTTGGTGGGTTTTAGGTTTAGGTCTTGACTTGAATTCCTTTGCTTTTTTGTTCAGGCAAGGTCCATTCTTGCTTAGGGAAATGGTCATGACTTGGACTCTGTGTTTGCTGGTTGTCAAAGGGGCTATGTGAATCCAAGCAGGTCCCCAAGTTAGGAAACATTCGATGCTGGGCCTGCCATCGAATGGCACAACTATGCCTCCGTTCAAAGCCGTTTCGGTAGAGCTCATGTTAGGCGCACTACTTAGAATGCTCCTTGAGTTTCTCAGCGCCAAAGTTTTATTTCCGTGACCTACCACTTTGTGTTTCCGATCTTAAATCCAATCTCCAAATCATCGGTATCCCAGACATGCCGATCAGTCATGTCAGTTTTCAGGTGCGGGCTGGTTTCCCCAAATTGGGGACCTCTACAAAGGGCATGTCGGCTTCCTGTTTTTCCGCGGGAGCACATATTTGGGACAACGCCAAATTGTTGGCTGTCACTGGCCTGACTGATCCTCCCCTCACTGTGGTCCTTAGTCACCCCTTCTTAGTGGTGTTTGTTTTGGTTTTCATTCCCACCGATGCGAATTCAGCAAGCGTCCTTCCTTGTGGATTGTTCAAAATCAATGCTGGTCCGTATGCCAAATTTTAGTGGTTTCCCCCGCATTGGCGCTAGGAGGGATTAAACTCTTGAATTATCCAAAAAAATGGAAAAACCCTGAATTGGCCAATTGTCAGATTCCGCTGGCCGCTAATTTGGAACAACCCAGGGTTTCAATTGTCAGATTCACAGAAAGCCGATTCGATCCTGGAAGCGGCCTTTGCTTGACTCTGAGGAGCCCGATGCGGTCGCCTTTGATGCCACTCGGAGTCTATGAGTCTTTCCCTTGGTGGTTCCTTTTGGCCTAACCATTTGGATGTGTGCCTTTTGTTCAGCTGAAAACATAGGTAAACAAACCAAGAAAATGGGTTCCCGGGTTTTTTGGGGGGAAACTGTCCTAGGGTGCCAAACAAGGTCCGCAGGAACATCTTGACCGCCTGTCCAAGCTTTTTTCAGGAGAAATTGGATTGTCCATTGGACTCAGTGCCCTTGAAGGGAATCAATGCTGAGCCCGCAAAACCGCACCCCCTTGCGAAGGAAGCTCCTTGTGGCAGACTTTCTGGTTGACTGAATGTGCAGGGAAGTTGAGTTGTGCACTGATGGAATAGGAAGGGAACAGATTCCACGAGTAGCTACGTAGGAATGAATCCACAGGGGGTATCCCTCACAGGGAAACGCTTCAGTATTGGTTGCCCTCCTGCAAAAGAGTGCCAAACTTAGGCCTGGAGTCCTTGATGTTTGGCACCCAGAAATGCGTTAGCACAAGTGGCTTGTTGTGATGGTCATGTTACCGTTGGTTCATTGTAACGCCATCCAGAAGAAGCATCCTACATGGCTGTGCCAAAATGGGTGTCTCCTAGTACGTACCCCTGCTTTGGGGTGTGTTTTGACAGGCAAAGGTCGACTAGCTCCAAGAAAATTCACGACCTGCGGCACTGTTCATGCTGAACATGTTCATTCCGCAGACATTGCAAGAAGACAAGAGACATAAGAGACCTCGGTTTTCAGATCAGTGCCCAGGTAACATTGGGGCGCCAGGGCGCCTTCCCGCAGCAGCGCCTGCGCCTGCATTGCCCTCCGCAGCATGAGGCAGGTGGGAAGCCGCGCTAACTGGCGGAACCCTCCGTGAAAAGAGGCTAGAGGACCTTGCACTTCAAGTTTCTTGAGATACAGCCCAGGGGTATCCTTTCAAGCATGCAGATGTAGGTATGCATCATCGTGACTTGATAAAGATCCGGGTGTGTTTTTTTCATGATAGAATGCAAAATGTCCTCTTGAAGGGACACTTCCCGTGTCAGGTGCCGTGGCAATGAGGGATGGCAACCTATGTAACCACATACCCGAGCCCTCCTTGAAAGTCCACTTCACCACTCTGGCCCCAGAGTTTTTGTTGACCTATACCCCTGCTTATTACACTCTGTCCGGGCCACGTATATGTTTTACACCGGTTTTGTCTCTCCGCCGTTTTCGCCCCACGGGAGGCGCTGCTGGCGCGGGCGCTGGCGGCCCACGGCGCCGCCTTCGAAGCGCGCGGCTGCGACCCCAGCAGCGTGGTGCTGCGCTTCCGGGACCAGGCGACGGCGTCGGGGGGGCGGGGGTTGAGGGTGGTCAGATGGCTCGGGGCGGGGGTCTCCTCCATCTGGGTGTGGGATTTCAAGACCCCCAGAATTTCACATTGACGGCCAGAGTTGGCTTCACTCGCAGAATCTCGCGGACCTCCGAATCTTTGACACCCAATGAAGGAGCCATAGGAATATGTGTGAAAGTTGGGGATGCCCACAAATGTGCTTCGGTTTTCCTTTTGACTTCCTTCTAAACCAAGCCTGAAAAAATGACACACCTAAATGAAGCCCCCCCAAAACAACATGGCTGGTTCGTTTGGCCGTTCCTTCACAACCCTCCCAAAAGCATGTTGGGATTCCACGTCGGGTGCCACGAGAATGGTCCGCTTGCTGCGAGGAGGGGCAGCTCTTCTCCATCCACGACCAGCCAGGCCTGGAGCGTGCCATGCAGGAGAGCTTCGAGCCGCCGTCGGAAGCAACAGCTTTGCCTTGGGCACTGAAGAGTGACTGGTGATTCGGATTTGTGAGTTGTTTGCAAGGGTAGATTGGTTGGGGTGGCTCTTGGGTGGACCATTGCTTGCAAGTTTGCCTTCTGCATTTCAGATCCGCGCTTCGGTGACGCCACTGGTCACTGAGCCAATAGTGCGGGATGCCGGAACGTGTCTAGATGTCCAGAAAGAAGACGCAAAACAGCCCGCAAGAGCCGAATATGTGAAAAGGCGTGCGCCACACCGCCCAGAATTGAAAGACACCGTCAGTGCCTCGCATCAAACCAGCGGCACGAGCCAGTCAACTCTGGCCTGCGCCTCATTTCCTTCAGCTCATGCTGTTCTCCGGATGTGTCAAGCCACATCATCTCAGCAAAGTAGCCTTGTGAATTGTTCTGACTGACGGGCCTAGTCAACAAGTCACTTTTCCACCTGTGTAGCCATGAAATGGGCCAAGCACATCAACCTGTTTTTTTGTTGTGGCCAGCCTGCTCATTTACAAGTCACACAATTGGAAACTAGGATCAAGGCTAGAAAGTCTATTTCCAGCACCCTCCAACGGCTGTTTCTCACATGTCCAAAACCCCAAGTGCAGGCTCCCCACACTTGTTATTTGTTGCCAGCCAGGGTTCCCTGCAGGAGGCGTGCGATGCGAGCGGCGTAGTGCAGCTGGATTTCCTCCTGCAGGCGAGAGTTGCCCATCACACGCGTGCGGCACCATCCTTTTGCTTAAGATGTTTCCTTAAACCCCACCAAATAACTACCCTGAAGGGTAAATAAGGTGGAGAACCGTCTTAGACTTTGAAGGCCGCTCCGATTTCCGGTCAGATTCGTAGCTCTAAAGGGAGAAGACGTCCAGTCAGATGCAAAGGGCGAGGGCCTTTGAGCCAACCGTTGGCTGCTCCCATCCAAAGATTTCCAGCCATGATGTCTCAGCCAAACGGTGCTGGCGCATAGGTGGCGCCGGCGCCGCGACCGCAGCGGCGCTGCCGGGGCTGCGGGGAGCGCTTCGGCTGATTTTTTTGAGAAAGCCGCGCAGATCGATGGGAAGGTATCCTCTGATCGAATTGTTCTGGTTCTCGTTTCAAATTGGTCTGCATTTGAAGGTTCACTACATACGGATAGGGTCACAGAGGTGTGTGTTCCTACTTTGTTTGGGGGAAGCTGAGGTTGGTTTGATGGTACGTAGGACTGGAAAGGCAAGGGCAGTTCACATCTCTCATCGACGGAGGCTCTTCACCTCCAGGAACCAGCTCTTCCTCCACCTGCAATCCAGCGACTTGCCGGTTTTGTTCGTTTCCCTGAGGCATATGGGGGCTGGGGGCTGGTGTTTGTAGGGTTCTTTTTTTGGCAGGTTTCAGGGTACGCCATACCAAGGAAATCCCCTTTCAAGGAGCAAATAGTCACAGTGAAATTCCCTCACAAAGGTACATCCATGTCAAGAGGGGTCTAGTTGGCCCAGCGTGCCATCCCTGCAGCATTGCGGACGGAATGCACTATGCCTAGGGCATTCTGCAGAATGGTGCTTGTTTGAGTCTGATGCTTGAGTCATGAGAAGCATGCTGCAGCCTAAACCTGTCGTACAGAGGTGTGGGGAAGTGACTAGATGACATGTGCTTGTCAAAGGCTACAGGCTCACAGGAGCATTGGGTGCAACGCGTTGGTACAGGAACCAAAGGAACGATCAGCTTCTACCTTTTCCTTACAGTGCTTCTTAGGTGTTTTAGCGAGTCCCCTTTCAAGGAACAAATAGTCACAGTGAAAATCCCTCACAAAGGTATATGCAATTCTGCGCATCCATGTCCACCATCCCTCCAGCAAGAGTCTTCTCCAATTTCGCAGATTTTACATTGCGAACTGAATGCACTGTGCCGAGGGCAGAATGGTGCTTGTTTGTGTCTGATGCTTGAGTCACAAGATAGATGCTGCTGCCTAAAACTATCGTACAGAGGTGTAACAACTGTAGGGAGGTGACTAGATGACATGTGCTTGTCAAAGGCTACAGGCTCACAGAAGAAGCCGGCATTGGGTGCAACGCATTGGTACAGGAACCAAAGGAACGATCAGCTTCTACCTTTTCCTTACGGTGCCTCGAAGGTTTAGGTGTTTGCTTGCTTGGTCCAGTCATGTCCAGTGAATTGTCCACGAACTGACCGGGCCTTGGGAAGCTCTTCCAGTTTCTAGTCTACCTGTTGGCAACCTCAAAGGTCCAGAAGCAGAGCCAATGTGCAAGAAAGTCAGCTTGTTCCGGGCCCTTCCCTTTTGATTTTGAGGAATCACTACAATAACCGGAAACAAAAGCGCGCGCTCAGGGTGACCTGTTCTGTTGAGTTTTCCCTCTCACCATCCAAAAATGGAATCCCTCTTGAGGGACCTGCCCAGCCTAAGTCGCTGAGGTGGTCACGACTCCGCCTCCGAATCGGATGAGGCCGGGGCTGGTGCGCTGGAAGAATGACTGAGCATCCATGGCAAATGTGGGCGTGTCGGAAAATTGGGGGTTCCGAAAAAGGGTGGATTAGCCCTTTTTGGAGCGCGTTTCTGTGTCATGTTGGGCTGTACCTTTCTGTCCAAAGCCACTGTCGGCCCTTTTGACAGGCAACTCTGCTCCTGGATTTGACAGGCCTTAGATCAAGAATGCGTACATCGCAGATTGAGCAGTCTTGGCCATGTGGGTAGAACGAAAATTCGGTTTTTGAACCCTCCGATGCAGGCAGATACACCAAATTATGCTTAACTGGGGATGAGTTGGCTGTGGCAAAAGCTCTCCCGGAAACTTAGTAGATTTCCAGGCGAAGCCGTTCGGATGTCCTCGAAGTTTTCAAGGACTGCGGCCCCGCGGCCGCCCCCAGCTTCGGCAGCGAAGCCTTCCGCGGCCCGGGCTGCGAACTTTTTGCTGGGTGTGTCACGCCAGTCCCCTTCGTTGAACTCCAATGCATCGTCGCGCAAGTCGAAGCAATACGCGCAGAGAACAGCGTCTTCACCATTGTTTGTTTGTGTTTTTTGTTTTTTGTCAAAGCCACGAGTTGTACAAAAACCCTCGGATTGGTATTCTTGAATGAATGCCCAATACGCCTCGGCCCCTAAGGCTCCTACTACGCCCACCAAAAGATCGCGCAAGAGGACCAGTGGCAGGCCGCCTACGAGGCGCGAAAGGGCAAGTACCACAAAACGGAAGTGACACATGTGCTGGGTATATTAGTAGGTGGCTCCACTAGCCGGCTTCATAGGCCTTGGAACCAAAAGTTCATGGGTTTGTGTGTGTGTGTGTATGTGTGTCAAATCCATGCGCTTAGGGCCGGTTCATTTTTTGACTCAAACGCACGCCGACAAAGACACGACGGGTACGAGGTTGGGGCTTGGCTCCCTGGGTGAGAGGCTGGCGTCAATTGTGATGACTAGCTTGGTGCAGGTTCCTCAGTTCTAAATAGTGGCCGCTTCCATTACGAGACCAAGGCCCGTGACCAAAAGTAATGGCGCCAATCAGCCTCAGACCCAGAAACACAAAAAGATCGTGACCACCCACTGGCGCCTTCCCGCTTGGACCTCAGGCACTGCGCACGCCGCTGCCGCAGACGCTGCGGATGCAGAAAGGTGCTTTGGCGCGGCGGGCGCTGGCTCGCCTGCGGCAGCGCCGTGGCAGTGGACGGGCAGTTTGGGTCAACCAGCGGTTCAGAACCTGCACCAAAGGACAAGCAGGTTGAACCGCCTCTTGTTCAGGCCATGTTCTCTTGCCTGAAAGCTGGTATTTCTGATCACGCAGGCGCTGACGCATTCTTAGGTTCAAGTGAAACTATTGGGATGAGTGGGAGGCGCATATCAAGAAGACCTCCGCTTGTTGAAGGTGGATCCACCTGTGGTGAAGCAGCGCAGTCCCAATCATTGAGGGTGAGAAAGTATTTGTGATATTGGGCCTATCTACAAAGGCAGTCTTGTTGGCAGTGCCCCCTAAAAGTGACTGGGCAGTCTGCGCTGCGCAAAAATGCACCAGCCCTGTGTCTACAACAGATGATGGGTTCAAATCAGGCGAGTCCAATATTTACCAAACACTGCCAGGTCATCCAATCCCCAACCATATTATTTCGGCAACTGCCAAATGTCAAGTCAGGCTTACACATGGCACTTCAGCCCTTTGTGTGCCGAGGATGGTGGCAGCTCGCTTGCAAGTTCTTTGACATGCGGCGGGGTCGGAAGGTGTGCCGGGGTGTGGTTGGAGCTCAGCTTTTGAAGCAGACTTCCTCTTCAAGAGAGTGCCTCAAAGGGTGGCCAAAAAACAACCCTTGTGTGCCTCAGTCGGGCCGGCGTGCCTGGACGTGAATGGCACATTGTGCAGCATCTTAAGGGCACTCTCAGCTGAAATCTTTTTCAGAGAACCTTCCCAGCAAGTCCTCACGTCGAATTGATGTGAGGCTCGCGAAGGCAGTCTCAGAAGCCCCCGCATCCTTAGCCTCAACCAGCTAAAATGAGCTGTCCCACCGACGACCCTCGCCTTGGAATGCTGCAAGGAGCTCAAGCCGCTGCCGCTCTGCGAGGACGCCTTTCAGCTGCCCAGCGCCATGTCTGAGGAGGCTGGGTGGGTTGAAGTACGGTGAGAAAAACCCTCGATCCAAACATGTCGGGGGTTGTGACAAACTACATTCGGGGCGGATGTCATGCTCCACAGGAAAACGGCTGCCCGACAGCTGATGTGGATCCAAACCGGATCAGTCCAACCTTACCCAGAAATTGTCCGTCGGAGGCCAGATCAGCTTCATGTGGGCCAAGAGCAAACAGCAAGGGCTGTTTCCTATTTAAGCATCCTGCCCAACCATACAGGCTGGAGGCCCACATTCCATGGCTTTTGGGCCTCGTTCCCAAGAAAAGCTCCCGGTTTCGACCTGTGAAATTCATCGCCTGCTGCGGCGAGGTGAAGAGCTTGCTGGCAGCGGGCCAGGAGGTGGGTGTGTGGCATCGCCAGGAGCCGAGCCGAGGAAGAAGTGGCAAGGTCTAGTTGCCCGGTGGCGGGAGGAGTTCCCTTTACAAATAAGCAACCAACACAAAGGTTTTGCGGACGTTTGCTGTTCTTGCCATGAAAACGCGGGAGAGAATTGCTTTGGTCCGAACTGCCACCTCAGTGCTAGCGGCGTCCAAGCTACAATGGAAGAATCTGACGAGGCTCATGTTCATGCAGTATGCCATTCAGTAAGCCCCGGCGCCTCACCCCAAACACTGACATCCAGCTTGACATGTGCACAGTTTTTTACTACATGAGGTGCCCTTGAAAGTCTAGGGTAATTATCGTGATTCATCGCTCTCGAGACAAGCTCCCAAAAGAGCCAAAAGTTGCTTGCTGACTCGTGCCAGGAGTGGGCCAGCATGCGCCTCGGACAGCAGCCCAGCTGTGTGCCTCGGTTCCTCCGGGCAGGACTCAGCTGGCGTAAAAGGCCAAACGCCCAAACCGTCAACCACGCAACTGATATACAGAGATCAAGCACTACCCCTTGGAGAGAATCCAAAGGGATGTCATGGTTGCAACAACACTTGCGCCTGGTTCTCGTTCTATTCGAGATTGTGCAGGCCTTGGCAAAAAAATCAATTTGCCGGTCCGTCCTTTGACAGACGAGGCCATGCACAAAGCCCAGGAAGGCCCTGAGGATGAAATGGGTCTTGTTCGTGAAGGGTTTGGTTGGTTGCACAAATCCTTGGTATTTTCCTGTGGCTTTGACGCAGATTTCTCAACTGGCAAAACTTGGAACAGAAACGACAAGGCGCCATGACCGCCGAATTGAAGGCTTCGTTGGCCTCTTGAAGGAACCCTTGTGACTTCGAAGCTTGAATCAGCGCCCTGCTTTTGAAGTATCGCGTGGCTGCTGAATCAAACTCACCCGTTCCTGTTGTCATGAGTCGATTTTTACCCCCAGGGAATTTATGTGCCAAATCAGAGCAGTGCAAACGAGCGACTCAAGGCCGACGGGTGAGCCCAAGCCTCGGAGCCTAGGCTGCCAGTCTTGGCGCTGGACCCGAAGCCGGGGGACTACGTCTTGGATCTTTGTGCGTCGCCAGGCAGCGGACGCAGCCCAACCCGTTGGACAGGGTGTGTTGCGAGTATATGGGTGTAGGTCAAAATTAAGCCACCAAGACACCCCAGGTTTTGGTCCATGTTGCCACTTACCAGGGTTCCATGTTGGGTACCTATTTTTGACCCACAGCCATATGTTTTTTCCTTTCCATCCTTGGTGCTGAAAGGAACAGCCCAATGAAAAGCCATCCTTTTCAACAGTCCCTGGAGTCTGACTCCACCCGCATTTCTGACACGCGCCCGGTTCTGCCGTAAAGCAAGTTCGCGTTGACAAGGAAGCTGCCGAGACCCTGCAAAGGATTGTGGCGTGATCCCGAAGGGGTCATGCCAAGAGTACTGATTGTAGGGAATGGCCCGTGCCCTTTGCCAAGGTTTATGGTGGATATGTAGAAAGAAACTCATTGGTGCTAAGCCTTGATGTCACGATTTGCGCATGATGTGACTAGTTCGCATCGCAGGTTGAACAAGGTGCTGAAACCTTCAGGCTTTCTTAGCCTGATTTGCGGTAAGAGTCCCCCTGGTTTGGGCTTACCGTGCTAAATCCGTATGAGCTCGCAGTTGAAGGTGGTGTTCACACCCTAGTTAGATCAACATGGCGGATTGATGGCGAAACTCCCGCACAGCCCAAAATGCAACAGCCCAGTCGTCAAGCAAGCCCAGGTTCCCTACTCCCCGCGAAACGTCGCACAGGCTCAAAGACGCTGCAGCTATTGGAGGCCACCAGGACCGGCGAAAAGCACACGGGCCGGTGGCAACCCAGTTGGTTTGCAAAGCCCTGGTTGAGGAAAACGGGGGCTGCCCCATTTGAGGGGGGAACCTGCGCTTTCGACGAGACCCCCAACAGAGTCAATTTCAGGGCCAACATTAGTTAGAAGAGCTCTGGCCGACCAGGACGTTCGTGTGGACTAGCTCGCTTGCCCTGCAGACATTGGAAGACGGCAAGAGATGTTTCCCTGAGCATCATGAGTGAGCTGATGTTCTCCGCAAGACCAGCATTACTTACCCTAGTCGCACAGCCGAGCACTTATTCCAAGCTTAGCAGTGGCTAAGGTGATGTCAACTTGGCTCCAACCGCTCACATTCGCCTGTGGTGCAGGTCTTCCGACGACGGAGGCGCTGGCTCGCAGTCGGTGTGTGCTCGCTACTTAGCCATGGATCCGTTGATTGGGGACTGCTGCGTTCGGATTTCTGGTTGAAAGAGCCATGAACATGGCCCAACAAAGGTAGTTTGACCATGGCACATCTCAGATTCAAGCGTCAACACAAAGGGTGGGCGTCCTCTCTCCAAAAAGGTGGTGCCTCGCGGCATCCGTTTTGATACGAGATGTGTGTGTTGCGGATGCAGGTAATTATTCCCCAAACACACAAGATGCCATTCCACTTGATTGTGATTCTTCATGCAAAGCATCTTAGCAACTACCTGTTCTGCTTCTGAATCAGACCCCATGTGACCATGCCATGCACGCCAGGCATTCTGTTGGTCTTTGTGTTTTGACTCAGACCCGGCCACATACGCCGATTGCCACCGATTGGGCTCGGCAGGGCTGGTGGTGGCCAACGATGCCTCGCGGCCCCGCGCGGTGGTGGTGGCTCAGCGCTGCCGGCGCGGCAGCAAGGAGAGCTTGTTGGTTTCTCGGATGAGAAATGGGGGCGGGGGCAAAACCAACGGTACCATTTTGGGGTAGGTGCACCACCCATTTTAGTTTGTTTCAGTGTGGATTGGGATGTTCACTTGGGGGTACGGCCTTGTGACCCATGGCCAAATTTTGCGGTTCGCTCGTAGATCACGTTGCTTTTTTCCTTACCAGTCTTGCACTCCGGTTTCACCTGCCAGCATGACCCATGACTCATTTGGGACACGTCACATCACTGCTGGTGTGTCCGCTGCCCAAATTGGGTGAAGATGCGCTCAACGTGCAAAGTTGTGCGGCACTGTGTTCTGAGGTCACCAGTTGTGATGGCAGGGACTTCCCCTCGCTGAAGCGATGGTGCGACCGCAAGATCAAGTTCCAGCAACTTGGCGCAGCTTCCTCTGCCTAAAACACACCCATATTCAGCCTGGAAGGCAAAAACCCCTTGGGCCCTCAGGTTCGGGCTAGAGCTGGGCGGGGTCCGATCTTGGACCCGGGCCAGAGGTGGCCCTGATGTATACATGTCATATATGTATGTAGAGATTAACATATATATATATATATACATACATACATACATACATACATGCATACATACTGCGCACACACACACAATATGCTTCAAAAAGTAGATAACAGGAACTAGGGGATTCGAGCGCGGGTGTTCTTGAACATCCATGTGGCGTGGTTGCCTGCACAGGTTGGGCCAACGACTTGTGTGTTCACATGTTTAACCCACTTATTTCGACCCCTGATTAATCTCCCCCCCCCCCCGCCTTTTTAGCGGATTTCCCCTCTCCATTCTGCTCAAGGATCATGCTCTTCAGACATGTGCTAGAACCCAGGATAAATGGCTGTTTCTGAACAGAAGACTGGGAGGAGAAGGGGAGATGTCCAATGTTTGATTCACATGTTCAACTCTCTCCCCAGCAAAAGAAATGTTCAGGGTTCCCCCCGACCTTCACCTGGCCCAGGAAGGTCCTGGTGGACGCGCCCTGCTCAGGGGACGGCACGCTGCGGAAGAACCCTGGGAACTGGGCCAAGTGGAACGCCAAGGAGGGGAACAGCCTCCACCACCTGCAGCTAGGCGGAAAGCGATGCCAGGGGTGCCGGGTGGTTTTGTTGAAAACGATTCATTTCTGGGATGTCTCGCCAAGCGAAGGCGTCCTTTGGAAGTCAGGCAAGTTGTTTTGCTTTAACTTGGGTAAGGATGTTTTGTTGGCTAATTTAATGGCTCCCCTGAAACCGCAGTATTCCATTTCTGGGTAACCCAACCCCGCCTCGACGTGGTGCAAATATCAAGATTTGGGCCTTGACCACCAGCATAACGCTCCCGATCTCACCCTGGCGGCCTTTGCAAAGGAAGCTCGGCCAAGAAACTGCACCCAGATGTCAGGTTGGATGTGTTGTGTGCTGTGCTGTATTGATGACGTTGACCCTCACGACGGACAACTGTGGCAACGCTGAAAGGCAAGGGATGAGGTCTTGCGACGGCCGCCTCTTTTTCAGGGTTCTATCACTTGAATCTCTTTGTTCAAAACAGGCAACCCCCCAACAAGGACGCTTTCGCTGCTCGTTTCCCAATAAAACCATCCAACAAGAGTACCTGCTCAAAAAATGAAACCCACACCCGAATCCGCAAATTCCGCGTCCGCAACTTCCGCAACTTCAGAAAACCGATCCGACGGTCGCTTCGGAAGGGCTGCTGCGCCGGGGCTTCGAGTGCCTGGAGCCCCAGGGCCGCTTGGTGTACTCCACGTGCTCCCTGAACCCCGTGGCGCCTCGGCTTGATCCGAGTGGGGGCAGAGGCTCGAGGCGATTGGGGAGATGGGGATGGGAAAAGCGCGGCTTTGAGTTGTTGGCTGAAAGTGCATGTTTTTTTTCTTTTGCAAACATATCTATTCCAGTCACTCGAAGATTCGCCTTGCTGCAGCCTCACCAATGGATTAGAGACGCTGACTACGGGATGTATCACTGATGCAGTTCACTCCTTGTGGGACAATGTGATTTTTGTTGTTCAGATGCCCCTTCGGTCCAAGGTACCTTTGATACGTGTCTGGCCTCATTTCAGCCTGCCACAGGCACTGCCGTTACCTGAAAAGGGAAGCAAAGCCCAAGGATATGTTCCACCCTCCCAACCCCAACCCCCCCCACCCACCCACACACCCACCAAAGCCACCCACCCACCAAAGCCACCCACCAAAGCCACCAAAGCCACCAAAGCCACCAAAGCCACCCAGCCGCGAGCCTCGCTGCCAAGGAGGACGAGGCGGTGGTGGCCGCTCTGCTGGCGGAGTTCCCCAGCGCCCAGCTGCTGCCCTGGGCGCCTTCCATGGAAGGCCTCCAGGCGGGAGACGAATGGAAGCGTTGCTGGCGTTGGCGTTGGGAGGGGGGGCCAATCAACCTTTGAATAGAGGTTTTTAGATTTGGACGCCTCTCGAAAGACCCCTTTACTCCAGGTTTGTAGGGATCCTCAACCTTTTAATTGGCGATAGTGGAGAGAAGGTGTCCGGTTGAGGGATGAGCGACCAAGACTCGCATATGGAGGTTTGACGATGCCACATTGGGCGATTGGAACGGAGCTCTCAGTGCCAACGAGTGCCTTGCGGATGTTGGCGCCGTGAGCTGTGGGTTTTCCATGGCACGAAGACAGTTTTCCCTCCTCTTGTGGTTCGCATGGCCTGCTCATCCCGCCTCGCAGGAGGGCTTGACCACTTGGCTAGTGCCGGACAACCGCTTCGAACAGCCGCTCGTTGGAAGGGGCCGACTATGGCAAACGTAGCAGGAGCGGTGCCTGTGATCATCTTGCCGTAGCAGTTGATGCCCCCCAAACGGACAGCTAGATGCAGGCCGTGAAAGACAAGTCCTGTCGGTTGCCAATTCTTCTTAGCTGTAATTGACATCACAATAGAAGTTTGGATGCCCAATGGAGCATCGGTGGCAGGGCTGCTCCCATTGAACAAGTGTTCTTTTGACTGACTGGCTGGCTGCTTGGTTAGTTGGAAAGCCACCTTCCACCATTCTCCGGCGTGTTTGCTTCTGATTTGAGTCCGCCAAGGACGGGAACGATGTACAGCAGCTATGCGGAGGTACCTGAAGACCAGCTTCTCAGCTTCGACAATAGAGCTGCCCAGGGCTGCGTTTCCAGGAACCTTTGTTCTGCTCGTTGTGCAACGGCCAGACCTCAAGTACAATAGGACATGGGAAAGGCGGGCAAGCATATTGGGCTGTGCGCGAACAGAAGGATCCTGGATGGAAGTGGAGAGCTTGATTTCTTCATTTGGCATGTTTGACTTTGGTGACCGTGCCGCCGATATGTGTATCGAAGAGGGAACTAAGCAGGGCCCTTGTTGGCGCCTTCCGCCGAGTGCGCCTTAGGCGAAGCACGCTGAAGGCGGGTGCCCCGGAAAGTGTCCTGGAGCCGGGAAGGGACAAAACTTGCCACCGTCTCATTCAGCAGTCGAGTGAAACTTGATATACTCCATTGAATAGGCGCATGCCTGTTGCCAAGTAGCATCAGGACGACGCCGCCGATTTGAGTTTTTCTCAGCGACCCCTGGTTGAGGTTCCAGGGCATTTGTTGTGCAGATGCAAGACTTCCCAAGTGCAAGCGCATTGACTATGCGCGTATCTTCTGGAGTTCGAATTGAGAAGGTGATGGTCCAACGCAACCTGGGGCAATTCTTGAAGTAGCTTGGCGATCGGGCCTTTGCCTCTCCCACATCCCGAGTGCTTTTTGGATTTGGAGTAGAGGTGCTCTGGTTGTTGCTCAGGCAAACAGAAAAGCCACTGCGCAAATCATTCCAACAGAGAGGTGTGTCACCTCCATTGGTCGAAGACACTTGAGAAACCGTCAACATGTCCGCAATATGCTGCAGCAAGGGATGGAGGTGACAGGCGACACAGGGCAACCTCATTACATTGAATGAGAGAAATCGAGAAACATATTCACCCCGGGTGTGCCTTTTGATTTTCTGTGAAAGGAAACAGATGGAACCTTGAGGGCAGCCCCCGCCCGGCCATGGCTTCCAAGCGTCAGCCAGGCCTCGATGTTCCCCGGCCAAGCGGCGCTGGAGCAGCTGAAGCTGTGCCGCCGCGTGCTGCCCTGCCGCCAGGTGTGGCCAAAAGCAAAAAAAATGGGGGCCTGGCCAGTTCGAAGGGTATGAAATCGCTGCAATAGAGGAGTTGTGTTTGACATTTGAGCGTATGCCATAAGTAGTACGAAGTGAAATGAGCTGAGTTGGAGTTTGGAGGGCTTCCAAATTTGAAAAGTTAGTGTCAGGAGACCTGAAGCCGGGACGAGAGCCACCAGGGAAGCCTCTCGTTTCTCAGATAGCGTCCCTTGCCGCGGGGCGATGTTATGGCGATGTGCATCGGTCCGTTGTGCGACGTAGTGTCATTGAGGGGCGGACACAGACATCCAAACCCTTGCCAAGAATGTGAATAAGTTGGCAGAAGGAGCATTCCGGGGCAAAGAATCTCATCCATAGACGTGTTTGAGAAGATTCACCAGATGCTGACGTGCATCGTCTAATGGGGAAGGCGTAACCTTGTTGGCTGCGATGCAAGAGCCAGTGATATAACTTGGCAGGTTTGGCCAAGTGATGTTCCATCTTCGGACTCAATGGCCAAAAGGTTAAATTGACAGCCATGCTTGTCAAGACCTGTGTTCTACTCGGACTTGCCAACGCTATGGTGACTGTGACACGCGGCGTTCGTCACATCTTGGCAGCTGTGGTTGGTGGCAAGCTGGTGACCCTAATCCTCACTGTTGGGGCATGTGCTTTGCACTTGCGGGCAAGGAATCCAAGAAGCAAACATACTACATCCAGACCCGATGTAGGAATTGTTTGCAAAACGTTATCAATTGATCAATTGTCGCAGGCAGCCAGATCACTGCAGCATTCCGTCGCAAAGTGCCCCAAATCATCCCAAATCATCTTATCACAGACACAAGCCCAACTTCTCATCGCACTGAGGTGTGGTTTGCTAGACCCCGCATCCTCCTACGTAGTACAAGTTGACCTGGTCGATTAGGCTATGCTCCCTTCCCTGACGCCATGCACGGCAACTTTTACCATCCATCCCTTGTGATTTGTTGGGTTCCTGCGTGTCAAAAAGATCCGTGTAAGAGACCTGAAGAGGTGTTTGTGAGATGGCGCTGGGTGGTTAGTCGTGCTTGGTCCCTTCAGACAACCTCCGACAGCTACCGGTCTTGCTTGACCAGGAGGCACCGCACGGCGGGTTCTTTGTGGCGCTGCTCACGAAGCAGAAAGCGAGCCTTGGCTGACAGCAAAGGGTCGGGAGAGGACAGCCCGAGCGGGGCCGGACGGAGATCGGGGTTTTGATGTGGGTCAAAACCAATGGTACCATTTTGGGGTAGGTGCACCACCCATTTCAGTCTCTTTTAGTGGGGATTGGGATGTTCACTGGGGTACAGGGTTTTGACCCATTTCTTTTTTACCTGACCCTGGTTGTCCAACGCAAGTGGGAGCAGAGCTCCCTCAGCTGTGGTTCCATGCCAGTCCACCCGGCTGCAAGATGTCCATGTGTTTGCTCAGGGGCAAAGACGAGCTGGAGGAGACGGCAGATGGTGCAGCAGAAGAGGCAGAAGAGGCAGAACCAGCAGCTGCGGATGCCACAGCAATGAAGGCCGGGTGGTCCAAGAAGCAAGTGCTACAAAACCTGTCTGTAGGCGCTTGCGAGAAGAATGCGGAGGATTGCAAGGCTATCAAACTTGAGACATGTGCTGCAAGTCAAGTAGTTGCAGAATGTGATGGGGATGCTGCCGGCAATGGGCATGTTGATTGAGGCAAGTTGTCCAAACCCTGCAAGTCATGACGGCGGATTCCTTGGTCAAGAAGTCGCGGGTCACGAATAAATCAAAGCATCACCTTGTGCAACCAAGCCTTAATCCATCCTGGCGCAGGATCAGCCAAAGGGGAAGCACAAGCGACGCTTGCGCCATGGCGTGACTGGTTGGATTCCACAGGCCATGATCAAATGGCGTTCGCCTGGGAGTTTGCGGCTCCTGTTTACAGTTAAGTCAACATCCAGTTCGAAAGCTCTGGAAGTGGGTCAACGGGAAATGCTTCAAACCTCGCTGCCTGCTTTTATGCGAGTCAGGAGCAGTGCAAGCTGCCTGAGGCGCCCAGTTGGAAAGCAGATGAGTAGGATGAACCTCTCCTTGAGAACACACATCCAAAGACAGCTCTTTTTCCTCCCGGACCCTTTCTGAGGGCATTCGAAATGCACAGTGCATCAAGCCCCTTCTTTTTGTTGTTCTTAGTTTGAGTTGAGCCGAAGTGTGAGGATACCCCGAACTGTGCCGTCTTTCGAGGCAAATAGTGCAACGACATTTCTTGCTTTTCGGGGAGCGAGCCCACCTCGACGTCCCAGGCGGGGCCTCTTTCGCCCGGTTCCGGCTGAGACGTTGCGCACCATTGAGGCCTGGGGCCACGGTTTATGGGGGGAGGAATTCAAAAGGGGATTGCTCCATTGGATGTTTGAGGCCCACTTTTGCTGTTTGTGTGTGTGTGTGTGTGTGTATGTGTGGGATGTTTGGGAACCATGTTTGCAGTATCGGACCTCAGAGTGGAAGGTAGCTCCTGCGCACCGACGTGGGGTGAAGTGTGATGCCTTTGTGACTGGGTTTGCAGGAGTTGTTGATAGGACCAATTGGGACGAGGGCGCTGGCGTAATAAGACGGGCCAAGTTGTCAAGACCTTCTAGTCGGCAATGCATCTCAAGAAGACATGTGTCCTTCATGTCATCCGTCTTTCAACGTGTTTGCTCTCCACTTACTCTCAGCCCCTGTCTGGTAGTCTCTCCCTACACGAAAACCCAAAAGCTGGATCATGCGTTCAGTCTTGTCTTGCAAACATGGATTGCATCCTCGCATATTTACCCCATTCATTTCTGCCACCTCACCATCTGCAGGTTGTATCCTTGACACCTTTTTCCAAACTCAATTTCATCTCTCACCTCCTTGTCATAGTTGGTCTACTCTAAAACATACACTGCTCCCCTACAGACTAGCATGGAACCCAAAGAAGCCATCATTTCTAGATGAGTCTCTTCTTTTGGGGCGGATCACCGTTTTGGGTTCCATGTGAGCCTCGTTTTTTTGGCTTGTCCCTTCCAACCCACGGCTCCCTGAACCGCCCTGCCTGCCAGGACTTCTGGCAGCTCCGAGGCTTCCCCTCGGAGCGGCTGCGCTTGAACCGCCCGGGCCAGGTGGTTCTGGCCACCAGGCGGGGGGGCAGAGGGGTCGGTCGGACGGCAGGGTGTGGGCGGTTGGGTGAACTGGGTGTCGGCGAAAAGGTGGTTTTGACCCACCACCAACCTGACTGGCGACTGACATGTACTCTGAGAACCGTGGTTGCGGAGAATTGGAAGTGGCCAGGGGAACCCCCCTAAAGTGAGAATGTAATCATGGGGCTAAACATCCCATACTGATACATCTTCCCTTGGCTTGTGTCTCTCCAGTGCCGTAGGTGGCAGCATGAACTTTGACGGACTACGCTCCCAACGGCCTCTGACAGCCGTTAATACCAGATCCTCCAGCAGCTCATAGTCCTTGATCCGCCCTAAGAAAAGCCACATGCAGATGTTGTTGTTGTTGTTGTTTTTTGTTTTGTTTTTTTAAGCGTTATGTCATATCATTTTGCGTTGAGGGATTGGTACGAGATGGTTGTAAGCAACAGGGCCACACAAAAAAAAGAGAGTGTAGCTTCACAGCCAACAGCCTGGAGATTCTGCGCAGGGCCCTGGGAACCTGCTTCCTAGGCAAGAAGGCCGGCCGGGGTGGAGGGCCATAGCAGGTGCATGGCAGTCGCAAGCCAAGTTGTTTCTGAAAAGGAGGGGTTCCTTAGGGCCCACCGACATTGACCCCGAAAAGCAAGGCCAAATACCAAGCAATGAGATCAAAAGGGTAACTCTGATTAGCTTGCTCTCTAAAAATCATATGCGAGAGTTACGTCCCAAGCTTGAGTTCAAGCGAGCCAAAGATCGGCAGCTGCTGGCACCTTGCATTACATGCAGGAGGCGGAGGCTCTCACCTTTTCTCACCGCACCAAAGGCTTCTTCGTGTCAACAAGACGAGTGTGCTGCGGCCACAAATGCGTCAAGGCATCACGCAAGCGTGCCATGCCTTCCCTCTGTGGACCCTTGGCACCTTACACAGGGATGAACCCGCGACCAGATCCTGCAAGGTTCCACGATCCTCCGCAGGCAGTTTTTTCATCTCCAGCAGGTGGAGTTGCCCATCGTCGAGGGCGCCTGCGCCATCTTCGCGCCAGAGAGCCTGCGGCCCTTCGATGAAGCAGCGCCGCGGACTGCGAATTGAGGGTGCAGTTGCCAGGGTCCAGGTCCCTTTGTCTAGGCACAAATGAGTGACACGGTTCGCTTGAGAAGAAACCCAGAAACCATTCGGGCCTTGCGATACGTTTCTTTTGGCTAGGAGTTTCTGGTGCTTCACAGGTCTGAGGGGTCTCTGGTTTGAGAACCTATATGGCACTTGCTCTAGATTATTCGCCTCATGATGCAGACCAACAAGGGCCAGGACCCAGTATCCACCGAGTGTGTGGGTTTGTCTAAGCTAGTGGCCGTATTGAGATCGGACTCAGACCGAGAACCAATATGAAGCCAAGCATTCGCAGAGGCCCCACGGCCCCTGAGACATCCTTATGCACTTGGGTCAGGGCTTCTACTACCATGGCCTAAACGAAAGCTGCAAAAGCCAACGATGGTCAACCCAACCTGAAACATACCCGCATACCTGTTTCAGGTGAATTTTCAGGAACCACCTTTCATAGGCTTGCTGTAAGATCCTCAGGAGTGAGGGGAGAACCACACTGGGTCCCCAGTAGTGCCCTTTTACCGTTTCTTTTTTGGGGGCAGGGCTCCCCTCTTCTTCCAACCTCTCTACTGGAGGACCTAGCACATGAGCCTTGTGAGTGCCCTGGGGTGGCTTCAACCAGGTGCCGCTGCTGGCGGCGTGCTCGGGGCGCAAGCTGCAGCTCAGCCCGGAGGAGTTCCTGCGGGTTTTGGAGGCGCTCGACTTCTCGTGCCGCGGTATGTGTGTTGTGCGTGTGTTTGTTTTGTTGGGGGTACTCCTTTTTTGTGGGTCGAAAGGGAAAACCAAAGGGAGCACCACCCGTTTTGGGGGGTCCCCTAAAAAAATGACGCACCCACGTGTCATGATGTCCGGCCAGTTTTCACAAACCCGCCATACCTGATTGTTTACTTGTGAGGCTGTCAGGTTCTTTTCGAGTCACAGGCAGGTTTGCGTGTGTGGGCAGTGTCTTTGCTCCTACTCGTATGGATTGTGCGGGGCTTCACCTTTGAGCTTGTGACTACACGCAAATGAAGTTGACTCCTTTTCAAGAGTAGAAGTCTTCTTTGAGGGGGTCCCTTGATTTTGAACCAAAGGGGAACATTGTCAACAGTAACCGCCTCTTGGCCAGAACAGTGTAGGTGTGACCCTTTGTCTTCCTGAAAAGGGGGTCAAATCGTCTCCTCCCCATGCCGATGCCGTCTCCCCAGTCCTCTGTTGGGCGAAGCCACCACCTTGGCAGGCGGCCCAAGAGCAGGACCAAAAGGCAGAGGCTCCTCGGTCGCCCTCGGTGCTTTTCGCTTGCTACCTCGGTCCCTATGGTGGAACATTCCTTTCATATCGGGTGTACAAGGCGGTTGGCCTCGGTGCAGAAGCGGACAGAGGGCAATTCATTGACAAAGGGAGGGGCACCTTTCCATCATTGGAGTTTGGTGAAGTATGACAACTCATTCAGAAACAGATTCGAAATACGAATCACATCGGAAAAGATTACTCACATACATTTAGCGCGCAACATCCCTATGTCATTTGAGGCCGCATTTCCTCCAAGTCACCACACCAAGACGCCACCACCGACTTAGGCCACGGACTTGGTGCTGCTGAGCACCGACGACTCGGTGACGGCGGGGCACCAGGGCACTTGACGCTGAACCCGAACTGGTGCCACTGGCGATTCAGTCTTTGGTGACGCCGTAGCCACGAAGATCTTGTGCAAAGTGGAACCTGCAGAAGGGAATATGTCTTTCTCAGGAACGCTGTCCTACTGCGGTGTGAGTCACTTGGTTCTCAAATGATGAAGCTGCGTTTGATTCTGGTCCATTTTTAAGCAATCGTTTTCCCATTTGTGCTATTGGAGAGTGAATCCCGTTCCTACCCCTTCTTCTTTTCATTTCTCCTTGCGTTGCAGTGTCTCCTCGAGACGTTCCTGGCATCCTTGTTGACATTGTTCCACCTTTCTGCAAGCTGACTTGTCACAACCTCAGCACTGACTTGTCACAGCCTCAGAGACTCCGTGGTCAGTGTTGTTTCTCAAACGCTCGCCAGCATCTACACTTCCAGAAGTTGTTTGTGAACCATACTACTTCAGTCACACAAGACCCAAACAGATCCGTCCGCATCAGCCCCCATGTCCCACCACACACCCATCCCAGCGGGGCCTGGGCCGAAGCCAAAGGGGCGCTGAACTCGCAGCGGCGTGGGGAGGTCCTGGGCGCGCGCCGCGGCGGCGAGCTGCGGTGCCTGGCCTCCAAGAGGTGCGCCGAGCGGATGTTGCCCGTTTACCTGGGCCCAAGAGCCAAGCAAGCCGGTCATATCAATCAGTTGCCACTTCCGAGCTGCAGCAAGTTAAGACATCACAAACACCACAAACATCCAAATGCCAGCCCATAGCCAACAAGCATCGTGAACGCAGCCAAGGGACTTATACTAGGCTCCAATTACATCTTCCCAGAGGCACCCCTACCTACGCAGCATAGAGGGCTAACCGTTGGTAGTCCACTGGGGAAGCCTCCCTGCCAGCCTTCATATTCCCTAATTACCAACCGGAGCAAGAAGGAAATGGGAACTTGCTCGGGAAGAATAGTTGCTCGGCCAGAGCGTGCGGCAAGAACAGTATTGGAAGGTTTCTTACTACCGCGAGCCAGAACATATCCATCATTGCCCCAGGAAGGTGAGCAGGCTTTGGGCAGCTGCCATTGTTCAACAACCCTACGACCATCCAGTGCGGTACGGCAATGGGGTTCTTTGACGAGAGTCTTGGTACATGTGACCTCCTCAACGCAAAAGATCTGGAAATGTGTAGGATGTCTCCTCCCAGTGAATCAGCAACTCTTCCCGCCAGGAAGCATCATCCATCCGCTGCCCCTTCCGGTCCCTTGGCATACGCACGCCTTGCCGCCGCCGGAAGCCACCACGGCTACAGCGCGTCGCGCACCTTGCCGGCTGCCGGCCCAACGGGAGGGAGCCATGGCGCGGTGCCTGGCGCGGTCGCTGAAGGCCGGTGGTGGGCAGTTGGGACATGGATCCGAGGTCTTCCATCAAGGGCTGGGCATCTGAGAGCTTGAGTTTGTGTACGTTGGTGTCAATCAGAGACCAAACCACCAAGTCTGACCACATGGCGGAATGCCCATTTTGGAGGCGTCTTCGTTTTGCCCGTGTAAGGTCTTCAGTGCACCTGCGGCGCGGCTTGCGCCGCTGGCCTTGTACAGGCCAAGATCAGAGTGTTAGAAACTGGAGGCCACCCGTAGCCGGGTTTGAGAGTTTGAGGGAAAGAAGCAGCTGGCTATTTGTGTTTGGGGAATTTAGATTTGCAATCGCTCAGCGGCTGTTCCGATTGCTCTTGGTGGCTGTTCGATTCGTTCGAGTATGCTTGTGGCCCTGGAGGCCATATGAGTACTTTGGATGCGAGTTTCTGGTGAAGAAGTGCGCAAACGTGTCCTTTCCACAGCAACCCCCTTCGACAAGGCAACCGGCACCAGCAGAAGTGATCAGCAACACCACTGCAGATGTGCCTCATGGGCCGAAGGATCCGTTTTTACGCCGGCAGAGACTCGAGGAGCAGCTCAGTGCAAAGAAAGGCGTCAGTTGCACCTGTGGCCGAGCAAAGCCCACTTTCGGATGGCCTGACGATACGCAGCCCTTGTGGTGTGCAAGATGTAGGGCTAAAGGCATGGTCAAGCTTCGAGGTCCCACATGCAGATGTGGCAGGGCAAAGCCATTATTTGGGATGCCAAGTGATGCCAACCCCGCTTGCTGCAGCAAGTGCAAAGAGGAAGGCATGGTAAACATCCGAAGTGAGAAGTGCAAGTGCGGCAGAGCTCAGCCTAGCTTTGGCTTTGCAAATGAACCAGGGCGCGCTTGTTGCAGCAAGTGCAAAGTTGAAGGTATGGTGGACAAAAAAAATCCGAAGTGCAGGTGCGGCAAAGCTCGGCCTTGTTTTGGTTTTGCCGTTGACACTCGGCCTAGCTGCTGCAGTCAATGCAAAGACGCGGGCATGATCGATATATGCAGTCCCAGGTGCAAGATGTGCAACAAGCATGCTCACTATCCCGATGAAGCTGGCCGACGAAGACAGTTTTGCGCAAACCATTCTGCTGAAGTGGGAGCGCATGCGCTGTTTCAGCCTGGTCGATCTCGCATTGCGAGCCAGTTCTTCGATGCATTAGAGAAGGAAATTCGAACTGAATTTCCTTTTCGCCACAGATTCGATGCAGAGACTGCCACCTGGTCGGGCAGGGAGTTTGCAGGGCTAGTGGCTGATCGCAACCTGCAGCCCGATGCGTATGACCCAGTGGCCCGCAAGGTTGTCGAGTTTTTGGGCAATTTCTACCATGGCTTTCCACCTGAGCACCCACAGTGACTGTGCTGCATGGGAGTGCTTTGATTCGTTCAAGCGTGTTGATCCGATTCAGATTCATCCACCTGACCCACCCTGCAGAGACTTTTGTCGCTGGGCTTGGTGGATGTAGAAGAATCAGAGCCGCCAAATGTAAGTCAAGAACGGTTTTAAACGTTGAGAACCCCAGGTACGATTGCGAGCCCCAAGCAGCAGGCTATCATCCAAACCGCTGGCGGGTTGGTTGAAGCATGTTGACCTTCATCAGCTAGGCTGACCAAGGCAAGTATTGTGTTGTTGGAGGCTCCATGCACAGGGCCTGGAGTTTGTTTGGAAAGGGCTTGAGATGCACGTTTTTGGTTCCTGCCAACTTTGAACATGCCAAACATGTCTGGGCCAATGGAAGGGAGAAGACGCCGGCAAGACGAATGTCAGTAGAAGTCTATGTCTCTTTAAGAATTATGTCGGAATGCCGCCCTTGGTGTTTTTACACTCATGATGTTAATGGTTCTCTTTGAATCGGTGAAGGTCGAGAATCAGAACAATCAGCATTCCAGAGAAGCGTTCAGCAGAAGGCTGCATGCTCCTTTGCAAAATTGTAGCGGCATGTGGTTTCATGAGAGCTGCTCAGAGCTGGCATAATTTGGGTCTGTCTCAAATAGGGAAGCCCTCAAAGTGCCAAGTGGGTGGTTTTCATTTGAGTCTCTCTTGGAAGACACCCCTCCAAACCGGGTACCGTTTAAAAAGCAACTTTGCGCCCAGGCACGACACCTTCACCTGTGTCGGCAACAGACCAGCGTCGGAGCTGCACGCAGAGACGATGGCTCGACTGGATTTGTTCCTCGCGGAGGGGCTGACGGTCTGCTACATCTGGGAGCATGACTTCAGGCAGTGGCAGAGGGAAGAAGCTCGGCTGCAATTGGAAGAGCTGAGTTTGGTTTTTGGCTTGTTCTTAGTGGTTCAGCACCGTTGGGCTGGCAGTGGCGCACAACCAGTTTTAGTTCCTCAGTAGCAGACTCCGACCTTGTCCGAGAGAAGTGAATTGGGATTTAGAACTGTTCATGGCAGTTCCGGTCGCGTCGCCAGCGGATTGGGTATGTTGTTGCCGGCTTGCAAATCGAGGGCGGGACATCCTGCAATCCCATCAACGGCACCCTCAGTAATTTGAACACTTATGTCTGGTGTTCTGAAGTACGTACATCCTACTTGCAATGACTTAGAGCGGGTACTTGCCCAGGTTGCCTCTGGCGCTTCCCCGGCCATTGCCAGCCGCTTGCGAAGGCACGTTGGCATCGCTGGCAAAAGAGGCGCAAGAGCGGCAGCTGACGGTCTTCTGGTGCATCGCGAGCAGTGTGGAACCGAAACAGTTCTTTTCCCCGGTCCCTGTCAAAGGGCGATTCCCAGCCACGGTCCACTCCATTCTCAAGCTTCACTGAAGTGGCTACCCCCCAGACACCCACCAAACACCAAGGTTTCGGCTATCTTCTCGCCGATTTATGTTCACTACAGCTCCCCCTTTAGCGCTCTGAACAGACTACGGTGCTTGTCGCCTTTGGAGATCCAGGTACAGCAGCATGCTGCTGGAGCTGCTGCGCCAGATCCGCCAGGGCGAGCAGCGCTCGAGCGACGAGAAAAGGTGAGGCCTTATGGAGGTTTGGGGGCCCTGAAAGAGGAGGGTATTCCTTGAAAAGGAAGAACTACTTTCAGTGACCTCATTCAGGTTCCATGTCTGCTTTCGGTGGAGGCTACTCCACGTTCGTGTAAGCAGCACCACTTGAGAGTTAAGTTTGGATGGTGCGCAGCACAAGGCCAGTATGATGCCTCTTATCTCTCTTTGCTTGTGCTTGTACTTACCTGGATCCTCCTCAAATCCCAAGCAGCCCATGGGCTATCCTTTGCCCATGCCCCGCCCGAAGCCTTGGCTCTAAGCCTGCGGCGCCTGCCTGCGGAGCCAACTTCGAGGCGCTGGCCTTGGCAGCCCAGCGGTTCGTTTCAGGTCGGGGGGGCATATGGTAGCATTTTGGGGTAGGTGCACTACCCATTTTAGTCTATTCTAGTGGGGATTGGGATGCTCACTGGGGGTACGGGCTTTTGACCCATGGCCATATATATTTCTAAGATCATCTAGTATCAGAACCCGATTTTGGTTTCTAGTTCGAATAAGTAGACATGGACAACCGAAGAAGGAGAAGCATGTTGTCCCCTGTGGAAAACCACAAGTGATGCCTGGTGTCTTGTTTCGGAGCTTCCACACTGGACATGACCAATCAGAACAAAGCTTCTTTGTTTCTCACCGTCCCCAAGGGCCAGCGGGTAAGTAAAGCGGAGATGTGCTGCGGTACATTGAACCCAGCTGGTTGAAAACGCATGCTCTCATCATCCTCAGTGGTGTGATAAATGCCCTGCACCAGATCTGATTCAGTTTCAAGCAGCTGGACGCATTGTAGAAGCCGCACCAAAAACGTCAGCGTGCTCGGGCCTTGGCAGCTGCCACAGGCAGCTGCACCCAGTCAAACATGGCGGCCCGCCTTGCGCGGGTGCTGCAGAAGGCGACGCAGGGGGGAAGACAAACACGAATCAGCCGGAAGGGCCGCTGACTAGGTGGCCACTGAAGCTTTGATGCTGATTGAAGAGCGGCATGAAGTGCGGTTGGACAGTTTGCTGAGATTGGCACAAAGTGGCGCAGGTGGTGCACCCTCCGCAGCTACGGCCAGTAGTGGCGACTTGCAGGCCGGGGCACGAGTCACTGATTGTTGGGCCTAAGATATACATGTGCTTGACTAGTCCTAGAGGAAACCCAAGGGGACAAGCAATTGTTGCCTTTGCTAGACCGGGAGAGAGTGGAGGTTGGGCCGGTTCCCTGCCCAAGCCTTTTTTACAGGAAGCTGAGATGCAGTGGCATATCCTTGCAGAGCACCAAGACTTGGAGCGACAATGAACTTTAGAGAAGCCAGTATCTCTTTCCCGGAAAATCGGCGCTCGGGGCTTTCTCCTGAGGCAAAAACTGTTCACTTACCAAGGCAGTTCCTTGAAGTTGAAGAGACGGTGGTCGCCTTTACTCAACCTCGCGCTTGGCCAAGCTGTTGTTCTATTCCACGGCCGGGGGTCACCATCCTGAGGCTCAAAGTCGAATTTGCTCCTTGTAGGTGGCTGTTCCCCTTCGACTGATCATTGCCCCGTCCATGAGTTGAATAGTTGTCCTTTGCTCAAGTGCAGCGCCAGAACTCTGACTACAACCTACAACCATGTCTTTGGTAAGGACCCACCGATTTTTGCCGGACACTGTGGGCACCAACATGATCTTGCAAGTAGAGATCCTGTAACAAGCCCTTGTCATTTATGTTTATCCATTAATGGCTATACATATGAACGGTTTATGTACAGCACTCCTTGCATCCAGATAGTGGCACGGCGGTGTTTGAGCGTGTCAGGCCCGGCTTCTGGGATCACGGACTTGCGCCTTTCCAGCAAGCTGCTCGCAGGTTTGCTGCGACTCCGCCAAAGCTCCCCATTGCCACATTGCGCGTAGACCTGCCGCCACCCACCGGGCAAAGAGTCAAGGCAAGCGAGGCAGGGAGTCTTTGTTCTTGTGGCCGAGTGAAGCCCGCTTCTGGGTGGCCGCAGGATGCAGAGCCCTCCTGTTGCAGCAAATGCAAAACTGAGGGCATGGTCAAGCTTCGTGGTTCCAAGTGCAGATGTGGCAGAGCGCAGCCATCCTTTGGGATGCCAGGTGATGAGAGAGCCGCTTGTTGCAGCAAGTGCAAAGTTGAAGGCATGGTGGACATCCGAAGCCCAAGATGTCGGTGTGGCCAGGCTCGACCATACTTTGGCTTCCCCAATGACAAGCGACCCTTTTTCTGTAGGAAGTGCAAAGTCGACGGCATGGTTGACATAAAGAATCGCAGGTGCATGTGTGGCAAAGCTCAGCCCTACTTTGGTTTTGCTGGGGATTCCCGGCCTTCTTGCTGCAGCCAATGCAAAGATGAGGGAATGACAGATATTGTAAGGCGAAGATGCAGGTGCGGCTCCACAAGACCTATTTTCGGCTTTGCCAATGACCGGCAACCGTCTTGTTGCAGCAAGTGCAAACTTGACGGCATGGTGGACATCAGGAATCCAAGATGCAAGTGTGGCAAGGCTCGGCCATCTTTCGGCTTTGTCCATGACGCAAAGCCCTCTTGCTGCAGCAAGTGCAAAGCTGATGGCATGGCAAATGTCGTGAGTCCAAGGTGCAAGTGCGGCAGATCCATTCCTATCTTTGGTGTTGCTGGGGATCCACGGCCCACTTGCTGCAGCAAGTGCAAAGAAGAAGGCATGATTGATATCAAAAGTCGCAGGTGCCAGATGTGCAAAAAGTTTGCTTCTTATCCAGATGCAGCTGGTCGACCAAGGCAGCTTTGCGCAGCCCATTCTGCCGAGGTGGGAGCCCACAAGTTGTCGTCCCCTGGTCGATCCCGTATTGCCAGCGAATTCTTTGATGCCTTGGAGGCTGAGCTCGGCCGTGAAATGCCCTTCCGCTACAGATTCGAAGCAGAGACTGCCACCTGGTCAGGCGAGGAGTTTGCAGGATTGGTGACAGATCGCAACCTGCAGCCTGATGCATACGACCCAACAAGCGGCAAATACCTCGGGAATTATTACCATGGCTTTCCACCAGAGCATGTGCAGTAGCTTTGCTGCATAGCCATTTCTGTTGTTTGCCTACTAATCTTGCCTGTGCTATCTTGAAGCGAGTCAGATTCAGTCGACTTGCAGTAGTGGTGCGACTCAAACAGTTAGCTTGCTGTTCTTTGGCGTTGGTTCGACCCTTCCCCACAACGTTTCTCTTGGGTGCCGGTCTATCAACGCAGGCACGGCAGCTTCACTTGTGTGGGCGGCCGACCTGCATCCGAGCTGCACGCAGAGACCATGGCCCGACTGGATTTGTTCCTGGCAGAGGGGCTGAAGGTTTTCTACATTTGGGAGCACGAATTCAAGGAGTGGCAGAAGGAAGCCTCTTGGCGGCAGACTCCACTGTCCGTGGTCAGCAATAAGTATTCCTGGTTTTGGAGGTTGTTATAAATGAATGACGAAGCAGAGTTCTAACTAAGAACGGAAAATGAGACACTAAGAGCGGAAAAGAGGGATACTAAGAGCGGAAAAAGCAACAGTTCTAGTAGTAGTAGTAGTAATAGTAGTAGTACTACTAGTAGTAGTAGTAGTAATAGTTGTAGTAGTAGTAGTAGTACTAGTGCTAGTGGTAGTAGTAATAGTAGTAGTAGTAGTAGTAGTAGTAGTAGTAGTAACAGTAGTAGTAGTAGTAGTAGTAATAGTTGTAGTAGTAGTAGTAGTACTAGTGCTAGTGGTAGTAGTAATAGTAGTAGTAGTAGTAATAGTAGTAGTAGTAGTAGTAGTAGTAGTAATGGTAGTAGTAGTAATAGTAGTAGTAGTAGTAGTAATAGTAGTAGTCGGGCTAGTAGTAATGTATTAGTAGTAGTAGAGTAGTAATATGACCATATGCTTAAATAGTAGTAGTAGTAGTAGTAGTAAGTAGTAGTAGTAGTAGTAGTAGTATTAGTATTAATAGTAATATATTAGTAATAGTAATAGTAGTAGTAGTAGTAGTAGTAGAACATGGATTAATCGGGATTTCCTTTCTTTGTTGATGTATAAACTATTTTTATTATGTATGCAAGACTACTCCTCCTACTAGTGCTAGTACTGTCTCCTCATTGCTCCGCGAATACGTTCAGTATACCTTTGGTTTCTTGCGCTGATGCCGGCACAGTACGGAAACGTGCCTGCCTGCCTGCCGCCGCCGCCTGCACCACTGCCTGCCACTGCCATAGCCACCGGTCTCCCGCCAGCAGTTGCCATGGCACGCCGAATCAGTTCCTTTTTGGTCGCCCCAAAATCCGGCACGGCTTCATTGCCTGACACCCTCAAAGAAAGGGATCAGCGCCTGAGCCCAATTGCCCATTGCCAGCAACCTCAGAATCGGTTCTTTTTTCGGCCTATTTGAGATACCCGCCACTTTTGAAATCAGTTCTTTTGGTCTGCTTCAAACTCGATCAGCGCAAACCATTGCCGCCAGCACCTCGCCAGAAAGCTTTGGTGGCCGGAGGATCAACTTTTCGGAGCTCATTTCCAGCCAGCACCGCCGGAATCAGTTTCCCTTGCCGGTCGCCGCCAGAAGAGGTCACCGCCAGAATCGGTCCACAGTACCACTGCCGTGCAGCGCAGTACTGCACAATGAAGTACCGCCTGCTTTCTCTGCTGCCACCACCTGCCTGCCGCCTTGCGCGCCTGCCTGCCTGGTAATGCCACCTCTACCGCGCCATTTTTCCGCTCTTAGTTGCACCAGTCTTCCGCTCTTAGTGGCTAATAGTTTTCCGCTCTTATTTCGCGCTCTCACTCGGATAGCCCGATCATCTATCACGCTCTGACTTTGTTAGGTATTAGTAGGCTTAGACAGGTGCTGCCTGCGTGGGGAATGCTTCAAGCTCAGCGTCTAGCAGTCCTTTGTGCCCTTGTTGGACGTACTCTTCAAGGCTCAGATGGGGCCTTGCCCAGGTCGCCTCCGGTGCTGTTCCATGCCTTGCCGGGCGTTTGCATCGACACATCGCAGCAGAATAAAAATCCAAATGTCGTCCCGTACGCCGTTAGATTGCATCCTGGCTTGCCGGATTGGATGTTGCCAGGAAGGCGTATGATGGCGTATGTTTCCTACACCTTGTTTCTACGCAGCCGAAGTGCGAGACACAATAAATTGTCTCCTGGTACTACATGTTTCAACCATTGAAGATGTGTCCAGAGCCTGTCCGGCAATTCAAGGAGCACAGTTTTCTCCGAGAGTGATTTTGTTTTAAGGCATGCTTGACATGTGCATGGCCCCTTATGCCCGTGGTACGCCGTGGAAAATGGTTGACTTTCTCTCCAGACCGCAGCTGCAGAAGACTTCCGCTTTGGTTGGTGGCCATGGCAGGGTGCCTGGCGCAGGCGAATCGGAAGGCCAGGCGCCAGGGGCCGGCAGAGCAACGCTTGGGGTTCAGAGACCATGGAGCTCGTGTGGCCCACGGGCGGTTGCGGGTTCAGGCAGACCTTGACAGAACTGCGAGCGCATGTCGGTGTTGGCGTCAAATATCCAACAAATTTCCCAACGATTTCCGTGAAGCTGAAAACACGAGACTCGAAGCACTGCCTCATCGCTGTTGGGTCTCTGGACTTTGCTTGCGCAGGCAGCTCATGCCTCACACGCGCGGCTGGCGCTGACTGCCAGCAGGCATGCTGCGTAGTCCGGCCACCACTGCGATCTTTTGAGGGATTGGAGGTTGGCTATTTATTGATTTGGGATATTGACAACCTCCTTGAACGGGATTCGTGGGGTGGGATGTCGGGTTGCCACGGCGTCTTGATGAATTGCTAGAAGAGGCTTGATTTGGGCCAATCCGAAGTTGGGAGGTGTTTCTTGACATTGTGGAATTTGACTGACAACCATTGGTTGATGATGTTTCTGAAGAAACTTGATTCGAGCTGGGTTGAAGCGCCTCGGTTGTTTGGGAGCAAGTCGGTGTGTGTCAAGCTGTGTTCGGAATTCCTTGACGGTTCTGGCTCTGGGCCGCGCAAGCAGAGATAGAGAGGTAGATCTTGGCGTGGTGCAGTTTCCGATGATCCAGCCCGTGAGGCCGTGCAGCTTCGCAGTCCAAAGTCAGCAGCTGACAGCCCTGTCCGTTGCGCAGAGTGCATGCGCCTCTCTAAACGTGCAATTCGGGCCATGCAAGGCGGTGTCGGCTGGGCAGGTGAATTCCAAAGAGCAGCACCAAAGGGCTGCAAAGGAAGTTCATGCCCCAGAAGTTCCGGGCAACCGACCATCATCCACCAACTCAAAACAAGGCGCAGATCAAAGCAAGGCGAGCGTGTGCCTTTGTGGCCGAGTGAAGCCATCCTTTGGATGGCCGCAGGATGCAAAGCCCGCATATTGCGGTAGATGCAAGTCCCAGGGGATGGTCAAACTCAGCGGCACCAGGTGCCGCTGTGGCAAGGCGGTGCCCATTTTTGGGAAACCCGGCGATGCACGGCCCGTTTGCTGCAGCAAGTGCAAGGATGAAAATATGGTGGACATCAAGCATCTCAGGTGTCAGTGCAGCAAAGCCCAGCCGAGCTTTGGCTACGCCGGCGACATGCGGCCCACTTGCTGCAAGGCATGCAAGTCTGAAGGCATGGTGGATATCAAACATCCCAGGTGCAACTGCGGAAGTGGTCGACCTTCTTTTGGTTTTGTCAATGACAAAAAGCCCGCTTGCTGCAGCAAGTGCAAGGTTGGTGGCATGGTCAGTATAGTGAGTCCAATGTGCAAGTGTGGACAATCTCGCCCACACTTTGGCTTTGTGGATGACAAGAAGCCGTCTTGCTGCAGCCAGTGCAAGCTTGATGGCATGGTTGCTATTGTGCGTCGAAAGTGTAACTGTGGCGATAAATCGGCTTTATTTGGGTTTGCCAATGGCATAAAGCCATCTTGCTGCAACAATTGCAATCTTGATGGCATGATAAATATTGTGAGGCCAAAGTGCAAGTGTGGCAAGTCTCGGCCTTACTTTGGTTTTCTCAGTGACAGCAAGCCCTCTTGCTGCAGCAAGTGCAAACTTGAAGGCATGGAGGATATTGTGAGTCGAAAGTGCAAGTGTGGCAAAGCGCTACCTTACTTTGGTTTTGTCAATGATTCGCGGCCTACTTGCTGCAGGCAGTGTAAACAAACAGGCATGATCGATATCCGCAGTCGCAGGTGCCAAAAGTGCAGCAAGAAGGCTGGCTACCCAGACGCAGCTGGTCGGCCGCGACAGCTTTGTGCGGCCCATTCAGCCGAAGTAGGAGCTCATGTGCTCTCCTCAAACAGTCGATCTCGTGTTGCCAGTAAATTATTCGATGCATTGGAGAACGAGTTGGGCCACACGTTTCCCTTCCGTTTCAGATGGGACCCTACGACCAGCACGTGGTATGGCCAGGAGTCAATAGGGCTGGTGCCGAATCGCAACCTGCGGCCTGATGCGGTTGACCCAAAAAAGGGCAAGGTGGTCGAATTCTTAGGCAACTTCTACCATGGCTATCCTCCGAACCATCCCCAGCAACTGTGCTGCATTTCATGTACATGGGTTGTTCGTTTTGGGTCGGAGGCTCTGAATATGAGTGTTCGTCAGTTTGCCCCTTCATTTTTCTTGTCCTCCCTTTCAAGCCTGGGCAAAGCAGGTATGGCAGCTTCACTTGCGTGGGCGGCCGACCTGCATCCGAGCTGTACGCGGAGACCATGGCCCGACTGGACTTGCTCCTGGCCGAGGGGCTGCACGTTTTCTACATCTGGGAGCACGAATTCAAGGAGTGGCAGAGGGAAGCGACTCGGCGGCAGTCGGAAATCATGCGTATGCCTGCGCAGGGAAAGAACATAAAAGGCAATCAAACAGAAGCATGCTTATGGCCCAATCCTGTTGGCAAATCACATCATGCGCGTCATTCCCAATGTGGCTTTCAGATTTACGCCTCCTGTACTTGCTGAGTTTGTCGGCATTCTTGTCAGGGTATGTGTGTGTGTGTGTGTGTGGGTGTGTGTGTGTGTTTGTGTGCAAAGGTTTGCAGTGACTCAGGACTGTAGGGGGGGGGAGCTTTTGAGCACATTTTGGACCGGACGTATCCAGGCCGCCTCCAGTACCATCCAGTCGACTGCTTTGCCTTTGCCGAAAAGGTATCAGAAAGTGTTGCTCTGCGACAGTCAGGCCAACTCGGAGCTCCTGGCGGGGTGCAACTGCAATCAAGGGTATGTTGCTGATGTTGATCTAGCATATGAGATGTGGGCTGATGGCATTCTGTGTCCTTGGTGTGCCGTGCTCCTTGTGAAGCATGCCCGCGCATTTGCTGGAAGTAGCATTTGGGAGCGCAAGCATGGGATGTGCAGTTGAACTGCTCTATTTGTACACTTAGATGTGTCTCGCTTAGGGGCAGCCCATTTTAGTCATGAAGACAGACAACACAGCGGCGCGCGGTTCTGCAGAGGCCAGTTTTGTGCCATCATGTCCTTCCGCTGCACTGGCGCCATGGCTGGGCGCATCATGCGCAGCTTCCCACAAGTTTCCGGAACCTGGCGGATGGCCGCCACGGCATTCAGCCGACACGCAGCGCAGCGCTGTCCCCGCAGCTTGGCGAGCCAAAGCGACAACTCGCATGTCCCCCGCATGCGACAAGTGGCCTGCGCACCACCAAGTCTCACATCATGCGACGACGAGGCCCTGCCAAAACTGCTTCAGAAAGTGCAGGCACCCAGCCAGACGAGGCCAGGTGCCAATCTCGGTTCGGCGAGTCTTTGCCTTTGCGGCAGGGCAAAACCCTCTTTCGGGTGGCCGCAGGATGCGCAGCCCTCCCACTGCGGCAGATGCAAGTCCGAGGGGATGATAAGGCTTCGAGGCCCCAAGTGCAGATGTGGCAGAGCGTGGCCAGTGTTCGGGATGCTTGGTGATGAGCGACCGGCTTGCTGCAGGAAGTGCAAGGAAGAAGGCATGATTGACATCAGAAATCCGCGCTGCAAGTGTGGCAAGGCTCGGCCTTCTTTCGGCTTTGCCGACAATGAGCAGCCCACGGCTTGCAGTCAGTGCAAAACTGATGAGATGATCAACATTGCGAGTCCCAGGTGCCAGATTTGCAGCAAAATAGCGTGCTACCCAGACACAGCTGGTAAGTCAAGACAGTTTTGTGCTGCACATTCAGCTGAAGTCACGTCAGCCGGAACAAAGAGAGAAGAGCGTGAAACCTCGAGCAGGGCAAGTCTTTGCTTGTGTGGGCGGGGAAAGTCAACTTTTGGATGGTCACATGAAGCAGGGCCCACCTGCTGCGGCAAATGCAAGGCAGAAGGGATGGTGAAGCTTCGAGGCCCCAAGTGCAGATGTGGCAGAGCCGAGCCAGTCTTCGGGATGCCAGGTGATGCCAGGCCATCCTGCTGCAGCAAGTGCAAAGCCGACGGCATGGTGGATATCAAAAATCGGAAATGCCTGTGCAGGAAATCTCAGCCAAATTTTGGTTTTCCAAACGATGCGCGGCCTACATGCTGCACTCAGTGCAAAAAGGAAGGCATGGTAGACATCATTAGCCGCAGGTGCGAGTGTGACACAGCCGTGCCTTGTTTTGGCTATGCTGGTGATGCCCGTGCCACCTGCTGCAGCAAGTGCAAGCGCGATGGCATGGTGGACATCAAGAATCTACGGTGCAACTGCGGCAAAGCCCGGCCTTCTTTTGGCTTCAGCGATGATGTGCGACCTACTTGCTGCAAGCAGTGCAAGGCAGCTGAGATGGTGAACATCATAAGTCCAAAATGCAAGATATGCAACAAGCTAGCCTTCTATCCAGATGAAGCTGGCCGACCACGACAGCTTTGTGCAGTTCATTCAGCTGAAGTGGGAGCTCATGTGCTGTCCTCGCCCCGTCGATCCCGGATTGCCAGTGAGTGCTTTGATGCTTTGGAGGCCGAGTGGGACCACAAGCTGCCCTTCCGCTACAGATTGGGCACCTGGTCAGGTGAGGAGGTTGCAGGGCTGGTGCCAAGTCGAAACCTGCAGCCAGACGCCTACGACCCAGAGGCCCGCAAAATATTCGAGTTTCTGGGGAATTACTTTCACGGATTCCCTCCGCACCATCCACAGCAATTCGGCTGAATAGCTTGCTTACGTCTATCGCCTTGCACGGGCTCCATTCAGATGACTTTCTTGCCTGCCCCAGTTCTGCTTCTTGCAATGTGCTTGTCCCATTGTACTTTGATTTAGTCACTTGTTATACTTCTGCCAGCGCCATTTTGGCTTTCGACTGCCAAGGCACGACAGCTTCGTGTGCGTGGGTGGCCGACCTGCAGCTGAGCTGCACGCAGAGACCATGGCACGCCTGGACTTGTTCCTGGCAGAGGGCTTTGAGGTGGTCTACGTGTGGGAGCATGATTTCATCCAGTGGCAGCGGGAAGCCACTTGACGGCAAGCGGAAGACGGTGAGTTTTGTGAGCAGTGCTGGACGTCAGCAGGAAGAATTGTTCAGAGTTCCCCAGAAGTTTTCAATGAATTTAGAAATGAGAATCATAATATGTTAGCTCTGAATTTAGAAATGAGAATCATAATCAAAGGAAGTTTAGAAGGAAACTTCCGAGTTACGGAATCTAATTGAAAGGTAGCTCTGTGCAAAGATGAGATGAAGAAAGAATGAATGAATGCGAGAAAACGTGCGTATACGTGTGGCGGGGGAATAGAAATCTGCAAAAAGTGCAACCCTCTGCGGGTTTTGGCTTCTCCGGCTGGCTGAAAGCTACCCCGGTCGCGGCGTCTGACGGGGACGGTCTCGGGACGGGCTCGGGAACGGGCTCGCGCCGGGACCATTGGCACGGACGCGCACACTTTCGCAAGGTTCAAATTTTTGTGGCAGGCGCTGCATTTTGGCAAGGTCGGGATACAGATTTCGTAACAGGTGCATCACTTTCGCAAGGTCAAGTGCAGATTTCGTGACAGGCGCCATTTTCTTACTTCTGGCATGGACGCATCATAAAATCCACACGGACACAAAGCGGCGCGTGCAGATTTCGTAACAGGGCAACATTTTCGCGAGGTGGAGTTTCGTGGCTGGGCATCCTTTCGCGGGTCAAGTATAGAAATTGGCAGTGCAGATACTTTCATAAGGTCAAGTGCAAATTAGTGGCAAGCATCACTTTCGCAAAGATCAAGTACGGATTTCGTGCAGGCGCAACACTTTGCAGGTCAACTGAATTTCGTGGCAGGCGCAGCACTTGCAAGTCAACCGCACCGGGGCTCGAAAATCTCCAACTTTTAAAAATGTAAGCGAAGAAATCAACCTTCCGCAGCTGGGGCTTGAAAATCGCAACTTTAATTACAAAAATGTACGCGAGTCGGCATGGCGGGCGAAAATCGCAACTTTTTTTTGATGTAGTACGCGAAGTCCACTTTCGCAGCTGGGGCTTGAAAATCGCAACTTTTAATCTACGAAAGTACACGTGAAATCCACGCTTTCATGATGGGGCTAAAAGAATCACTTTTTGTAAGTGATGCGCGATCCAGATGAAAGGATAGAGAATGGATGGATGGATAGAGAGAGAGAGAACAGAGAGAGGATAAAGAGTTAGAGGATAGATAGACAAAAGAAAAGATAGATAAATAGGAGGATGGATAGAGGATAGATAGATCGGATGGACAAATAGATAGAGATAGATATGGATGGATAGAGGATGAGATGAAATGGATAGGCTCAGGATAGAGAGGATGCATGGATAGAGATGGATAAATAAATTGATGGATGGATGGATGGATGGATGGATAGATGGATAGGGAGATGGATGGATTGATTGGTGGTGAGAAGGATGGATAGAGAGCGATTGGTAGTGGATATGGATAGTCGAGAAGCTGGATGGATGGATGGATAGATATAGAGATTGATAAATGCACGTGAGATATGGATAGAGGATGAATGGATAGATAGATGGATCATGGGTAGAGAGATAGACGGATAGAGAGAGAGAGAGATGGATTAGATAGAGTGAGACAGAGAGAGAAGAGAGATAGAGGATAGACAGATGGATGATAGATGGATAGATAGGATGATAGGTGGGGATGGATGGAGAGATAGATGGATAGATGATGATAAAAAGAGATAGAGAAAGATGAAGACATCGTCAAATAGAAAGAAAGAGGATAGAGGATGAAAGAAAGAAAGAAGAAGAGGGTGAGAGGAGATATGGAGAAAGAAGAGGAGACAGGATGAGGGATAGGTAGAGATGGAGATAGATAGAGATAGATAGATAAATGAATAGATATGAATAGAAGATAGATAGAGATGAATGAATGGATAAACAGATGGATGGATAACACGAGGATAGACAGACAGGTAGTTAGGTATGAATGGGTAAGAAAGAGATGAATGAGACAAGCAAACGAAAGAAAAGAAAGAAAAGACAGATAGAAAGAAGGAAAGAAAGGAAGGAAGGAAGAAAGGAAGAAAGGAATGACGGAGAAAAAGAGTCAAGAAAAAGAAAGACTTACAACTCTGTCTTTTGCGGCTTGAAACTTGATTGCTGCCAGGTAGTGACTTACGGTAACAGCATTTGCCCGTCTTGTCAAATCGACCACTTGGCTGCGCAAAATCGCGCGCATCCTTCCCAGGTCGCCATGGGCACGGCCCTTTCCCTTGCCACGCAATTGATCCAGCATGGCGCTGCCGCTGACAAAAAGAAGCTCGCGGCACGCGCAGACGTTGGTGAACGCGTGCTGGGAGGACTCAGGTCTTGGTCTGTGGTGGGCTGTTTGTGCACATGGTATTGTTGAGTTCGCACAACACCATACTGTAAGGACATTGTGTGAGGACCAACAAGCTGTGGTATTGCAACTTAGAATCAACTTTGTTTGTGTTCTCATGTGCGACTTGACTGCTTGAAGTCTTCCATGTCAGGGATGCTCAGGAGGCGGCTCTTTGTACGGTGGCACCAGTGAATGCGATTAGAAGCACATGAATCCGCTTGAACCACATTGGCCGAGAGTTCCTCAACGAGTCCATGCAGCGTGTTGAGCCGCTCTCCGCCCACCAGCGGGGGATACGTTTCCCGCTGCCAAAGTGCCGCCTTCCATGGCCGCCTGCCTGTTGCGGGTAGCGCAGAAGGCCTGGCCGGGTGAGCAGTAAAGGAGGATGCCATTTGAGGCGCCGGTTGGTGAAGGCCATCCTTGCGCCAGTTTCAATATGCTGAGATTGTCAGTTGCTGCTCAGGAAGATACGTTCAATTGGTTTGTGGATGATCAAGCAAAGAGATTCGGCTGAAAGCTGAAAGTGTGTAAGAACTCAGCTTTGCAGGCACAGGCTTCGAGACGAGGTAAAGTAGCGTTGTCTGCCAGCCAAGCATGTTCAGGCCATTGTAGTGCAAGCCTGTTGTCAAGATGAATTGCATAGTTGAGTGCCCTTCTAGAGGCAAATGCACAACTGGAGCCAGACTCTTCAAACTTTTACTATCTTCTCCACATCCTTTCTGACTTGCATGCCTTGTCGCTCCTGTGTTCAATGTGTTTCCTTTTCCGAGCCGCTCTCATTGGCTTCAAGATAAGTAGCCTCAACATGAGAGAATCCAGAAGCGGTCCCTGATTTATAAGCTATCTTGACAACGAGGTATTTGGCTACTCTTGAGCCCACACGTATAGCGAAGACTGGGTGAATCCGTACTTACTTGCGACTGACAGCCGCCTGATTCTCCTTCATATAGTTTAGTTGGAGTCATCACGGAAGAATTCATGCGTGGTTCGGACATGTCAACTGCACCACTCACAGCGTGGTGTCCGACCGTTTGATCCCACGCAGAGGCCCTCCGCGGCTTGCGCGCGCAGCAGACACCACCTTGGCCGGGAATCAGGCTGGAAGGGGGTGCTGCATATCAAATAGGAGAATCGAATTCAAGTGGTTGGAACCAGTTTGTCTCCCACAGAGTCGTCCATTCTTTGGACATGGAGCCCCAAGCATCTCTCCTCAGAAGGCTTCCGGCCAAGCTTGGGAGTCTGCAGGCTGCGCTTCGCCAACCGGCACCTGTGGCACGGCATCCTCATTCAAACTACGAATGCTGTGGCGAAGGGGCGGGGATCGGCAGCTAAAAACTCCTTAGAAAGAGGACTTCGCACGCTGGAGTCCGGAACAAAACAAGAAGAGCCTGAAAAATCGAGCAAAGTGAGTCTTTGCCTTTGTGGGCGGGTAAAGCCAACATTCGGATGGGCAGAAGATGTGAAGCCGTCCTGTTGCAGCCAATGCAAGGCAGAAGGGATGGTGAAGCTTCGGGGTCCCAAGTGCAGATATGGCCGTGCATGGCCAGTGTTCGGGATGCCTGGTGATGAGCGACCGACTTGTTGCAGCAAGTGTAAAGCCGACGGCATGGTGGATATCAAAAACCGAAAGTGCCAGTGCGGAAAAGCCCGGCCGTATTTTGGTTTTCCCAACGATGCTCGTGCCACCTGCTGCAGTAAATGCAAGCATCATGGCATGATGGACATCAAGAATCTCAGGTGCAGATGCAGTAAAGCTCGGCCTTCGTTTGGATTTGCAGATGATGTGCGACCTACTTGCTGCAAGCAGTGCAAGGCAGCTGAGATGGTGGACATCAGAAGTCCCAGATGCAAGATGTGCAAGAAGCAGGCGCGCTATCCAGATGAAGCTGGTCGGCCAAAGCAACTTTGCGCGGTTCATTCAGCTGAAGTGGGAGCTCACGTGCTGTCCTCGCCCCGTCGATCCCGGACGGCCAGTGAGTGCTTTGATGCTTTGGAGGCCGAGTGGGGCCACAAGCCCTTCCGCTACAGATTTGACATCAAGACGGGCACCTGGTCCGGTGAGGAGGTTGCAGGGCTGGTGCCAAGTCGAAACCTGCAGCCAGACGCCTACGACCCAGAGGCCCGCAAAATATTCGAGTTTCTGGGGAATTACTTCCACGGATTCCCTCCGCACCATCCACAGCAATTCAGCTGAATAGCTTGCTTACGTCTATCGCCTTGCACGGGCTCCATTAAGATGACTTTCTTGCCTGCCCCAGTTCTGATTCTTGCAATGTGCTTGTCATTGTCCCATTGTACTTTGATTTCGTCACTTGTTATGCTTCTGCCAGCGCCATTTCGGCTTTTGACTGCCAAGGCCAAGGCACGACAGCTTCGTGTGCTTGGGTGGCCGACCTGCAGCTGAGCTGCATTCAGAGACCATGGCGCGCCTGGACTTGTTCCTGGCAGAGGACTTGGAGGTGGTCTACTTGTGGGAGCATGATTTCGTCCAGTGGCGGAGGGAGCGACTTGACGGCAAGCGGAAGCCGGTGAGTTGTGTGAACAGTGCTGCACAAAAGCAGGAAGAATTGTTCAGAGTTCCCCAGAAGCTTCAAATGAATGTAGAAGTGAGCATGGCGACGAGTGAGCTCCAAACTTGTGTTGGCATGTCGACATCCTTGTCAAATTGACCACTTGGCTGCGCAGAATTGCGCACACTCCTCCAAGGTCGCCGTGGGCGCGGCCCCTTCCCTTGCCGGGCAGTTGATCCAGCATGGTGCTGCCGCTGACAAAAAGAAGCTCGCGGCACGCGCAGACGTTGGTGAGCGCGTGCTGGGAGGACTCAGGTCTTGGTCTGTGGTGGGCTGTTTGTGCACATGGTATCGTTGAGATCGCACAACACCACACTGTAAGGACATTGTGAGGACAATTGCAAATTAAAATAAGCGACGGTTTGTGTTCTCATGTGTCACTTGATTGCTTGAAGTCTTCCATTTCAGGGATGCTCAGGATGTAGCTCTTTGTACGGTGGCCCCGTAAGTAAAGCGGAGATGTGCTGCGGTCGGTTGAAAAAAGCATGCTCTCATCATCCTCAGTGGTGGGTCAGATGCAGATATCCGCTTTGGGAAGTGCTTTAGATGATGCCTGTCGTGAGATGGAGCATATGAAGCAACGACCGTGAAGGCTGGAAGCTTTTGATGAAATTTGGGATCTTGGCTTTTGACCATGCAGGGAAAACAAGAACCTCCATTGACAGGTCTAATAAATGCCCTACACCAGATCTGATTCAGTTTCAAGCAGCTGGACGCATTGTAGAAGCCGCACCAAAAACTTCAGCATGCTCGGGCCTTGGCAGCCGCCACAGGCAGCTGCACCCGGTCAAACATGGCGGCCCGCCTTGCGCGGGTGCTGCAGAAGGCGACGCAGGGGGAAGACAAAGACGAATCAGCCGGAAGGGCCGCTGACTGGGTGGCCACTCGCTGTTGCCAATTGTGTGGGCCGTGATGGTTGCTGGCGGCAACGACTTTCATTCAGCTTCCTGAAGCAGTGGAAGAGCGGCATGAAGTGGCGGTTGGACACTTTGTTGAGATTGGCACAAAGTGGCGCAGGTGGTGCACACTCCGCAGCTACGGCCAGTAGTGGCGACTTGCAGGCCGGGGCACGAGGCGGCACGAGTCACTGATTGTTGGGCCTAAGATATACATGTGCTTCACTAGTCCTAAGGAAACCCAAGGGGGCGAGCATTTGTTGCCATTGCTAGACCAGGTTGGGCCGGCTCCCTGTCCAAGCCTTTTTTGCTAACAACCTGTGTTTTGGCTGCAGGAAGCGCTCAGATTCTCAGATGCAGTGGCATTTCATTGCAGAGCACCAAGACTTGGAGCGACAATGAAGCTTAGAGAAACGCAGTATCTCCTTCCCGGAAAATCGACGCTGCATCTCTTTCCCGGAAAATCGACGCTCGGGGCTTTCTCCTGAGGCAAAAACTGTTTGCTTACCAAGGCAGTTCCTTGAAGTTGAAGAAACGCTGGTCGCCTTTACTCAACCTGCTTGGCCAAGCTGTTGTTCTATTCCACGGCCGGGGGGTCACCATCCTGAGGCTCAAAGTCGAGTTTGCAACTTGTAGCGACTGTTCATTGCCCCGTACATATGAACGGCACTCCTTGCATCCACATAGTGGCAGGGCGGTGTTTGAGCGCACTTGTGAGAACCTGTCAGGCCTGGCTTCTGGGATCACGGACCTGTGCCTTTCCAGCAAGATGCTCGCAGGTTTGCTGCGAGTCCGCCAAAGCTCCCCATTGCCACATTGCGCGTAGACCCGCCGCCACCCACCGGGCAAAAAGTCAAGGCAAGCGTGGCAGGGAGTCTTTGCAAATGCGACCGAGTGAAGCCCGCTTACGGGTGGCCGCAGGATGCAGGGCCCTCCTGCTGCAACAGATGCAAAGCTGCGGGCATGGTCAAGCTTCGTGGTTCCAAGTGCAGATGTGACAGAGCCCAGCCAGTCTTTGGGACCAGGTGATGAGAGAGCCGCTTGTTGCAGCAAGTGCAAAGTTGAAGGCATGGTGGACATCCGAAGCCCAAGATGTCAGTGCGGCCAGGCCCGACCATGCTTTGGCTTGCCCGATGACGAGCGGCCCTCTTGCTGCAGCAAGTGCAAAGCTGACGGCATGGTTGACATAAAGAATCGCAAGTGCAAGTGTGGCAAAGCTCAGCCCTGCTTTGGCTTTGCTGGGGATTCTCAAGCTTCTTGCTGCAGCCAATGCAAAGATGAGGGAATGACAAATACCGTACACCGACGATGCAAGTGCGGCTCCGCAAGACCTGCTTTCGGTTTTGCCCATGACCAGCAACCCTCTTGTTGCAGCAAGTGCAAGCATGATGGCATGGTGGACATCAAGAATCCAAGGTGCAACTGCGGTAAAGCCCAGCCTTCTTTTGGCTTCACCGATGATGTGCGCCCTACTTGGTGGACATCGTAAATCCAAAATGCAACATGTGTAACAAGCAAGCCTCCTATCCAGATGAAGCTGGCCACGACAGCTTTGCGCGGTTCATTCAGCTGAAGTGGGAGCGCATGTGCTGTCCTCGCCTCGTCGATCCCGGATGGCCAGTGAGTGCTTTGATGCTTTGGAGGCCGAGTGGGGCCACAAGCTGCCCTTCCGCTACAGATTCGACATCAAGACGGGCACTTGGTCAGGTGAAGAGTTTGCAGGGCTGGTGCCAAGGCGCAACCTGCAGCTACGACCCACAGGCCCGCAAAGTGGTCGAGTTTGTGGGGAATTACTTCCACGGATTCCCCCGGAGCATCCACAGCAATTCAGATTGATGGTATGCTTTGAGCTGACTATTGTCCCCTTGTGCTCTTGTTTAGTCACTTGTTATTCTTTTTGCCAGTGCCATTTTGGTTTTCGACTGCCCAGGCACGACAGCTTCGTGTGCGTGGGTGGCCGACGCCTGGACTTGTTCCTGGCAGAGGGCTTGGAGGTGGTCTACATGTGGGAGCATGATTTCGCTCAATGGCAGAGGGAAGCTACTCGACGGCCAGCGGAAGACGCGGTTTTTGGGGTGAGTTCTGTGAACAGTGCTGGGATTTGAGGCTGGACGTCAGCAGACAGTATTGTTCAGACTTCCCCACAAGTTTCAAATGAATGTAGAAATGGGAATCATGATGTGTTAGCTCCAAACATGCGTTCGCATGTCCGCATCCTTGTCAAATTGACACCACTTGGTGACACCACTTGGCTGCGAAAAAACTCACACAATCCTCCCAGGTCGCCGTGGGCGCGGCCCCTTCCCTTGCCGGGCAGTTGATCCAGCATTGCGCTGCCGCTGACAAAAATGTGGTCGCGGCTGACCAACAAGCTGTGGTATTGCAACTTAGAATCAACTTTGTTTGTGTTCTCATGTGTGACTTGACTGCTTGAAGTCTTCCATGTCAGGCATGCTCAGGAGGCGGCTCTTTGTACGGTGGCACCGGCGAATGCGATTAGAAGCACATGAAATCGCTTGAACCACATTGGCCGAGAGTTTCTCAACGAGTGCATGCAGCGTGTTGAGCCGCTCTCCAGCCCACCGGGGTGCGTTTCCCGCTGCCAAAGTGCCGCCTTCCATGGCCGCCTGCCTGTTGCGGGTAGCGCAGAAGGCCTGGCCGGGTGAGCAGTAAAGGAGGATGTTGGGGAATATTGGGGAAGGCCATCCTTGCGCCAGTTTCAAGATGCTGAGATTGTCAGTTGCTGCTCAGGAAGATACGTTCACTTGGTTCGTGGACGATCAGGCAAAGAGATTCGGCTGAAGGTGAAAGTGTGCAAGAACTCAGCTTTGCGGGCATAGGCTTAGAGACGAGGTAAAGTTGCGTTATCAACCAGCCAATCATGTTCAGGCCGTTGTAGTGTAAGCTTGTTGTCAAGATGTAATGCATAGTTGAGTACCCTTCAAGAGGCAAATGCACAACTGGAGCCAGACTCTTCAAACTTTTACTATCTTCTCCACATCCTTTCTGACTCCTTGTCGCTCCTGTGTTCAATGTGTTTCCTTTTTCGAGCCGCTCTCAATGGCTTCAAGACAAGTGGCCTCAACATGAGAGAATCCAGAAGCTGTCCCTGATCTCCAGGCTATCTCACCAACGAGGTAATTGGCTACTCTTTAGCCCACACGTATTGCGAAGACTGGGTGAATCCATATTTGCTTGTGACTGACAGCCTGATTCTCCGTCGTAGAGTTTACTCGGAGTCATCACGGAAGAATTCATGCGTGGTGCGGACGTGTCAACACCACTCACAGCTTGTCCGACCGTTTGATCTCACGCAGAGGCCCTCCGCGGCTTGCGCACGCAGCAGACACCACCTTGGCCGGGAAGCAGGCTGGAAGGAGGTGCTATATCAAACAGGAGAATCGAATTCAAATGAGTGGAACCAGTGTGTCTCCCACAGAGTCGTCCATTCTTTGGACAAGGAGCCCCAAGTATCCTTCCTCAGAAGGTGTTGGCCGCTTACGTTGCAAGCCTTCCGGCCAAGCTTGGGAATCCTGCAGGCTGCGCTTCGCCAGCCAGCAGCTGTGGCAAGGCCTCCGCATTCAAACTGCGGATGCTGTGGCGCAGGGGCGGGTGTCAGCAGCCAACAACTCCTTTGGATGGGCAGAAGATGTGAAGCCGTCCTGTTGCAGCCAATGCAGGGCAGAAGGGATGGTGAAGCTTCGAGGGCCCAAGTGCAGATGTGGCAGAGCCGAGCCAGTGTTCGGGATGCTGGGTGACGCGAGGCCCACTTGTTGCAGCAAGTGTAAGGCCGACGGCATGGTGGATATCAAAAATCGGAAATGCCAATGCGGAAAAGCCCAGCCGTATTTTGGTTTTCCAAACGATGCTCGTGCCACCTGCTGCAGCAAGTGCAAGCAGGAAGGTATGGTGGACATCAGAAACCGAAAATGCGAGTGTGGCGCAGCGCTGCCATATTTTGGCTATGCTAGTGATGCCCGTGCCACCTGCTGCAGCAAGTGCAAGCATGATGGCATGGTGGACGTCAAGAATCTACGGTGCAACTGCGGTAAAGCCCGGCCTTCTTTTGGCTTTACCGACGATGTGCGCCCTACTTGCTGCAAGCAGTGCATGGCGGCTGGAATGGTGAACATCAGAAGTCCCAAATGCAAAGTGTGCAAGAAGCAGGCGCACTATCCCGATGAAGCTGGCCGGCCAAAGCAACTTTGCGCGGTTCATTCAGCTGAAGTGGGAGCGCATGTGCTGTCCTCGCCTCGTCGATCCCGGATGGCCAGTGAGTGCTTTGATGCTTTGGAGGCCGAGTGGGGCCACAAGCTGCCCTTCCGCTACAGATTCGACATCAAGACGGGCACTTGGTCAGGTGAAGAGTTTGCAGGGCTGGTGCCAAGGCGCAACCTGCAGCCAGACGCCTACGACCCAGAGGCCCGCAAAGTGGTCGAGTTTCTGGGGAATTACTTCCACGGATTCCCCCCGGAGCATCCACAGCAATTCAGATTGATGGTATGCTTTGAGCTGACTATTGTCCCCTTGTGCTCTTGTTTAGTCACTTGTTATTCTTTTTGCCAGTGCCATTTTGGTTTTCGACTGCCCAGGCACGACAGCTTTGTGTGCGTGGGTGGCCGACCTGCGGCTGAGCTGCACGCAGAAACCATGGCACGCCTGGACTTGTTCCTGGCAGAGGGCTTGGAGGTGGTCTACATGTGGGAGTATGATTTCGTCCAGTGGCAGAGGGAAGCTACTCGACGGCCAGCGGAAGACGCGGTTTTTGGGGTGAGTTCTGTGAACAGTGCTGGGATTTGAGGCTGGACTTCAGCAGGAAGAATTGTTCAGACTTCCCCACAAGTTTCAAATGAATGTAGAAATGGGAATCATGATGTGTTAGCTCCAAACATGCGTTCGCATGTCCGCATCCTTGTCAAATTGACACCACTTGGTGACACCACTTGGCTGCGAAAAAACTCGCACAATCCTCCCAGGTCGCCGTGGGCGCGGCCCCTTCCCTTGCCGGGCAGTTGATCCAGCATGGCGCTGCCGCTGACAAAAATGTGGTCGCGGCCGATCAGACGTGTTGGCGAACGCTTGCTTGGAGGACTCAGGTGCCGGTGGCCGGCTGTTTGTGCACATGGTATTGTTGAGTTCGCACAACACCACACTGTAAGGACATTGTGTGAGGACCAACAAGCTGTGGTATTGCAACTTAGAATCAACTTTGTTTGTGTTCTCATGTGTGACTTGACTGCTTGAAGTCTTCCATGTCAGGCATGCTCAGGAGGCGGCTCTTTGTACGGTGGCACCGGCGAATGCGATTAGAAGCACATGAAATCGCTTGAACCACATTGGCCGAGAGTTTCTCAACGAGTGCATGCAGCGTGTTGAGCCGCTCTCCAGCCCACCGGGGTGCGTTTCCCGCTGCCAAAGTGCCGCCTTCCATGGCCGCCTGCCTGTTGCGGGTAGCGCAGAAGGCCTGGCCGGGTGAGCAGTAAAGGAGGATGCCATTTGAGGCGCCTGTTGGGGAATATTGGGGAAGGCCATCCTTGCGCCAGTTTCAAGATGCTGAGATTGTCAGTTGCTGCTCAGGAAGATACGTTCACTTGGTTCCTGGATAATCGACCAAACAAATTCGGTTGAAAGGCGAAAGTGTGTAAGAACTCAGTTTTGTAGGTTTCGAGATGAGGTAAAGTAGCGTTGTCAGCCAACCAAGCATGTTCAGGCCATTGTAGTGCAAGCCTGTTGTCAAGATGATTTGCATAGTTGAGTGCCCTTCTACAGGCAAGTACAAAACTGGAGCCACTCTCTTCGAACTCTTACTATATTATCCACATCCTTTCTGACTTGCATACCTTGTCGCTCCTGTGTTCAATGTGTTTCCTTTTTCGAGCCGCTCTCAATGGCTTCAAGACAAGTGGCCTCAACATGAGAGAATCCAGAAGCTGTCCCTGATCTCCAGGCTATCTCACCAACGAGGTAATTGGCTAGTCTTTAGCCCACACGTATTGCGAAGACTGGGTGAATCCATATTTGCTTGTGACTGACAGCCTGATTCTCCTTCGTAGAGTTTACTCGGAGTCATCACGGAAGAATTCATGCGTGGTGCGGACGTGTCAACACCACTCACAGCTTGTCCGACCGTTTGATCTCACGCAGAGGCCCTCCGCGGCTTGCGCACGCAGCAGACACCACCTTGGCCGGGAAGCAGGCTGGAAGGAGGTGCTATATCAAACAGGAGAATCGAATTCAAATGAGTGGAACCAGTTTGTCTCCCACAGAGTCGTCCATTCTTTGGACAAGGAGCCCCAAGCATACTTCCTCAGAAGGTGTTGGCCGCTTACGTTGCAAGCCTTCCGGCCAAGCTTGGGAATCCTGCAGGCTGCGCTTCGCCAGCCAGCAGCTGTGGCAAGGCCTCCGCATTCAAACTGCGGCTGCTGTGGCGCAGGGGCGGGTATCAGCAGCCAACAACTCCTTACAAAGAGGACTTCGCACGCTGGCTTCCGGAACAAAGCAAGACGAGCCTGAAAAATCGAGCAAAGTGAGTCTTTGCCTTTGTGGGCGAGTGAAGCCCTCCTTTGGATGGCCGCAGGATGCGAATCCCTCCTGCTGCGGCAGATGCAAGGCAGAAGGGATGGTGAAGCTTCGAGGCCCCAAGTGCAGATGTGGCAGAGCCGAGCCAGTGTTCGGGATGCTGGGTGACGCGAGGCCCACTTGTTGCAGCAAGTGTAAGGCCGACGGCATGGTGGATATCAAAAATCGGAAATGCCAATGCGGAAAAGCCCAGCCAAATTTTGGCATTCCCAATGATGCTCGTGCCACCTGCTGCAGTCAGTGCAAAAAGGAAGGCATGGTAGACATCATTAGCCGCAGGTGCGAGTGTGACACAGCCGTGCCTTGTTTTCGCTATACTGGTGATGCCCGTGCCACCTGCTGCAGCAAGTGCAAGCATGATGGCATGGTGGACATCAAGAATCGAAGGTGCAACTGCGGTAAAGCCCTGCCTTTGTTTGGATTTGCAGATGATGTGCGACCTACTTGCTGCAAGCAGTGTGTGGCGGCTGGAATGGTGGACATCAGAAGTCCCAGATGCAAGATATGCAACAAGCTAGCCTTCTATCCCGATGAAGCTGGCCGGCCAAAGCAACTTTGCGCAGCTCATTCAGCTGAAGTGGGAGCTCACACGCTGTCGCCCCTTGGTCGATCCCGGATTGCCAGTGAGTGCTTTGATGCTTTGGAGGCCGAGTGGGGCCACAAGCTGCCCTTCCGCTACAGATTTGATACAATTACTGGCACTTGGTCCGGTGAAGAGTTTGCAAGGCTGGTGCCAAGTCGCAACCTGCAGCCAGACGCCTACGACCCAGAGGCGACCACGGCTTCCCCCCGGAGCATCCGCAGCAAATCAGCTGAATAGCTGTCTTACGTCTATCGCCTTGCACGGGCTCCATTGAGATGACTTTCTTGCCTGCCCCAGTTCTGATTCTTGCAATGTGCTTGTCCCATTGTACTTTGATGTAGTCACTTGTTATACTTCTGCCGGCGCCATGTTGGATTTTGACTGCCAAGGCACGACAGCTTCGTGTGCGTGGGTGGCCGACCTGCAGCTGAGCTGCACGCAGAGACCATGTCGCGCCTGGACTTGTTCCTGGCAGCGGGCTTTGAGGAGGTCTACATGTGGGACCATGATTTCATCCAGTGGCAGAGGGAAGCCACTTGACGGCAAGCGGAAGATGGTGAGTTTTCAGGAAGAATTGTTCAGAGTTTCCCAGAAGTTTCAAATGAATGTAGAAGTGAGCATGAGCACGAGTGAGCTCCACACTTGTGTTGGCATGTCCACATCCTTCTCAAATTGACCACTTGGCTGCGAAAAACTCGCACACTCCTCCAAGGTCGCCGCGGGCACGGCCCTTTCCCTTGCCGGGCAGTTGATCCAGCATGGCGCTGCCGCTGACAAAAATGTGCTCGCGGTCGATCAGACGTGTTGGTGAATGCTTGCTTGCAGCACTCAGGTGCTGGTCTTGGTGGCCGGCTGTTTGTGCACATGGTATCGTTGAGTTCGCACAACACCACACTGTAAGGACATTGTGAGGACAATTGTAATTTAGGATCAACTTTGTTTGTGTTTGCATTTGTGACTTGATTGCTTGAAGTCTTCCATTGCAGGGATGCTCAGGAGGCGGCTCTTTGTGCGGTGGCACCGGTGAATCTTGTTAGAAGTGCACGCAATCGCTTCACCGCGTCGGACGAGAGTCCCCAATGGCCAGTGGGTAAGTAAAGCGGAGATGTGCTGCGGTCGGTTGAAAAATGCATGCTCGCATGATCCTCAGTGGTGGGTCAGATGCAGATATCCGCTTTGGGAAGTGCTTTGAATTATGCTTGTCGTGAGATGGAGCATATGAAGCATCAACAACCGTGAAGGCTGGAAGCTTTTGATGGGATTTGGGATCTTGGCTTTTGACCATTCAGGGAAAACAAGAACCTCCATTGACAGGTCTAATAAATGCCCTACACCAGATCTGATTCAGTTTCAAGCAGCTGGACGCATTGTAGAAGCCGCACCAAAAACTTCAGCGTGCTCGGGCCTTGGCAGCTGCCTCAGGCACTTGCACCCGGTCAAACATGGCGGCCTGCCTTGCGCGGGTGCTGCAGAAGGCGGCGCACGGGAAAGGCCAAGACAAATCAGCCGCAAGGGCCACTGCCTGGGTGGCCACTCGCTGTTGCCAATTGTGTGGGTCGTGATGGTTGCTGGCGGCAACGACTTTCATTCAGCTTCCTGAAGCAGTGAACGTTCGGGACTTTGATGCTGATGGAAGAGCGGCATGAAGTGGCGGTTGGACACTTTGTTGAGATTGGCACAAAGTGGCGCAGGTGGTGCACACTCCGCAGCTACGGCCAGTAGTGGCGACTTGCAGGCCGGGGCACGAGGCGGCACGAGTCACTGATTGTTGGGCCTAAGATATACATGTGCTTCACTAGTTAAGGAAACCCAAGGGGACGAGCATTTGTTGCCATTGCTAGACCAGGTTGGGCCGGCTCCCTGTCCAAGCCTTTTTTACTAAAAACCTGTGTTTTGGCTGCAGGAAGCGCTCAGATTCTCAGATGCAGTGGCATTTCATTGCAGAGCAACAAGACTTGGAGCGACAATGAAGCTTAGAGAAACGCAGTATCTCCTTCCCGGAAAATCGACGCTGCATCTCTTTCCCGGAAAATCGACGCTCGGGGCTTTCTCCTGAGGCAAAAACTGTTTGCTTACCAAGGCAGTTCCTTGAAGTTGAAGAAACGCTGGTCGCCTTTACTCAACCTGCTTGGCCAAGCTGTTGTTCTATTCCACGGCCGGGGGGTCACCATCCTGAGGCTCAAAGTCGAATTTGCTCCTTGTAGGTGGCTGTTCCCCTTCGACTGATCATTGCCCCCGTCCGTTTGCTCAAGTGCAGCGCCAGATCTCTGTCTACAACCATGTCTTCAGAAATCACCCACCGATTTTTGCCGGACACTGAGTGGGCACCAACATGATCTTGCAAGTAGAAATCCTGTAACAAACCATCCAGATGTGTCCGAGTACGCACTGGTTTGATTGTGTTTGGGCACGTGTGGTTGGAGCCCTGGCTGCTTTTTGCACTTGCCGAATCCTTGTCATGTATGTCTATCCATCAATGGCTATACATATGAACGGTTTATGTACGGCACCCTTTGCATCCACAGAGTGGCACGGCGATGTTTGAGCGCATTCATGAGAACCTGTCAGGCCCGGCTTCTGGGATCACGGCCCTGTGCCTTTCCAGCAAGATGCTCGCGGGTTTGCTGCGACTCCGCCAAAGCTCCCCATTGCCACATTGCACGTAGACCCGCCACCCACCGGGCAAAAAGTCAAGGCAAGCGTGGCAGGGAGTCTTTGCAAATGCGACCGAGTCAAGCCCGCTTTTGGGTGGCCGCAGGATGCAGAGCCCTCCTGTTGCAGCAAATGCAAAACTGAGGGCATGGTCAAGCTTCGGGGCACCAGGTGCAGATGCGGCAGAGCCCAGCCAGTCTTTGGGATGCCAGGTGATGAGAGAGGCACTTGTTGCAGCAAGTGCAAAGTTGAAGGCATGGTTGACATAAAGCATCGCAGATGCAAGTGTGGCAGAACTCAGCCCAGGTACGGCTTTGCTGGGGATGCCCAGGCTTCTTGCTGCAGCCACTGCAAGGATGAGCGAATGACAGATATTGTCGAGCGAAGATGCAGGTGTGGCTCCGCAAGACCTAGTTTCGGTTTTGCCCATGACGAGCAATCGTCTTGCTGCGTCAAGTGCAAACTTGACGGCATGGTGGACATCAGGAATCCAAGATGCAAGTGTGGCAAGGCTCAGCCATCTTTCGGCTTTGTCAATGACGCAAAGCCCTCTTGCTGCAGCAAGTGCAAAGCTGATGGCATGGCAAATGTTGTGAGTCCAAGGTGCAAGTGCGGCAGAGCCATTCCTAGCTTTGGTGTTGCTGGGGATCCACGGCCCACTTGCTGCAGCAAGTGCAAAGAGGAAGGCATGATGGACATCAAAAGTCCCAGGTGCCAAATTTGCAAAAAGCTTGCTTCTTATCCAGATGCGGCTGGTCGACCAAAGCAACTTTGCGCAGCGCATTCTGCCGAGGTGGGAGCTCACACACTTTCGTCCCCTGGTCGATCCCGCATTGCCAGCAAGTTCTTTGATGCCTTGGAGACTGAGCTCGGCCATGAGATGCCCTTCCGCTACAGATTCGATGCGGAAACTGTCACCTGGTCAGGCAAGGAGGTTGCAGGACTGGTGGCAGATCGCAACCTGCAGCCAGATGCATACGACCCAAAAAGCGGCATGATGGTTGAATTCTTTGGAAATTACTACCATGGCTTTCCGCCGGAGCATGTGCAGTAGCTTTGCTGCATACGATGCTATGTTTGTTGGCGTGGTGTCTACTTATCAAGCCTGGCAATTTCGTCGTAGTCCTTGTGGCTGTCTCCTTTTCTTTCCAGCGTCAGTTTCAGTAGCCTTGCAATGGCAATATATAGTGGTCCCAGCAAATCTCTTCTCCAGAATGTCATTTGGTGTGCTCTTGTTTGACCCTTGCCCCACATGGTTTCTCTTAGCTGCCAGTTTGGCAACGCAGGCACGGCAGCTTCACTTGCGTGGGAGGTAGACCTGCATCTGAGCTCCACGCAGAGACCATGGCCCGACTGGACTTGTTCCTGGCAGAGGGGCTGAAGGTTTTTTACATCTGGGAGCACGAATTCAAGGAGTGGCAGAGGGAAGCGACTTGGCCACAAGTAGCCAGTGGTGCAAGAGAAATGCGTCTTGAACCAAGTCCGCTGGCCGTGGCAGCCCGTTTGTCAGCAATGCTTATCAGTTGATGGTTTCATAGCCCCACTGCTTGGGAACCACATCACATGCTGTTGACGGACGAAATCCTGCAAACATGTTGCAATGACCGAAATCCTGCACTACCATTTGTGAATGCCAACAACATTGAAAAGGGGAGCGGGGTGCAGCCTGTTCGGTGCAGGATTTCGTCCGTCTATCAGGCAGCTTTGAATTGTTTAGTGACCCCTCTCTCGGATCCGAATCCCTTCCATCTTTTCTGACCCAGCGGTCCCTATTTTCCTCTCAAAGGGTGATTCAAACAACACTTGTTGGGCCCCTGTAAGGTGAGTATCCTTAGTAGGGGTGATGTTTAAAGTGGAAATACAGTGAATCCTCTGACCCCAAACAAGTGTGAGGTCACCCCATGTCACCCCCAAAACTAATTTGCGACTTCGGACCGTCTTCCAGCAACTCGACCATGCCTATCCTTCTAGCAGATCAGATTTCTTTCGGCACAATTAGAGTCGGCTTTTGTGTGTGTTTCTCGCAATTTCCTGTGATGCGAGACATACATGCCGCCCTTGTTCGGGTTTTCATTCACCTGCCCAGGGCGCCTCCGGTGCTGTTCTGTCCCTTGCCGCCCGTTTGCATCGGCACGTCGCTGCAAAGAAAAGCTCCAAAATCGGCCAGGGTGTGGGTGGGGTGTCACGGTACTTCTTGAGCTTGTTGGACTTGTGTGGCCAAGTCTGTGTTCCGGCGCAAGGTTGCAAATTGCCAGTAAGGATGTTTTGTGATGTTAATTGCACGTTTGGGAAGGTGCGTGTTGGGGCTGGTGGCAGAAAAGGTTTTCGGGATCACTGGAGCAAGGGACACGCTGTTGAGATGTTCTCCCTCAGCACTTAGTTTTGATTGATTGTGGGCGCCCACTTAGTTTGGATTGGGCAGATAGCTCTGCGTGATTGTTACGAGATGCAGTGGGCCCTCGCAGCAAAACTCAACTAGTTGACTACAAGTGATGTCCTCCTTCATCAGAGAGAAAGAGCAGATGACCTGCAGGTGCGTTCGATCGGATCAGGCAATCCCTGTTGGCAGCACATTTGTTTTGATTCGAGACTAAAAGTTGAAGCCACGAGCATTTTGCCATGTAGGTGTGAAGATCATTGGCAATTGGCATTAGCACAGAAGCCTAGCATACTGCCGCTTGTCATTTGCGAATTGGTGACTTGTGGTGATTGAAGACTGCAGGCTTCAGCTGCTTCTGAACTTGCCGGAAACCTAGTCACGCAAATTGGCCAGCGCTGTTCCTGTGCGTGAAAGCATGGCGATCCAAAAAGCAGTTGTCGCTTTGCAACGGACGGGTGTGCGTTCATCTTATTTCAGCCTTGTTTGCCCATGTCCGCCCTTTGCATCCGCGCCATGGCTGGGCACATGAACTGTGCGGCACAGGGCACATGGCGGAGGGCTGCCACGGCGTTTGGCCGACAAGCGGCGCAGCACTGGCCCCGCAGCTTGGAGAGGCAAAGTGGCGACACCTGGCGCATTGCGCCCACGCGACAACTGGCCTGTGCGCCGCCCAAGCTCAGACCATCGGATGATGGGGCCCTGCCAAAGCTGCTCGAAGAAGTGCAGGTGCCCAGACAGATTCTGCCAGGTGCCAATGCAAGTACAGCAAGTCTGTGCGTTTGCGGCAGGGCACCACCCTCTTTCGGGTGGCCGAAGGATGTCAGGCCCTCCCACTGCGCCAGATGCAAATCCGAGGGTATGGTGCGGCTTCAGGGTCCCAAGTGCAGATGCGGTAGAGCATGGCCAGTCTTCGGGGTGCCAGGTGATGCCAGGCCAACCTGTTGCAGCAAGTGTAAAGCTGGTGGCATGGTGGATATCAAGAATCGAAAATGCCAATGCGGAAAATGCCAGCCACATTTTGGCTTTCCCGACGATGCTCGGCCTATATGCTGCAGTCGCTGCAAAGCTGAAGGCATGGTAGACATCAGAAGCCGAAAATGCGAGTGCGGCAAGGCTCGGCCTGGTTTTGGATATGCTGGTGATGCCCGTGCCACCTGCTGCTGCCAGTGCAAGTATGATGGCATGGTAGATATCCGAAGCCTTAAGTGCAAATGCGGTAAAGCCCAGCCTTCTTTTGGCTTCATCGATGATGTGCGACCTACTTGCTGCAAGCAGTGTATGGCAGCTGGGATGGTGGACATCAAAAGTCCCAGATGCAAGATGTGTAACAAGCAAGCCTCCTATCCAGATGAAGCTGGCCGGCCAAAGCAGCTTTGCGCGGCTCATTCAGCCGAAGTGGGAGCTCATGTGCTGTCCTCGCCCCGTCGATCCCGGATGGCTAGTGAGTGCTTTGATGCTTTGGAGGCCGAGTGGGGCCGCAAGCTGTCCTTCCGCTACAGATTCGACATCAAGACGAGCTCCTGGTCAGGTGCGGAGTTTGTAGGGCTGGTGCCAAGTCGCAACGTGAAGCCAGACGCCTACGACCCAGAGGCCCGCAAAGTGGTCGAGTTTCTTGGGAACTACTACCACGGGTGCCCCCCAGATCATCCACAGCAATTCAGATTGATGGTATGTTTTGAGCCGACTGTCTTGACCTGTCCCAGAGTGGCTCTTGTTTAGTCACACGTCCTCCTAGGGCCATTTTGGTTTTCGACTGCCCAGGCACGACAGCTTCGTGTGCGTGGGTAGGCGACCTGCAGCTGAGCTGCACGCAGAGACCATGGCACGCCTGGACTTGTTCCTGGCAGAGGGCTTTGAGGTGGTCTACATGTGGGAGCATCATTTCATCCAGTGGCAGAGGGAAGTGACTTGACGGCAAGTGGAAGATGTGGCTGCTGAGGTGAGTTCTGTGAAGAGTGCTGTGATGCGCGGGACGTCAGCAGACAGTATTGTTTGGCGATCCCCACAAGTTTCAAGTGACCGTAGAAATGAGAATGATGACTTGGCACCTCCAAAGCACGTCATCCCAATCCCGTTGCAAGTTTGTTGCGTTGACATGTCCACATCTTCATCAATTTCACGCCACTTGGCTGGGGCAAAAACGCTCACAATCCTCCCAGGCATGGCCCCTTCCCTTGCTGCGCAGTTGATCCAGCATGGCGCTGCCGCTGACGAAAATGTGGTCCTGGTGGCCCGGCTTACTTGTGCGCATGCTCTCAGATTCCAAGTCGATGCTACCCAGTGTTTGGAATTATTTGTAAACACCATGTTTACTAAAACCAGGTCCCCCAGAAGCGCCCTTTTACCCTTTTTGGGGGAGGGTTCCCCTACTAAAATAGACTACAGAAAAAAGGGTACCCTTGTTCTAACCTCTCTACTGGAGGACCTAGAAAAGGTGAACGACAATCCCAATTGATCAAGAAAACTGGTCCGTTAACGAGTTCACAGGTCCAGGTGAACCGGAGATGAACCGCATGCAAAATGCGTGAACGTCCCAGCCGCGTGTTGCGCCGATCTCCAGCCTGCCGTGTGGTCCGTCTCAATGCCAAAGTGCTGCAACCATGGCTACCTGCCTGGTGCGGGTGGCGCAGAAGGCTCGGCCGGCAGAAAAAATGAGGTTGGTGGCACCCATTGAAGATAGCTCCTCTGTTGCAGGCAGCTGGGCCAGTTTCAAGATGCTGAGATTGACAGGTGCTACTCTTCATAGTGTCAATTTGGTTTGAACATAATCACGCTTTGAGATGCTGTTAGAAGCTGGAAGTGCATGAAGCTCAGTTCTGCAAGCAAATCAACATTACAGAAACGATGCAACGCTTTGACAATTCAAGCTGCTGATGTGCTGATCAGATGCAATGCAAGATTAGCAGGGTCATGTTGTTTGAGCAAAGGCTTCGAGACAAGGTGCATAATCCGTTCCCCCTTTAGTAAATGGACCCTATAAATAGATCCTATTTTTCCGGACTGGTTGAAACAGCCGGGTCCCCAATACTACTTTTTGAATAGCCCAATTCAAAACCAATACTAACTATCCGATGTCTCCGCCCAGACCAGCCACGGCTTGATTGGGGGGGCTCCTTGCACCAATCCAATACCAAACTCTAAATGCATACTTACCTGTTACTGATTAACAGTTAATTCTTCAATTGTAATTCTAAGCTTAAACTGCGCCCTCTACATTCTGAACCGCAAAAACTGAAAAAGCAACTTGAATGGTTCTATTTAAATTCGTTACTCGGAAATTTGCGGTTTTGAGGTTTCGTGTCCGGGAAGGGGGGAGCCCATTTGGACGAGGACCAAAGACTTCCAATAAATATATTTTGTTGTCCAGAGAGTAGTTCTTTTTTGGCGGGGTCCGCGTTTATTATTAGGGGGAACGGCTAGCATGATCAGGCCATTGTAATATAAGTGCGTTGTCAAGATGTATGTGCATGCTTCATCGCAGTTCTTGGAGCAAACACATGAGCTGCCTCAGAAAGCTCTTTGGAACGTCCCCTCTCAGCTTGTTTGATGAAGATCGGCGCAATCAGTGACAGCAAAGCTATTTTGAAACGCATGTAGGCCTTGGGCAGTGCGTTGTGTTTGTGGCCTTCCGAAATATGTGCCATGGGATGCACAGGCTCTCCGCAGCTCGCTGCAGCTGCCGCTTGTGCCAGCAGCCAGCAGGCCCGGAAAGGCGAACTAATCTTTGTCGATTTGAAGATGGGCTTAGCGGGTGAAGATCGCTTCCCCAAAAATGATCTCCCAGCCCTGCGGAAGTGGGACATCTCCAGATTTGTTTGGTTGGCGGCTCCCATGCACGGGTTGTATGTCTGCATGTCGCTTTCCCAGGCTGCGCAGCTTCGCCAGCAATCCCAAGAAGTGGCAGGGTCCGACCGCTGCGAAGGCACAGTCATCAGCGTGGCACATTGCCTCACAACGCGAGCTTTGCAATGCGCCTGTTGCCAGAACCGAGCAAGAAACATGCAAACCTCCGAACAAGACGAGCTTCTGCCTCTGTGGGCGGGCGAAGCCATGCTTTGGATGGCCGCACGATGCGAATCCCTCCTGCTGCGGCAGATGCAAGGCAGAGGGGATGGTGAGGCTTCGGGGTCGTAAGTGCGGATGCGGTGGAGCATGGCCGGTGTTTGGGACGCCAGGTGATGCCAGGCCAACCTGCTGCAGAAAGTGCAAAGTTGAAGGCATGGTGGATATCCAAAATTCCAAGTGTCAGTGTGGCAGAGCTCGGCCTTCCTTCAGCTTTGCTGACAATTCTCGGCCAACGTGTTGCAGTAAGTGTAAGGCTGCGGGCATGGTGAATATCAAGAACAAGAATTGCAGATGTGGCCGAGCTCGGGCATCTTTTGGTTTTGCAGCTGATGCCAGGCCAACTTGCTGCAAATGCGGCCTACATGCTGCAGCCAGTGCAAAGAAGCTGGCATGGTAGACATCAAGAACCCCAAATGCAAAATGTGTGACAAGCAAGCCTGCTATCCAGATGCAGCTGATGTGTCAAGACGTTTGTGCGCTGCACATTCTGCAGAAGTGGGAGCACATGTGCTCTCTTCGCCTGGTCGATCCCGCATTGCCAGCGAGTTTTTGGACTTCTTAGAGCAAGAGCTAGAGTTCGAGTTCTCCTACCGCTTCAGATTTGACACTGAGACTTGCCGATGGTCAGGTGAAGAATTTGTAGGCCTAGTCTCAAGTCGCAATCTCATGCCCGACGCTTATGATCCAGAAGATGGCATTGTAATGGAGTTCCTGGGGAATTTCTATCATGGAGCATCCACAGCATCTTTGCATTTTGTTCAACATGCCTCACGTGATGTCTGTGCTTTGGTGTTTTGACTTGGTGATCCAACATGTTCTGATTCGGCGCCAGTTAGGCACGACAGCTCCGTTTGCGTGGGTGGACGACCCTCAGCCGAGCTTCATGCGGAGACCATGGCCCGGCTGGACTTGTTCCTGGCGGAGGGGCTGTATGTCTTCTACATCTGGGAGCACGACTTCAAGGAGTGGCAGAAGGCAGCGACTCGTTGGCAGCGGCACTGCCTTTGGTTGCATATTGGCTCACACATCAAGCTGACTCCCCAAAAAGAACTTCTAGAAACGCAAGTAGCTGAAAGACCAGTGCAGTCCCCAAATGTGTCAAGCCTAATGTCTTGGATGAGTACTGCTTTGATCAGCCAATGATCGTCGATGTATTGCAAGCTGCTCAGGCAGCCTCGGGTGCTGCTCGGCAGGTCACCAGCCATTTGCGCAGGCATGGCGTGGCCCAGGAAGCAAAAGAGATGGCCTTTGGTGCTCTGTCACATGTCGACTGACTTCGGGAGGTGATGCCGCGCAAGCAATGCCTTGAGAAACCCGCTGTGGCATCATGTATGCTAGGGCTTTCATTCTAACGGCGCAGGCCCCTGCAACCATGACCCAGAACTTGGACACTGCGTACATTGCTTCGAGCGGAGCGGTCATGTTTGCCCTGTTGCCACGGGCAGGTGGCGAAAGTCGAGGTGTTGGCCGCTGTTGGCCCACACGCTTGCCAGAGGTTTGAACACAGCCTGCGGGCACCCAGCATGAATCCATTCTAAATGTGGCAGTTTGGCCAGACCAGCAAGTCAGCTTAAGAGCATGGCGCTGTCCGAAGAGGTGGCACTCACCCCGATTCTGGTCAGAAAACGAGAACCTTTCATTTCGCTTCGGTATACCTTTCTCAGCGTCAGCCCGAGCTGCAGCTCTTCCATGTGAGTCTGTTTCTAAAAAGAAGAAAGATGTTTCTTGGGCTTTCAGATCTAACGAGCGATTCTTCTTCACAGCTCAGCCACCGAGTAGCCCTCCTAGCAGTGCCCCCTCCGGCGGTCTCGCAAGCCATGGTTTGCCTGGCGCGAGTGCTGCCGAAGGCCGGACGGCTCTGGAAGCATCTCATTGGCGAGACTGAAGCAGGGAGCAAAGAGTCACTCCACATTTGTCTACTTCGAATCGTGGGGAAGTCCAGAGCTTGCAATTGGGAGCGAGTTATGCAAGCATGTTTTGAAAACAAGCATTTTTGCGCTCCACGGTTCTTCCGTGAAGAATGACATAGGGCGTGTCTACGATGGACTTCCATGTAATGCTTGTGCACATCTTCCAAGAATAGGGCTTGCGTGGCGTGTTTTTGCCGGGCTTTTGGGCCCTGATGGGTTTTTGATTGTCTCGGATTTGTATTCACCCTGCTTGCTCCATGAGATGATTTAATTCCAATCTGCTTCAACCATCGAAAATCGAAGTATAGCAGCTGGCAGGGGCGCTCAACAATAGTCCCCAACTAGAACCTCCCCAGCAGCTTCACTGGCAGGCCGTCCGTTCACAGGCCGCTTCCTCCACGCGGCTGGCACTGACACTTTGCAGGCCAGCTATGGGACTAGACTGTGTACTGGGGCTGGGCATTGGCTGGTGACTCTCCAGTTGGGATGGCTTGATGTCTTGAGGGGGGGATTCAGCCAGCAACAAATTGCATCAACGCACTGCACGTGGAGACTTTGTTCAATGGAGGGTTTTGCAGAGGGGAATGGACCAGCTCCGGAACCTACTTGGGATAGAGATCCGCAAAGCCCACAAGGAGAATATCATGACTGATTCATGACCTGTCCAGCCCATGTTTGTGAAAGCAAGGACGTCACACAGTTCATTGAAACCTGCAGGCCGCTCAGCTCCCTGGCTTATTCGAAGGAGCAGAAGGCTTTGGCTGAGCCAACCGCAGTTGCCTTGGCCAAGGCCATCCGACCAGCAGGACCCGCTTCGTTTGTGGTCAACGACAGTTTGCCAGCCGCAAAGCAAAGGCAACGATGCGAGCAAGGTGGCGCTGTGCCTTTGCGGACGTGCAAAGCCAACTTTTGGACAGCCACAGGATGCGCTGCCCTCTTGCTGCAGCAAATGCAAGACTGAGGGCATGCTCAAGCTTAGGGGTCCCAGATGCCGATGTAGTGCAGCATGGCCAACGTTTGGGATGATAGGCGACGTGCGGCCGACTTGCTGCAACAGGTGTAAAGAGGAAGGTATGGTGGACATCAAAAATCCAAGGTGCATTTGCGGCAGAGCTCAGCCTTCATTCGGCCTTGTCGACGATGCACGCGCCTCGTGCTGCAGTAAGTGTAAGACTGACGGCATGATCGACATAGCGAATCGACGGTGCAAATGCGGCATAGCCATTCCTTCATTTGGCTTTGCCGGAGATGTGCGGCCCTCGCGATGCAAGGAGTGCAAAGCAAAAGGCATGGTCAACATTACAACTCCACTATGCAAATGTGGCGAAGCTATCCCTTCTTTTGGCTTTTTAGGGGATGCAAAGCCCTCTTGTTGCAGAAAGTGTAGGGCTCAAAGCATGGTGGATATCAGGAACCGTAGGTGCAGGTGCGGCCGAAGTCAACCTTCACTTGGCTTTGTCGATGACAAACGGCCTACTGCTTGCAGCCGGTGCAAGACTGATGGAATGGTTGACATTGTGAACCCAAGGTGCCACAGCTGCGGCAAGTTAGCCGCCTACCCAGATGCAGCTGGCCGGCCACGGCAGCTTTGTGCAGTGCACTCTGCTGAAGTGGGAGCACACACGCTTTCCTTCCCAGGCCGATCTCGAATTGCCAGCGAGTTTCTAGACGCCTTGGAGATACATATTGGACGTGAGTTGCCCTTCCGCCACAGATTTGACGCTGCGACCGGCCAATGGTCAGGTGAAGAGTTTACTGGGCTCGTGTCAAATCGTAATCTGCAGCCTGATGCATACGACCCAGAGGCACGCATTGTGGTTGAGTTTTTAGGCAACTTCTACCACGGCTTCCCACCGGAGCACCCACAGCTGCTTGGCTGAATTGTGTTTGCTTTGACCCAAGTTGTTTTGCGTGCTCTCTGCAGCAAATCATGATGTTGCTGCCCTGGTGAACCCTGTGCCAGAAAGGCACCACAGCTCCACGTGCGTGGGTGGCAGACCGGCATCGGAAGTTTATGCAGAGACCATGGCGCGACTGGATGTGATTCTGGCCGAAGGGCTGCAAGTTGTCTACATTTGGGAGCACGACTTCCGGGAGTGGCAGAGGAAAGTGACTTGACGGCAGGCAAGATGCCACATGATCGCTCAACTGGTTGGATCTAGGCTCACACATCCCACAGAGTTGCTGAAATGACGAAGCAACTTGCATGGCATAGACACAAGCAATGCCTTGATCCACCAGGCAATCCGAAGTATTAACCACACTGAGCTCAGGTTGCCACGGGTGCTTCCCCAAAGATCACCGGCTATATGCGCAGGCACGGCGTCGCCCAGAGTGGCATGCCTGACGATTGGAATCTAGCATGCCCAGAGCTGGGGGCATGTCTCGAAGCTGCCAAGGAAGTGCCTGGAGTCGAAGCAAAAGACTGACAGAAGCGGTGGGCATTTCCTGCAGAACACACCCCGCAATTAACCAGCATGGGCTACAACGGCCATAGCAGAGCTGAAAAGAAAGGTTGGCGCCACTCGAATTCCGATCACAGAAGACGAATGTTTTGTGTTTTTTTTGCTGTCGACATGCCCAGACCGTCGCAGTTCTTAGAGCCTCGAGCCTGGGGCGCTCAGACCCAAGGCCGACTTTGTCGTCAAGCCAAAACCTGGGGACTTGGAGGGCCGGGGATGTTCTAAACCATAGGTTGGCGAGGCCTTGGTAGGACCTTTCTCTACGTGGGTGGACTGCTTTGATTCCCTGGAACATTCCTAAACTTGGGCATGTGTGACATTGGTCATGCGCAAAAGGAATACCGCAGAATCTTGCAACTTTGTGGCCTCCCAACTTTAAGCACCACGACAACAGTTGTAGCAGCACCAGAAGAGGCCTCGGGGCTATCTCGGCAAGGGGGTTGTCATGCGGAGGCCTGCGTCAAGTTGCCTTGCGACACAGCCATTGCACCAGGTTCCCAGCAAGAAGATTGCCACCAGTTGGGCCTCCCAAGGGCAACAAAGCCGAGTGTACGGTCCCGTTGGTTGCCGTTGCCTCTTGTCACGTGCAGTTCCTTTGGAGGCACCACCCCCGTACCTCGGCTATGGCATACCTGGGTCGAGTGCTGCCAAAGGCCCGGCGGCGGTTGCTTGAGCCGGAGGGATCCTTGTTTCCCAGACCAAAGCTTCACGAGTGGGAGTTGCGTCGAGTCATGTTCAAACTCAGATGGCATGACCACTGTTGGAACCTGTACGGAGTCGTTCCTTCCATCAAGTCTGCTGGAAGACGGGGTCTCAAGAGTCGCCTCCACAGGCCTCAACTGTGTGCCACCGCGCCCGGCCCCATCAGCCAGGCCTTCCGGGCGCTCGCTGCTTCTAGCCGTACTGTGCTGCCGCTGTGCAGGCCCGCTGCGTGAGGTTTCTCACGGCCTTCGCAGTTCTTGCTGGCAACGAGGCATAGCTACCATGTTATTTGGATTTGCCAGCCCCTCGAAGCTTGGAGGATAGTCTCATGCCTTCAGACATTCTGTTGGGAAGAGGACTACTGCCGACGTAGAGTGGGAGATTTGTCTTTCATGTGAACCTTACCGGCCGTGAAGCGACGCGAGTTGCCGAATGGTTAATTGTCATCAGATGGTCTTTTTGTGTAGCTGGACTTGTCCCGTCAATGAAAGATGCTAATGTGGGATGCAGAGCCTTAATACCTCAACGAAAGGGGCAAGCACATATCCGTCTGGTTGGAGGAGGTTGCCGAAAGTCGCTCACAGTTGGTTGCACCCCTGCAGGCCGTTCAGCTACGCGCTTTACCAGGAGCAGAAGGCTTTGGCTGAGCCAGCTGCAGTTGCCATGGCCAAGGCTGTCCGACCACCAAGAAACATTTCGCTTGTGGTCGGGGAAGCGCACTCAGCTACGGAGCAACGCACTGATGCAAGCAGGGTGGCGCTGTGCCTCTGCGGACGGGTGAAGCCGACCTTTGGATGGCCACAGGATGCGCAGCCCTCCTGCTGCAGCAAATGCAGGTCTGAGGGGATGCTCAAGCTGAGGGGTCCCAGATGCCGATGTGGTGTGGCAAGGCCAGTGTTTGGGAAGATAGGTGATGAGCGGCCCACTTGTTGCAGCAAGTGTAAAGCGGAAGGTATGGTTGACCTCGAAAGTCCAAAGTGTTTGTGTGGCAGAGCTTCGCCTTCTTTCGGCCTTGTTAATGACGAAAGAGCCTCATGCTGCAGCAAATGCAAATCTGACGCCATGGTGAACATAGTAAGTCGACGGTGCATGTGCGGCAAAGCTGTTCCTTCATTCGGCTTCACTGAAGACACGAAGCCCTTGTGCTGCAAGAAGTGCAAAGAGGAAGGCATGGTGAACCTCAGAAGTGGAAAGTGCAAGTGCGGCAAAGCTCGGTCTAGTTTCGGTTTCATCGCAGAAAGTCGGCCCTCGCGATGCAAGGAGTGCAAGGAGAAAGGCATGGTTGACATTGTGACTCGAAAGTGCAATTGTGGCAAAGCTGCCCCTTCTTTTGGCTTTTTTGGGGATGCAAGGCCCTCTTGTTGCAGCAAGTGTAGAACTGAAGGCATGGTGGATATCAAACACCGGAGATGCAAGTGTGGCAATTCCCACCCTTCTTTTGGCTTTGTGGATGATGAGCGGGCGACCGCTTGCAGGCGGTGCAAAACTGATAGAATGGTTGACATTGTGAACCCAAGGTGCCACAGCTGCGGCAAGTTAGCCGCCTACCCAGATGCAGCTGGCCGGCCGCGACAGCTTTGTGCAGTGCACTCTGCTGAAGTGGGAGCGCACACGCTGTCCTCCCCAGGTAGATCACGCATCGCCAGCGAGTTTCTAGACGCCTTGGAGATACATATTGGACGTCAGTTCCCCTTCCGCCACAGATTTGACGCTGCGACCGGCCAATGGTCAGGTGAAGAGTTTGCTGGGCTCGTGGCAAATCGTAATCTGGTACCCGATGCGTACGATCCAGAGGCACGCATTCTGGTCGAGTTGTTGGGCAACTTTTACCATGGCTTCCCACCAGAGCATTCACAGCAACTTGGCTAAAGTGCGTGTTGATTCTTGTTTGGTTGGACAATGTTGCGAACCCTTTGTTTTAGTCCTGCTACAGGCATGCCAGCTTTACATGGGCGGCAGACCAGCATCGGAAGTTTATGCAGAGACCATGGTGAGACTGGACTTGTTCCTGGCCGAGGGGCTGCAAGTTGTCTACATTTGGGAGCACGACTTTCGGGGCTGGCAGCGGGAAGTGACTTGACGGCAGGCAAGATGCCACATTGTCGCTGGCTGGGCTCAGACATCCCACAGAGTGCTGAAATGATTTCTTAAAGCAAGTGGCTCAACACCAGTGCTGCTTATGCCCCCCGCCAAACACTCAGTGTCCAGGTTGGCATCCTATTGATTTGCAAAATGGCCTCAAAGAAGTACCAGCCACTCGAGTCGCTGGAGCTCAGGTTGCCTCCGGTGCTGCACCCAAGATCACCGGCTATTTGCGCAAGCACGGCACCGCCGGCTGGCGACTGGAAGCTAGCGCACCCCAGAGCTTTGGGCACGCCTCGAAGATGACAAGAAAGCATTCGCAGTCGAAGCAAACGACCAACTCATTCCCCTCAACACCCCCACAGTTCCCGAGGATTGGGAAGTTCGGAAGGATGCAGCCCCAAAGGTAAGGCTTTGTGAAGCTCGAATTCCCGGTAGAAAGGACCTCTGTTGCCTGCCATGTCCGGACCGTCGCCTTTCTCGGAGACTTGAGCCTGGGCTGCCGCTCCTGGATCCAAGGCCGGCGTTGCTGTTGAGCCAACCAAATCCGGGAAATTTAGATGGTTCCCAAGCTTTCTTTCCGGGCGAGCATCCTGTGGTGTTCGACATCAACAGAAGGAATGCCAGGAGCCTTGCCCTTTTCTGGTCTTCCTGCTTGAGTGCCAAGACAAGAGATGTGGCCATACAAGATCAATCTTTGTCATAGAAATACCGGGAGAGGCGTTAGGGCCATGTCATTGTCGGCATAGGGTTTGTTGTCCAAGGGTGTGTGTCGGATTCCTTCGGGTCTTCATGTTCAGATGGCTCATCACTGGCTTCCGGTCGATGGGGCTACTACGTCTACCTTTGTTGCTGTCCTGAAAACAAACAAGCTGCATATATTGTCATTATTTCAAGAAGAACTGGTTCATTGAGCGCGTCAAAGGCAAGGCTTTCACACTTTGGTCACATGAATGACTTCGGAGGCTTCTTGCATTCGAGCGCCTCTACCGTACCGTTCTCTTGCGAACAATTAATTTGGGCTACGCGGTGCTGCCCAAGGAAATCCCTTAGTCAGCCAGGTGTGGATCTGCCAGAGTCATAGGTTTCGCTTCCAAAGTGTGGTGGAAGCTAGCTTGTGGGCTTCTAGGCCGACGCTCCTGCATTGATAGCAAGAACCCAGCAAACTCAGAGTGGCCCTGGGCTGGCGTGGTTGCCCTGTGCTCTTGTCGGACGCGGTTGCCCTGCAGGCACCTGACGCCTAGAGCGGCCATGGCATGCCTGGCTCGAGTGCTGCCAAAGGCCCGAGAGCGTTTGCTTCACGTGGAGGGATCTCTGTTGCACAGACTGAAGCCGCACTCGAGATAAGACCTTTTGGCGCAATATGCGTTGATTGCCAGTTGCGTGGAGTTTGCCCTGGATCACAGGACAAACGTCAGGAACCTTGCAAAGTTTTACTTACAATATTATCGGATTTTGTTTCCCGAGGACCCCACTGGGAACCCGCTAAAATAGCTGATTTCCTCACCAAAAGAGGAACTACCCTGCATAGTACCATCCCTGGTCCCTGGGAGTAATCCCAAGTTGACATTCCGTATCTCTTAGGTCTCTCAATAAACACACTTGGAAGGACGTGGGACGTGTGCCTGGAATATGTGTCAAATTCCGGGCGCAGGGCTTTCCGGCGCGCTCCGCTTCCACCCACCTGGTGCTGCCGCTGTGCAGGCCCGCTACGTTTCTCGCAGCCCTGGTAGTGTTCGATGCAGCAAGGAATGAGCATCCCGCTGTTTGTATGACTCTGTCAGGAATTGAGGTGGAAGGTTGGGCAGGACGGCTGGTGATATGAAAGCCCTTGAAAAGGGAGGATAGTCTCACATTTGCAGACATTGTAGTGGTTGGGGACAAGTCTGTGGTGATCCGGTTTTCATCTGAAGCCCGCAGGCCTTTGAGCTATGCGAGTTGCCCAAAGCACAAGAAGGTGTTGCCTGCGCCAACTGGCTGTCGTGGCCGTGAAGGGCCAACCAGATACATCTCCCTTGTGGTCAAGGAAGTCAGCCAGAGTGCCAATCCGGGCAAGACGGCGGTTTGCCTGTGCGGACGGGTGAAGCCAACTTTTGGATGGCTGCAGGATGCGCAGCCCTCCTGCTGCAGCAAATGCAAGACTGAGGGCATGCTAAAACTGCAGGGTCCCAGATGCCGATGTGGTGTGGCAAGGCCAGTGTTTGGGATGATAGGCGACGTGCAGCCGACTTGCTGCAGCAAGTGCAAAGAGGAAGGCATGGTGGACATCAAAAATCCAAGGTGCATTTGCGGCAGAGCTCAGCCTTCATTCGGCCTTGTCGACGATGCACGAGCCTCGTGCTGCAGTAAGTGTAGAGCTGAAGGCATGATCGACATAGCAAGTCGACGGTGCAATTGTGGCATAGCCATTCCTTCATTCGGCTTTGCCGGAGATGTGCGGCCCTCTTGCTGTAAGAAGTGCAAAGAGGAGGGCATGGTGGACATGAAAAACCGAAGATGCAAGTGCGGCAAAGCTCGGCCTAGTTTCGGTTTTATCGCAGAAAGTCGGCCCTTGCGATGCAAGGAGTGCAAAGCAGAAGGCATGGTTGACATTGTGACTCGAAAATGCAATTGTGGCAAAGCTGCCCCTTCTTTTGGCTTTTTTGGGGATGCAAGGCCCTCTTGTTGCAGCAAGTGTAGAACTGAAGGCATGGTGGATATCAAACACCGGAGATGCAAGTGTGGCAATTCCCACCCTTCTTTTGGCTTTGTGGATGATGAGCGGCCGACCGCTTGCAGGCGGTGCAAAACTGATGGAATGGTTGACATTGTGAGCCCAAGGTGCCACATCTGCGGCAAGTTAGCCGCCTACCCAGATGCAGCTGGCCGGCCAAAGCAGCTTTGCGCAAAGCATTCTGCTGAAGCGGGAGCACACACCTTGTCTTGGCCCGGACGATCTCGCATTGCCAACGATTTTCTGGACACCTTGGAGGTAGAGTTCGGACTTGAATTTCGCTTCCGCCATAGGTTTGACGCTGGGACCGGCCAATGGTCAGGTGAAGAGTTTGCTGGGCTCGTGGCAAATCGCAACCTGCTGCCTGATGCTTATCATCCTGATTCTCGCACTGTATATGAGTTTTTGGGCAACTTCTACCACGGCTTCCCACCGGAGCATCCGCAGTAACTTGGCTGAAGTACGATTTCTGTCGGTTGTTTGGCCTGATGATATTGCGAACCACTTGGTTTTTATCCTGCCAGACACGACAGCTTCACATGCGTGGGTGGAAGACCTGCATCCGAGCTGTACGCAGAGACTATGGGGAGACTGGACTTGTTCCTGGCAGAGGGGCTGCAAGTTGTCTACATCTGGGAGCATGACTTCAAGGAGTGGCAAAGGGAAGTGACTTGACAGCAGGCATGCAGTCACAAGATTGGGGCTAATTGGATCTGATCAACTTCCGGTATCAAATGCATTTGTTTGTAGGGTTGGACACCAGCATAGATATGTTGTTTGTTTGCGGTTGCAACAGGTTTGAGTCCCAGTAGGTAACGTTTGACAGCTCAGGTTGCTTCTGGTGCCGCTCCAAGCATCCGTAGCCGCTTGCATACCCACACGAGCTGTACTTTGGAAAAGCCGAGCTAGTTTCATTCCCTCCAGCAATCACTCCTATTTGCTCCTGCAAGGGATATTCAGGTGTGTATGTGTGGGTGTGTGGGTGTCCTTAGATTGATGTCCAGCCACCAAACGTATATTTCCCGCAAAGAATGGCCTACAAAGCCAGCTCGCGGGTCCAATATGTTATCACAACAAATGCCAAGCACCATTTCGGGCAGCCATCATCAATTCAATTCCGCGAGGGAAGTATCAAGCACCGCGGCCCCAAGCATAGACAAGTCAGTAGACATCCTGGTGCCCTCCTGTCTTCATGAGCCACAGAAGTTGAAGTCGCAATGCTTCAAGCTTGCCCTGCCTGCCTCTGAGCCTCAAGCCCGGCAGTCCCGCCACTTTCGCGCGAACCGCATCGAGCGCGCAGGGCTGAGGCGCATGCTGGGTGTGGGCAGACTGGCCGAGGGCACGGTTGCCCCAAACATTGGTAGTTGGGTGAGCTGGCCATGTTGGTAGTTATAGTAAGTTTGTTTGATTGGTTGCTTTGTTGCTGTCCAATTTTCGGATAAGCTTGGCATCTCCTGGAGAAAGGTTCTGCTTTTGCAGTCAGGGTTCCATTGTCTCGTCCCTAGAAGGACGTTGACTCAGGGCTTGCCTTGTTTGAGCGCACTAAGCATTCACATTCACATCGCTGAATTTTAAACAATCTCAACCGGAGGTAGGCCGAGGTCACTCAGGATGAAGGATCGAGCCCATTTTAGTTCGGGGGGGGGGGGGGGGGAAATTCTGCAGGCCCTATGTCGTCTAGGGGAACTAATCTGGTTACTTGTGGCTTCATTTAACTTGGCGGGATTCAAAAACTGGAACAAACCCTTTGACTCGGAATCTGCCGAATCCAGGAAGTCATGGCAGCCTCCGCGTTGCTGCAGAAGAAGACCTTCGTGACTGTGCAGGAAGAGGCCGCCAGGGCGCGCTTTCCATGTCGCCAATTGGATTTGCTTGATACCAACAGAAAGATACCCATTTCGGTTGGGTGCTATAAAGGATTGATGTTTAGATTGTCTGAATGGCACTGCCCATAGAGTTTCAAACTGAATGCCACCTCATCCAAGCTCACAGAATTCAATTCTGTTTGCGTTCCTCCTACATGTCCACATCCCGCTCTGCCGCTGGCTGACGCCTCGGAGGTCGCGCACAACCGCCTCATCCAGAACAAGTGGTACCCAGGGGGCCAGCCTGCAGCCGCCATCGAGGGTGAGGACGAGGCTCCGAGCGCATCAATGAGCCCAGCGGTCTTTGTTCATCGCGGAGAGCGGAGGGAGCAAATTTGAGGCCGCGATGTACCTCAAAAGAGGTCAAACAACTTACAGGGAAATCCGAATGAGTTGTTGTTTGAAGAGCGCAGATTGACAATGTGGCAAGCCTCTTGTACCTTCTTTAAAGGCACAAGATATCGATGGAAGGGATCCAACCTGAGAAATGGTCTAAAGCTGTGCTTTGCTTTCTCGTTCGAGAATTAGTCCCAGTTGGACGACCTGGAACATGAGCCCCAAGGCAAGGCTTTGTTGTTGTACCACGTTTGTTTTTGAACTTGATGATCTGCTGATGGTCCGCTTTCCGTTTCCCTTTAAGCTTTGAGAGTTGGTTCATGTGATACAGGTGTTTCCCCTTTCCCTTGAAATGTCATCTGAAACCTGAGGCATGGGGGGCTTCGGACCGTCGCAGGTGCGCTTCATGGGGGGCGATGCCTACGTGCCCCGCCTCGTGGCCGCCAACGCAGGGGCCCCCAGGTTTTCGTGCAAGCAAGCGTGTCAAAGGAGGGGCCCGTCCAGGTTGGTTTTCTTTTGGCTTCCAACAGGGGGGCCTTGTTTTGAATTTTTGGGTGGTGTTGGACATGAACGGAGCTGAACAGAGCGTGGTTTTCCAAAAGCGAGGTGTTTCTTGGAACGAGGCACGGGGCATTCCCCTTCGGGCTGGGGCTATCAAAGAAAACCAGACGAGTCTCAAATCCCAACTTCAGGGATTGTGCGAGGAGTTGCTGGCGCCTCACAGCGTGATTCAGGGTCTAGTTGAGCTGCCAGGGGTCCTTTCCAAACCTGGGGACCTTGTAGAGGAACAAACTTTTTAGAGGAAGAATCCCCAAATTTGGGGGACCCTTCCCTTCGGGTCTTCGCAGTTTTTCACGAGGTGCCCATCGCAAAGCCGGCGGCCGCACCCATGGGCCCCGCGCCCGGGCCCACGTCCTACGCAGAGCCGCTGCAGGCGCTTGCTTGGTTTGGGATTCTTTCAGTGGGCGGGTGGTCTTTAGGGTGCCATAGGGTTCCCCGTTTGGGTTGGTTTAAAGGGAAACCACCAACTTTGCGGGGTCGCCCTATTTTGAGACGTACCCAAGTGGACGAGTTCGGGGCGTCTCTGAAGTAGTCGCCTGGGTGAAGCTCATGATGACTGGGATGGCCCAAGTAAGCCTGCCCCAGACACTTGGGCGAACGGGGTGAAAGATCATGTTGCAGTTGCTGTCGGTGAGTGAAAGTCATGAAAGGACTTTGTGCTTCTGAATGGCACGGCAAAAGCCGACTCGGTGGCTGACCTTGTCAACGTGGGCATAGAACAACTCCTGCCGCCAGGCGAAGAGACCCCTCTTCCTGAGGCATGGTGATGGGACTGCCGGCATTTGTCATTGAAGGGAACTCCTGGGCACCTTTGTGACGGATCCATTGCATAGTGGTGAGGTCATCGAGCATTGAGCATGCGTCGTGTCTTGGTTCGGCAGCTGGGTGACCAGTGACAAACAGAGAATTGGTGGCATACGGGAGCTTCAAGCTACAGACACCACTTGTTCGGGACGTGACAAATCTCTTTTGGCGTCTTACTGTTTCTTTTGGCATTCAGCATAGAGCTGCAGTCTTCGAATTGGTCGCTTGAGGTTGCCCATGCGCTTTGCACCTTGAGGAGGGCCAAGTAAAAACATGTTGACACACGATCCCGTCCAAGCCGCCCCCTTGCAACTCACCAAATCTAATGAAGCAAAGCAAGTGAGGGCTGAATTTGGAGTTTCCCGATATCACTGTGTTGTTGGTCTCTTTGTTTTGCCAAACTGGAAATTGGACCGCTCAAATATCGTCTCAAGTCCGTACCAATTTCCAAAAGGAAGTGTTCCTCCAACTTATGGACATCCCCAAAGGGCGGCTGTTCAGTTTTACCTTTGGTTTCACTTTGGAAACACCCACCCAGCAAAGTGGTAAATATGACGCCCCCACATCACTCCAGGCGCCTCTTTTAACATCAATTCACACATTAAAGTCCAAGTATGGTGGCCACAATCTACATGTGTCTTTCTTTGGGGCGGTTGCAGCCAAAAAGCTGAGGTAGACTCCTCCCCTTCAAAAGCCGCGACGCTTACGCCGCTTACGCCGCCCAGGGGCGCCGGGGGCGGCGTGGCGCCGCAGGGCGGCGGCCCTGCGCTGCCCTCGGGCGGCGGCACTGCCAAGGGCGGCAAGGTCAAGGCCGCTGGGGTTAGGGTGGGCCGGGCGGGGGGGGGGGGGGATGCGGGGTGGAGGGGGATTGGGTCAGCAGCACTTTGTGTACACTTACTTTTTGCAGAATTGTTGATACACTCTGCATTTGGCCTCCCCTAAAGGGGACCAAGGCAAGTTGGTTGAAGCAAGATTTGCCCAACCTTGGTTCGTTCGGCGGCACCCAACCCTAGAATGCAGGGGTTGGTCACCCAAGACGTGAAGGGCTGGGGGGAAGTAGCGGGGAGCAACCCTGTTGGGCCCTACCATCCATGTCATCGAATAAGTTCTGAAGGCTTCTGGGAGTCAATACGATTAGATGATCCAGGATACATTTCAAGAGGAGAGTTTGCGGCAGCATGAAACCTGCTGAGTGGAAGGCTAGTGCCGCTGGTTTGAAGGGCCGAATCGTGTACCAGCGATTAAACCTCATGCTTTGAACGAGACCTTTTGGAATGTTCGATGACATGCTGTGCCACCTTTTCAGCTTGAGATGTTTTTTGAATTCCGTCACAAATCACCTTGGCTCGTAGGTTGACCCAGGACTAGCGAACTCCTTGGTCGTTCCCAAGGGTTAGAGGACCGCCTTGAGCTGCCAAGAATCGAACTGATTGTTGGCAGTTTCTTCATTTTTAGCCCAGGGTGTCAACCGAAGCGTCATGCAGGAGCTGCCCACTCAGGCGCAATTCCCGCCCGGGCGCCCATCCCGTGCCGAAGCCGTTGGGCTTTGGGGAGAGGTCAGATCTCGCAACCACGCGACTGCGAAGCTTGAGAAGGAACCACCTCAAAGATGGACATTCTGCCCCCGAGTGATGTCCACCAAAGGGAAGAAGGTAGATCCAATCCAGCATGCGCCCAGCTGTTTGGATTTAGATATCTCATCTAACCTGTCCGGCTTTTAGATGCAAGCCTCCCCCCTCCTGGGGCCAACTCTCAAAGCAGCCTTGGGGAGCGCTTATTCCCCGAGTTCCATGGCTCAGCAACCCTAAAACCTCATGACTGCAACTGGTGGACCTCAGCCTCAACGTTTTATTTGTTTGTCCCCGTACTGTTGCCTGCCCAGCCTAGCCCAACGACTCCCTTGGCTGAGGTTCAGCCTTTTGAGCGGACCGGGCATCTGAGAGATAGCAAGGAGCACAGAATGCCGTAGGAGTTGGCTTTGGTAAGAAATGTGAATATTGTTCCTTGCTTTGATTGGAACGCCCCTTTGCATTGGTTTGTTTGTGTGCAAGCAAGAGAACGTGGAAGGTTCTTTCATGGAGGAGTGCAGTGCGCAAATCGGCAAGGTGCGAGCATGCACGGGAAGCGTTTGACCATCTTCGAGAAGAGCAGATAAAAAGAGATGCGTGTTGCGGCCGCACGGCAGCTTGCAAGCGTTGCTTGACCTGCTTTTCCCTTGGCTTGCTTGGGATTGCATCATCGGATCAGCGAAAAGACGGGGGCTTTGCCTAGTGCTGCCACAGACTCGATGCTTTAAGCTGAGAGGGACGTCTGACAAGTCCCAGTCAGAGGATCAACAAATGATGCCGTGGATTCCGTGGACATGGCCTGTGGGGAACAAGCAAAGCCCCGGAATCTGCAATGGCGCATGATTTGGTTTACTTGCATGTTTCAGATCATCACAAACTGCAGCTCTGTACTTTGCAGCAACTCCGAGTTGACGTGCGAGTGCTGTTCAAAGATAACGTCCCTAGCTTAAAGAGAAGTCGCTCAGGACTGTCTGTGTGATCCTTTCTGATCCTGGCAACAACAATTTACCCAAGATGTTTAAGTTTGACAATCAAGGATACGTGTAGTCTGAAGATTGTGCTGAAAGTCTTGCAGAATCCACCTCTCGATCTTCACTGGCCAGAAGCCGGAAGGGCAGACAACAGAATCAGTTCCAAAGCACCCCCGCAAGGAAAACACTCTAGTCGCACCGGTTCGATTCTCTTCAGATACTTCCAAAACCTGCCCTCCAAAGGTCCCTCTGAGGAGTGAAGCCAACCCTTAGAGCCAGTTCCACAGCGACCAGTTAGCCCTCGCCGGCCGGTTCAGCACCAATGGTGCCAAAAGCCCCGAAAGGCTTGCAACTGCTTGGACTTCCATGTTAAAGCAATGGGTTTGTTTTGGTTCAAACATTAAAACGTCAAGATCATCGGTGGTTTGTTTATTTTGATTGAAGCCAGTGCTATTTGCTTTTGAATACCAGGTGTTTTTTTGATACCACACCCAACTGGGGAAGGCAATGGATCCTTTAGGGGCGAAGGATTCCTATCCCGGAGGCCACAACCCGCACGGGAGTTTTGATGGCCCTCCGAGGAATATGTTGCCCGAACATGACACCTGTTCTTCTCCTAACAAATGCCCAGGTTCTTGTTCAGGGGCTATTGGCCTGATGATCACCTTAGACGGTGATTTTGAGTTCCCTTTTTGATGAAGTAATTTCAGAAGCTTACGACCTGAACAAGTTGTTATTTTTTGTCGGCGCCATGGAGATGGTGACGTCTCGAGACTCCCAGGGGAGCACCAGGGGCTTTCAGAAGATCATGATGCAGGATGAGGACTGCGCCTTTTGGGTCTTTGAGTATTTTGATTGGGGACCGGTTGCTTGTTTTGCATACTTTTTGTGTGTATGTCCTCCGGACATTTTTGTGGCTGATAGCCACCTGAGTTGCTGACAACAAGTCCAACTGTTCGGTCTACTCCTGGTTTGGGACGGATGAGGAGGGGCACCAGCCAATTTTCCCGGTGTCCTTTTGCGGAGACTGAAAAAATATGTGCGCTGCCCGCCTTGATTAAATGTTGACCCGGATTGACAAACCCTGCGGAATCCGAGGCGGGTGTTTCATCCGAAAGGGATGGCGTCCTTCTAAAATTGGACACTATCACTACCCCATTCACAACAATAAGCTTCTAACCTGTTGGATAACGACTCTGCCACGTGAATCTTTGCCGGTGTTCACCTGCAAAAACACCTTTCGGAACACGACCAAAACTCCCCACACTGCCATGGTCGAACGACTTTGGATGAGATAAGTCGCTGAAACAAGTTCTGAAGCTTCAAGGATTCGAGGAGGCCGCTACACCCCATGTCCGTTCCGTCCATCAGAGGGTCCAATAGAGAATCCCCAGGCATTTAAGTCTCCCTTCAAGTAACCCTCCACAACCCCAACGCCCAGGAAACCGAAAGGGGCTCCCCCTCCACCAGAAGCTCTTCTCCAGGATTTCATTCAAGTAGTCTTAAGTGTCAGGAGCTTGAAACCTTCCCAGTACAATAAGGCAGCATAGCCTCAGAATCTTCACCGGACAAATCATAGCAAGCTCACCGATCCACGGGTAAAACGAGCCATGAAACGGGCCTCATGATCGGTCCCCTTGAGCATCCCTTATGCTTGATGCAACTCGCGCAGATTCAAGGCGAAACACTCATGTTGCCTCAATTTTGCACGAGCTAAGCGTTGGTGGACTATCAACAGTTGAACACTCCTGGTCCAACTACCACAAGGAGAACAGGGGTACTTATGTTTCCCCTTTGAGACTGGTTCTGAATATCGCCTTCTGAAAAGACTAATCTGACTTGTGACTGTCCTTTTGGCTGATGTGGGCGCCCTTTTGTGTGCGTAAACAAGGAAGCCTTTTTGAGAGTTTTCAGAGAGGCGGCGAAACACTGGCATTGGAGAAGATGTGGGACGAACCAACTAGAAAAGCGATTCTCGCCCTGAACCTTCCCAAAGAATAGGACTCCTTGCAACACCCTGGTTTGCTTATCCACATGTTGCCATTGTACTGAACCCCATCCTTTCTCCCAATCTCCGATTTGGTGCACCTTTTGGACGGATCCGTCACCTGTCGGAGCTTGGGAGGATTCCTTGTCGGACCCGTCGGAGCGGTCGGCGCCCTCGGTGCCCCCGGTGGCCCAAGTGCGGCCCATCGGGGAGAACCTGTACTCTCTGCTCATCGCGGAGATCACCCAGGACGAAGCAAAATCTGTTGTTCTCTCTCTAACCTGAGCCTGGCCCCTTCAAACTCAAATATATGCTCAAACGACCTGCTGGGCCCACGACGTGGTGGAAGTCGTGCACCCAGTAGGTGCCCCTTTTGGTTGAAAATAGATGGGTTCCAATGGTTTCAGTTTGGGACCTGGTGCCTTGGCGCAAGTGGAAGCAAAATGGGCTCATGTTGGAGCTGGTACACTTCCTTTGACTGCGGCACCCGATCTGTCTCATGAGACCAGCTTCCATGGCCCTCAGTTACACAAGAACTTAGATGGGGATATCCAACAATAGTGGGTCGAAAAAGGTTGTCGGCCCAAATGTGAAACCGCTTGTTGGTGGAACGAGGCTTCTTTTGAAAAGTGGACTGAATAGTCAGCATGATGTGTTCAAAGTTTGGGTCGGGCAAATGTGCTTTTAATGTCAGGCGCGAACCAGCTTTGCCTTTGGTGCCCTGGGTGTGCTTGGCGGAAACTCATGTGGGTTTGCTTTGGATTTCCTGTGGGTGTCATTCTAGTTCCTGTCGAGGCTCGGTTCCCTTGAACAATGCTGCCCTGGCATCGCACGATTCGAGTCATGTTGGCTGTGGTTCCCTGTGGGTTGAACGGACTCAGACATGCGTCGTCTCGCAGATTCCGATCTGGGCGAGGGGCCAAAGTCGCGGGTGGGTCACAGTTCGAAGTTTACATGCTGCCTGAGATTGGTCCTTCCAAGCGTGCTGGGCCAGACATGATGCGCCCCGCATGCCCCGAGCATTGCCGGTTGGCTGCACATTCCGGGCGCAGGCCTCGCCGCGTGTGCAAGAGGTCCTCAGATCCCAAATCAACATGTTCGGACCAAGTTTTGGAGAAGCTACGCAATGCATGTCGAAAGTTGCCACGCCCAGCTTTGCAGACCAAGTCTCGATGGAACGAAGGGAACCGCCGCAACTGAGAAGTAAGAGGACCACATGTTGTCATGTAATTATGACCACAAGGCATGGAAAAACGAAGCACGCAACAAAAGCAAGGTTGAAGCCCGGAGATTTCAATGAGGAAGTGTTGAGAGTGAAAGAGGTGAACTCTGGCGCGGAAAAGGATTGGCAGTGTATCATGCACAGGTGAGGTGACAAACAGTGAGCTCGTCTGTTTCCGCAGCTGGCAATCATCACAGGTTGAAGCCTGCTTTCAAGCAAAACCTGTTTTATGACACAAACTGTACCCACCCTCCCACTAGCGTGGCACTTGATACAGGTCCCTTGCGAGAGAAATTGTTTCAGTTGACATAATATGCTAGTGGGAGCAAGCGTAACTTGTGGACCTCGATTCGACAGGACTACATCATGATTATGCGAGGATCTGAGAGGAAGTTTGCGCGCATCACACGGCTCAGTTATTCCATGGTGCTCATTCTGGGCGTCATCGCCTTGCAGGCCAGACACCAACAGAAGTCGAACAAAGCTTAGCTAGTTGAAGAAGCAATGGGCAAACAGATGTGGAAGCCTGAACCAAGTGTCGTGCTTGTTTTTGAACCTTCAAGTATGTAGCATTCACAGCTAGGTGTTGTTCTTCCGTGTGTGTGTGTGTGTGTGTGTGTGTGTGTGTGTGTGTGTGTGTGTTCTAGCTATGCTTCCTGTGTTTCCATGGAATGGACTGATGGGTCAGGTCTGGCCAGAACTTCGGCATTTGATGCACGTGTGTCCGACGTTTCAGCGCCCACTTTGCCCAAAGCCAACCTTCGACCTCTCGATCTCCCGGTTTGGGTCCGTGTCAGGTCTGAGAAGGGTGCTGTGCGCAGGGGTTGCATGAGCTCCATGTCACAATCGAATGTTGGGAATGGGCATGAGACCGTGGGTGAAGGGTTGGAAGTCGGATAAAAATCAAGGCAAACAGCCATGTGTCCTATACAAGGGTAGTGGTCCACGTACCCCAGCGGGATGGATATGCCTCCCCAAATGGCTTTGCCCGTGAGTGGCCTTACATAATCGGATTGAGCGACATCGTGCAGGTGTTTTTGCTGAGTGCGATTTCAAGCCTGCTTTGCAACCCTGCGGTGAAGCGCATTCGCTCCGTGTACAGCAACTCGGCTTCATTTGGGACTAAGTTGCCCAAAACCAGCTTTACGGGATGTAAACCTGTAGGTAGGACTTCAACCAGTAGGTTGAACTAGCCGCATTGGAATCTCGCTTTCCTTTTGTAGACCTTGCTCGAAAGATTTATCTCCCCCTAACAACTGTAGGATTCCTCGTGCAGATGTCCCCGAAAACACCGAAAATGGCGGCCAAAGCACCAACCGGGCTTGTTTCGAATTGTCTGCATGTATTTGGTTGTCGAAAGATTCCTGGCTGCACATTGCAATCAATCATGCAAATGTGGTGGTGCATGTAAGCATTATTCTCGCCTAATGCTTGACATGCCCAGAAAAGGGGTGCAAAGCTTATGTTGTGGGTGTATTTGAGCAGCAAATGGCGATGTTGCAAAGCTAGCTACACTCCCAACTTGTAAACCCATCCCAATACGCAAATGTGAGGCAACACCGTTTTGGAAATGTTTCGGCGGCATAGTGGCATGTTCGCATTGCAGTCAAATCGGGCGGCACTTTGCCTGAAAGTCGGCATCCGAGGCGAGTATCAGGTGGCGATATACGGCGACAACGTGGAGAAGACGGCGGCTAGGATCATGTGTGGGAAGCTTTCGACGGCAGGGTGTCGCGGCCTGCCACCAGTTCCCCCTCCCCCAGCAGACCATGCGTGGCCCGTTTCTCAAGGCGCTTTTGTTTTCTGGTGTTCTTCCGGTTCCCAGCATCTTGGATTTGATTGGTTGGGGAAGCCAGTCTGTCGAAAGCTGTCGGCACATTTCACGTGACGTTTGTCGAAAGGCACCCTCCCAAATGGTTGGTGCACCATGGAACATTCGATTTCAACGTCATCATGACATGATGAGCTACGGTCACATCTATGTGCAACGGAAGTTGGTTCCTGACATGTTTGTGCTTGCTTTCGACGGCTCAACACCATGCTGAGCGTTTTCAGTGACCCCTCCAAAGAGCACTAGATTTCAGGTTTGGAGCGCCTGTGCAAACCACCTTTCGGTCCAACAACCTCCTTGCGGGTTTCCCTTGAAAGGACTTGGCCCAGCATTTGGCCCATCTGAACATCACGCTTCTAGTCCCCATGCCTCTCAGGTTGCAAAGGTCATAATTTCCCCTTGGGTGATTCGGTGGCGGGTCGTTTTTGAAACCGACCTGGAGAGCGTGTGGCCCCCGCCAAACTTGTCTCGGGACAGAGGTGTTCGCGGCTCAGGTCAACGGCTTCTATCGCGGGGTGCTGGGCGCCCCGATCAACGAGGAAGGCTTCCAAGATCTGGACATGGTGCCCTGGTCGAGTGGGGTGAATGGGTCCCTTTGCTGGTTGCTGCTAAAATGGCTTTGGGGGAGCCTCAAGCGCGGATAGCCAATTGTTTGCCCTTGTTTGATCTGCCGTTTTTGGGCAAGCGCCCAACAAAGAACCAAAAACTCAAAAACTCCTAAAACTTCAGGAGGGACCTCTTACAAGGGGAAAGCGTAGCCGGTCCGGGGATCAAGCAGCCACCAGGGACGCACTGGGTTGAGGATAAAAATCCAGGCGGATGCTCGGGATGTACCCTTTCAGCCAAAGGGGTTCCACAGTTTGGAGGCGTCAACAGGATAACCCGGACATAAATGCTATTTGAATTCTCTTATGAGAATGTCCCGGATCCAATGACAAGTTGCATCACCGCAAGGCCTGTCATGTATTGCGTCCCCTGGAGTGATTGGGACCTTCATCCCGGACCCTCCATGCCAAAAGCGAGTTCTGGGTCGGTTCCAACAAGTAGTAAGGGGGGTGGGTGTTTAGCGGTGCATGAAGAGAGAGAGAGAGAGAGAGAGAGAGAGAGAGAGAGAGAGAGAGAGAGAGAGAGAGAGAGAGAGAGAGAGAGAGAGAGAGAGAGAGAGAGAGAGAGACCACCCAGTGGTTTCCCCCTTTGAAATGTTATCTAACATGCAAACCCCTCGCCCCATCGTGCAGTTTGCTGTAAGGAGGTCAAGTGGCAGATCTGCAACGTGCCCTTCTCGCAGCCTTGGCCGCCTTCAGAGGGTCACCAGACCCGAAAGGATCATACCCAGAGGATCAGCCCCAAACAGGGGGTTCAGAGGGGTCAACAGGAGGGTAGCTGTGACTTGCATGAATGTAGATGGTTTTTTGTTTCATGGATGTGGGGATCTTCTGCATGAAGGGATAGGTTTGTTCGTCCCCCCTCCAGAGCGCACGGGGTGAGCCGCTCACCCGACAAAGCGCAAGAACCCGCAAGCTTCGAACAGAGCCAAACATTCCCTTGCAGATCCCCGGAGTTGTTGGGAATTTGGCAAGGCAGCCCATGTACACCTTGGTGATCCTGCTGATTTGGAGCCTCACTTGCATCGCAGAGATCCGGCCCAGCTTCAAACTGCTGAACTCGCTCTTGCGCCACACGCCCACGGTCAAAGACGCCCCTCGGACAAGGAAAAGGGAAATACTTAGAATCTCGAAAGGTTGACCTCAATGGCCTAGAAGAGGTTTGATATGGTTTGATGGAAGAGCCCTGTGTGGTTAGCTTTCAAAGCGACGCGAGAATGCAAGCGCAACAAGCATGTGTAGGCCTGTGCTTTGCACCCTTTCCGTTGGGGTGCTGGCAGTAGCTGGCGTTGATCTTTGATGGCAGCTTGCCATGGACTTCCAAGAAGTGGCTTGGGATTGCCTGCCATGTGGCTTCCGACCTCCCATCCGCTCGCAAGCCCCAGGTGTCGCATTGCATCGAGCGTAACGACGAGGCCACCACCATCGCTGCTCGGCAAGACACCTGCCGCTGGGTCCAGGTCTGACACGTACATGTCCAATGTATCTTGCACGACCGAGCATGGAACATGGCATGATTGTTTGCAGCTCGCTAGGAATAGCCTTTCAGATGCTTGCCTGACCCAGTCAAAGCATCCCATTCAGCGAACACGTGGGATTCACAATGTTCTTGGCGCAGGTCACACATGTCCGAGCGCAGCGCGTCTGGCACTTCTTTGTGTCTTGACTGAGGTGGGCCTGACCATGTGCATGAAGATCGGCCTCAGCCTGCTGTGTTTCGTGCCGCGGACGTGCGCCTAAGCTCAACGGGTCCTTTTGAAGCTCAGGTTTTTTTTCTTGGACGGCTGAAAGCGACAACACGAAGCGCACCGTTTGGGGGACCGATGTCTGCGTTCGGCCCTCTGTGACAGGGCCTGCCCATCGTCCAGGTTCTGGCAATGCCCCCATTACTCCAATCGTCTCCGGTCCTCTCGGGTCTGTGTCTGGCCAATAGGACAGCACAAGGAAAGTGAAAGGAAGCTGTTTTATTATCCCTGCGTGCTAGCAGGATTGTTAAGCGGGGGGCTGTATTTTTAGGGGCAAAAATATAGCATGTCAAGCAGCATGTAATAATAAATTTGATGTGTCTGGCTAGCTGTTTTGCTTTTGGTGTTTGTTTCGGTTTTGGGAAAGCAACCCCTACGAAGGCAATTAGTATGGGTAAAAGTATTGGCAATAGCTTTTGTAATTTAAGATTGTATCTTTTTGGGTGGGGCAGGCACGGGGACAGTCCTTATTATGGGGGGGGGTCGTGAGTGCCTGGGTGCCAAAAAGGGAGTGTTCTCTTGTTGACACTGGCAGTAGTGGTGTGGTCCTTTCGAAGCAAAGCTGACAACCTGCTTTAGTTGGCAGGGCTGCGAAGCCAAGCCAAGGACTTGGCATTAAAAGAATTGAAGTATACAGTATGACCTTTATTTGTTTGCCAAACCTTGTGGGCCCCTTTCAAGCAGTCTTAGCTGGCGATCAGTGGGGAAGAGGACTGGTTTTCACGGGGATGTCTTCAAGTGTCCGCATCAGAGACCTGAAATCGAGCTCGGGACAGTCGCGACCGAGGCGCCTTGCTGGTGCTCAACTTCCTGGGCTGCCGGTGGCTGGTCAGCTCCGAGAGCCTCGAGGATCTCTTCCTGAACTCCCTGGCCCTGGAGTTCATGGCGCACCGACCCACCTGTTGGCATCTCTCTTTTTTTTCTGAGGGGTGAAGGGTCCTTCTGCAGTTTGTGTGTTGCGGAGTGAATGGTGAGCTGGGGTGAGGTGGGGGGCGAGGGGGGGGATGATCATGAATCCTTGGTCAGCGTTCGAGCCTTGCATAGCCCGTACTGGCAACCTCACTTAGTGGACTTTGTTATGTCATTTATGCATCTCAGGGTCAGACCCACCTCCCTCCTTTGACATGTGTTTGATTGTTTTTCTTTCTTTTCGGGGTTGCGACCGTTCCCGTGCTTTCGTCGAGGTGCTTTTGCCGGAGCTGCTCTATAAGACGTTCGCCACCCAGCGGAGCATGCTGAGAACGGAGCTCACCTTTGTGATGCTAGGCTTGGAACCCCGAGCTGTCTCCACTTTGTGCGAAACAACCCAATTGATTCCCTTGGCACTGCAACCCAGAAACAAGGCAACCCTGCACCGCAGCAACATCACCACGTGTTGACCTTTTGGGGTGCCCGCCCTTGACTCAGCAAAAGCAGGGGGCTCAGGTCTGGTTTAATCAAGTGGGATCCAGTCGAAAGGTGAGGCAACCTGCAGAATGCAAGTTACACATAAAATGACCAATGCAAGCGCGCAAGCAGTGGGCAAGCTTCTATTGTTATGAGAAGGTAGAATTTTCCAGACTTGGTGGCTGTCTGAAACAGACCAATGAGAAAGTCGGAATGAGTAGACTCCTGCGGACGGAAGCACCCAAAAGACTCATTTGCAGCTTCTTGCAGATGGTGCAGGGCTTTGTGCCTGAAGCACATCCAAAACAACTCCAAACTCCCATCGATTACGTGTCCCCCAGTTTTTAAGACTGTGGAGACGGCCCCAGAATGCAGAAACACCCCCCCCATCTCCCTAAAAAGTGAGGTCCAAAGGTACGCGTGCTCCCAAACGCCCTGTGCCGCGCCTTGCGAGGGGAGATCCAGGAGTTGTCGCTCCACGACGTGGTGGCTGCCGTGATGTGGGCCAGCCTGTCGGTCATTTGGGTGTGCCGCTTGACGGAGCTTTGTTTGAAACGCTTGTTTGACCTGTTTTAAGAGCAAAACGGTGTTGGACACGTTTTCAATTGGGCAAGAGTTTCTGCTGCTTTGCTTGGGACGGCCTGAACAGTGAGTGATCTTAGCAAGAAACCGCGTTGGCGCTGGAGACGGCCACGACCAGAACAGAGGGACAAGGTAGTCATTCTTCCAGTCCTGTCACGGCTGCAAGACAAGTCTGCCTGAGTTGGAACGCGCACCGTATTGTGTGTGCAGCTTGCAGTTTCCAAACTTGGCGGTACCCCATCGTCGGTTGTGCGTCAGGCAGGGTTTTGCGGGCCACTCTGAAGCCAAGGCGTCTATATTTTCTATTTCCAGACCGTTCTGCCAGGCGCGAGTTCAAGTTCCGACAGCTCGGACAGTATGGCGGACCCCGTGTGTATGTCAAAAATAGAAGCCATTTTGTGATCGGCTTTCAAAGCAACTCTGGAGAAAGTCAATCCTGTGGATTGGTCTCTAGTTTTGGCAAAATGAGAAAAGGGCAAGCGGGCAAGCGGGCAAGCGAGCTACTTTCTCAGTGGAATAAAATTCATACCACTTGGTCCTTAGCTATACACGGCCCTCTAAACAAACGGAATTGCCTCGCAAGGGTGTTAGTGTGCGGCCTTGAAATGGAAGAATTCAGCCAAGCAAATCAAAGTCCTTCAAACTATCAGCTGAGCAAGCAAAACGTTTGCAAGGAAGGCTCACCATTCTACAGAACCACCATGGCAGAAGCAATTTTGAAGTATTGTGAATTGAGAAGGATTCAATTATATTTATTGCTGCTACTTGAGCAAGGAAGAGGGTTTGCTGACAGTGAGCAGTTTCAAGCTATACTGGAAAGGCATGATAAGCAGGGTTCTATCATTTTGGTCGAGTTACGCACAAACACTACAGAGACGACACAATTTGCCATTCAGACAGGTTATGACTACTGCAAGTTGCTCAGGCGTTGAGAATCCTTCAGATGATTGAAACCGGCCCGAATGGGGTCTTGCATAGTTTTTGACACGCAAATGAGTTTGAAAGAAGACAGAAGTGAAAAAGCTTTTCGTGCAATTGGCGCAGGCTACCGATGGGACGTACATCCCATGTGCGAGAAGTACATCGGTACCCTGGAGGGCTGAGTTTGGCATTTTTGCGTGGGGCGACGCCTGGATTCCGCCCCCGTTTTCCACTTTCTGGAACCAGGCGTCCCTCGACCTAACTTGGGGATTTGGGCCCCGCGGAGCGCAGAAGCCGCCCGGAATTTCAGTCGCCAGCAAGCGCATATTTGCCGAGCTGAGTGGCATTTAGCGTGGTGAAAGCTGACTGATCTTGGCTGGTTGGATCTGTATCTCTTGTAAAGATGTGTGTCTGTGCGTGTTCCGCACAAAGCTAAAGTTGAGCTTTTTGGGCGGAGGCCCAGAGGACAGTAGCCACACAACATGGTTGTTGTTGGGAAACATTTTACATTTTTGCTTATTGTGGTTTAGTGGGAAATCCCCACTAAACTGCTAAAATTTAAATTGTTGCTCCCCTTCCAACGTCAACCAAGACAATGTGTGTTGCCTGGAAGGATGAATTCGTTGAGCTTGGTTTCCACAGGCAGTCAAGCATCAGGTCGTCATCACCACTGTTTTTCTCCCGGCGCATGGCAGTTGCGCTCAAGACAGGATGGGTTCGCGCTTTGGTCCCCTGGCAGCAACATGAGCAGGGGCACTCCGTGAATTCGACGCTTCATGGCGCCTTTCGTGTAGATGAGACACTCACCGACGACATGGGGTTTCTGTGTGTTGTTGTCAATGGTTTTGGGGGCAGGTTTGAGTTCCTGTGCTTTTATTTTGGTCAATGATGAAGAGCCAATTGCTTCTGCACTTCAGTCGCTTTTGCCAGCCAATCAGCTCAGCTCCCCAGTTGGGAGCATTTGAACATGGAGCATGACATGGACAGAGCCAAGCGTTCCCTTGGCAGCCACATGGCACACAACGGCATCGCCGCTGAACGCCAAGGGGAGAATCGAACAAAGAGGCACCGCGCAACTAGGAAACTAGGAGACTGATTGACAAGTACAACCGCCACAATAGGCACCGAAGGCTGAGATTTGTTTCCAAGGAAATGGACTGCTCGGCCCAGGTTTGACACCTGCCTCCTGAGGTGGAAAACTCACTCATCACAAGCACCGACAACCTCAACCACCGACCAGGCCAGCCCAAAATCCATTGCCACTGAATTCAGACGTATTGCACGCGCTTCCATCGCGAGTCGGCATGGAGCATTGGCCCTTGACCGCCAGAAGCTCCGACCTGGAGGATCAGGTGCGCTCGGCGCATGTGCTTCGTGTGTGTTGCTTCCTGGGAAGGACGTACCATGAGCCTTGAGCAGAATCTGCCGGGGTTCACGTGTTGATGTGGCTTCTCCAAAGGCCCAAAGAGCTCTGGCTTTTCGAGCCCCATCCTGCGGAGCCCTGTTTGGGCAGCCAATGTGGAGCGAGGGTGCAAACAGCAAACATGGCCCCATATTGTTGACCTGCAATTTATGTTGCATTTCCTGGCCTGACCAATGAGCATCCACGTGGGTGTCCAAGTGTTGCGTGCCGTAATTGTTACTTAAACAGAGATGCGGTATGAAAGGATGACACCTCTGTTCCCCTCGCAAAGTTATGCTTCCCTCAATTGCCGTACCTCAAAACTACGTAACAGGAAGCCAGCATGAAACATCAGCGCTGGGAGTCAGACGCGGCTTGTGAGAGTACCAAGCATCCACCTGTTGGAGAAGTGTCCTTGTGGAAGCTTGATGTTGGCGTGGAAACATCGTTGGGCACACATTTGTTGGCTTCAAAGCAGAACCGAAGGAGAACCCCGAATGTTCCACCAGCAGGACTCGGAGGAGTCCCAGATCTCCGTGCCGGACGGCGCGCAGGGCCGGCCCATCGGCCGGAACTTGTACGCGCTGCTCATCTCGGAGGTGACCCAGGCGCCGAGCTCCCGTGACGTAGCACTCTACGGGGTAAGGGAAGCTGACTTGGACCCCACCCCAACGCAACTGCTATGATTTGAGGAAGGGAACCTCTCAAAACGTTAGGGTGGACAGAAGTTCCACTGTAAGTCATGTCACTCTATGGGTGGTGGCTTTTTGTGCGACCATATTTTGGGTCCAGCTATGCTTGCCTTTTTTGGGTTTTATCCATCACCTTGCCAATTTTGTTGGAGCTTCTCGGTGATGTTTGATGGAGGTGGTGTCCCATGTCCCGTTGCTTCAATGATCCCAGTGTCACGAAACAACTCATCCAGCTGGTCTCAGAGCCATGGCAAGAG